CAGCTCAGATCGTCCTGACCTTTGAGTACCTGCACGCTTTGGACCTGATCTACAGAGACCTGAAACCTGAAAACCTGCTCATAGACCAACAGGGATACATACAGGTGAACACCACCTCATGCTACGATAAACAGGACACAACAAATAAAGAGTCCACAGTTGATATAAATCACTCTTTTGATCAGCTGATCTTCATGATTTATACAGTACACGTGTCTGCAACATGTTCCTGAGGCATTCCAAAAATATCCAAACAAACATTCTTTTCTCAAAGAATTTGGCACCATATGTGCTTCATCATAAATGACAAAAGTTGTTATTTCTATGTTTTCATAGGATTCATTCATAACTCTTATTAAAAAGGATCATTACTGTATGTAACTCTGACACCTAGTGTTTAAAACCGGTACTGCAGTCCAAATTCAAAACATTGAAGAGAGCTGTCACGGACACTGAAGCTTCAGTGTTTAACCAGCTCTGCATCGGTCTGTAAACCTTTCTGCGTTCTAACCTCTCTCCATTTTTTAAAAGGATCTCCAATATTGATCCAAGTTTGACCACGTTTCTGCTCGTGGAGCTTCTTAGAAAAATGCAGAGGCTTTTTAGGTCAGATAAAATAAATTCTATCTGATCCAATTTGCTTGCCCGCTTCCATCGCTGCAACACCTGCTGGTTTGCCGTTTGCCTGGCAAACTGAGGGGCATCCAAAACGGCCCTGTGAGATGCATTAGAACCATCTTCTCTGATCAAAACAAAAGCAGACTATTCAGGACCAGAATCTAAACTTAGAAAGAGGACATACTGGCTGCTGCATTGTTGTCAGAGAAGCCAGCACTTCAACATAACATGTTTCCTTAATGTCTGATGATACAGTAACGTAATTTTTTTCATTTCATTCAGTAGATATCTGACATATTGGTCCTTTAATAATAACACATCAGTGGGAGTTTATTCATGCTAAACAATGCAATGAAACAGAAAATATTGTCACAAATAGTCATGTGGACACATGAAAAGTTGCAGCAGTGTGAGTGCACTACAGAAGCTGTGATTGCAGATCAGTGTTCTGGCACACTGCAGCTGTCTTATAATGCATAGTCTGCTGCCCTCTAGTGGTGAAAACTCCAAAGTCCATCCCTCTTTGGTCTGTTTGCCTCTGTGTAACATCCACCTCTTTTCTCTACCGTTCATATGCTTAAACAATGAGATGACACTTTTGCACATTGTAATTATTGTCTGCTTGTCATTTGTAGTTTGTAAAATTATGTTTCTTAATCATGTAATGTTTATTATGGGTGGTACTCACCAGAGCCCCCACGATATGTTATTATTGCGATTTTAAACATTATGCGATATGCTGGGAATTGTGATACAATATATTGTCATTTAAATTGTGCATATAATGTCCACAACATTAAACTTAATGCAGAACTGTTTTGTCAATTAAGAAAACATTCTATTCACATCACTTTAGTCTTTTTATTTCTTCACAATGGGAGTCTATCCCACAGACGGACCACACTGTGATAATAAACGGCTGCATGCACCTCACAATCAGTTTCAGTCTCATCCAACTCAACACAAACATGCACAGACTGAACGACTGCAGTCATTTTAAACAATGCAACTTTTTAAAATAAATCGTGCCACCCCACCAGCAATTAAACATTTTATTTTTTATATATAGTTATATATTTTTTTATATTTTCTCTTAATGTAATACAAATATCGATACTTGCCGGCCATGAGACGATATAAGATCGCCACGAAAAATATCACAACACTATGCTGTATCGATTTTTCCCCCACCTCTAAATTATGACGCATGCTGCTACCATCTTGGCTACCTAGTTAAATAAAGGTTAAATTAAAAAAAAGATATTAACCTCTCTTTCTTCCTCTCATTAAATCTCCCTGCTCTTTCTTTTTGTCACCTAGGTGACAGATTTTGGCTTTGCCAAACGTGTAAAGGGCCGGACCTGGACACTGTGTGGCACCCCAGAATATCTAGCCCCAGAGATTATTCTCAGCAAGGTGAGCCTCCTTTGTTTCCCTTTTTATTTTCTGATTTGTCAGATGCTGTTTTTGTTTTCAGCATCTGAACCTTCAATGAAATAAACTCTCTGAATCAAAAGTAAGCACGTATTGTTGCAATGTTCTTACAGCTTAGTGCACAATGTAAAAATGGCAGCTTTGAAACATTTTGGTATTTTTATTTCAGACAGTATTGATTTAAAATGTTGAGATATTTATGGTCCTACCAATAAGCTGTGTTTCAGTTTGTTATTGGGGAAATATTTGACAGGCTGCGACTAGCTTTTGGAGTAAACTGAAACAAATCAAAGCTAAATGAAGTTTTGACTTAATTAACCGTCTCTAACTGTTGGCTCTCCACCCTGTTCCTTCTTCCTTGTTTTCGTCTGTGTGGAATCCACCAGGGTTATAACAAGGCAGTGGACTGGTGGGCGCTGGGCGTACTCGTCTACGAGATGGCAGCAGGGTACCCGCCTTTCTTTGCAGACCAGCCCATTCAGATCTATGAAAAGATCGTATCAGGGAAGGTGAGTGTGACTCTCTGATTAACACTTCAGTAACTCTTTGTAACATCTGCTGCTCGTCCCCTGTCCCGGTCTTTCACCAGCTGTGGGCTGTCCTGTTTTGATTCTACAACGAAAACTGGTTGAAATTATGTTTCACTTTTCATCAATAAAATATAAAACAGGATCAGCGATTTTTTTTTTTTTTTTTAGTGTCTTTTACATATCCATCCCCCTAAGCCTTGAGTCAAGAGTCGCCAACAGGGAGCAGCATTTTTAGAGACATCGTGGACACTGCTGGAGTCAGAGATGTCAGATAAACACAAGAAACCAGTTCAGCACAACTTACAAAGGCCCCTGCTCCACTTTAGTCACTAATGTGGTAACCCTTTAGAAATCCAACAGTAACTCTATAATGAATACTTTTATATGCTCAACAATTATTCTGTTTTTGGCCCTTTTTCCAAAAAAATAAATAAATAAATTCCACAGTATATATTCTAATATTAACCACAGCTTCAGCAACTGTCAGCTAGTGGGATAGTTAAAGCAACAATATGTAGGAATTCAGTTTGGTGAGCTTTGGTGCCGACTGAAGGTTTTTTTTTTAAGTGTAACTGCACTGTTGTGAAACACGGTGCTGTCATGGCTCCCCCTCACAGACGACGTGCATTTGTTGACAATCAGATGAGTGGTGTTTTTAGTAGTCAAAGACCCATGATGACTGACGAGGTTCAGTAATATTACCAGAGTTGCACAAATATGACTCTACTAGCATCTAGAGGCCATTTTAGGGACAACTTCATCTATTAATTTGTTTGCACGCCTGTGACATAACTTGGGTTAGATGACTTTCTGCACCTGGTAACGCTGCTAAACACAAGAAAGAAAAATATGACACAGGCTGACATTACATTACAATATTTTATGATTAATATCTGGAGGGATGTACACTCTGCTTCTTGTATCAGACAGTACGGAGACAGGCTAACTGACTAGTGCTGTAAAACTATGCACACTTCTCGTGGGACCACCGTGACCCTGCTGCAGAACATACACAGTGCTATGAGCATGCGACCATGCTAGAACATGGCAGAGAGGCTTGGTCGTAAAAGTTGTTGTGCTATGAAATCGACTTTAAAACTACTATTTTAAGATTTTTAAAATGATATATTGTTGCTTTAACAACGAGCTGAGCTAACTGTGAATAGGCAAGAAGACATTTCACAAACTGAGGGGAAAAAACACGCAGCAACCTCTAGTGTTGGAAAATGTAGCCAATGTGGAAGTTCCAAATCCTGCAGTTCATCAAGTGTCCACTTGAGGTTGGCTGCAGAAGCACCAGAAGTCACATACACACCCCATTGAAAATAGATAATTTTTACAGCAGAAATGAACATGTTTACACAGCCTGGTTCAAAGAACAAAATGTGTCTGAATAGCTCATGTCTCTATCTGCACACGCTGTACGGGGTAATTTTTTGTTTATAACTCATCAGTCTTGAGTTTATGAAGGATAAAAGTCATAGATAATAAGGCGCGTGGATCCTGACTGACGTGCGGCCGCATTGTAGCTGTTTGTCAGGAGGCTTAAAACTCGCCTCAGCCCTAGCTTTTAGCTCGTTGTTACGTTGACTAAAAGTTAGATTGAGAACAACAAAACAAATAATTAATATTGAAAATGTTATAATTCCATTCAAATACTAAACTGTAAGGCAGCTGCCCCCCACAGGAAGGGGCCGCAGCTCTAGATAATAGGCCTGCTCTCCCCGCTCAAGTGCCCCAATGTAAAAAAGAGTTAGTCAGTAGGTTGATCTAAAAAAATGGAGAGAAAGTTTTCTGTAGGCTGTGTCAGGTTAAACTAGCATTTAACTGCTCCACCTTAGGATTGCATAACCACATGTAACACAGACATGTGGATGTTAACCTGCGAGGAGGACTGAATTCTGGCGCTGCTAACACTGTAAGCACTACTCAGAAAAACACTTTGTCATCGTTTACCTGCACACCCTGTGATCCTGTGTTCAGCCATGTTAGATATATTGTGCTTATTTGTGCTTCCTGAGGGTTTTTCTAACCTTGAGCCTGCTGTTTAGACTACTCAGAATCTAAATGCCTGATTAATCTACCGTAAGATCCAGTGTTTAAGACATTCATCTAAAAGTGGGCCTATTTACAGATTTGACCAATATACCAGTAGAAAATGCAGAGACATGCGCCGTCATAGCAGCGGCCACCATTACACACTGCATTCGACCTGATGATGTTTAAAATTGGCCCCCCTTTATCATTTTGCACATGAGGCCGGTAGCTAGCAGGAAGGCAACCTCCATATGGTGAAGGAAGCCATGGGAGACCACCCCCTCTCCACCAGAAAAACAAAAAACAAAATCAAAAACAAAAAAACAGACTGTGTCTTATATAACAGTGAAACTCATATTCCATATTTTTACAGTACTGGAAATGAAGTCACTCAGGTCGTACAGTGTGAGCTGACATCCCACCACAACTTCTACAATCATTCAGTGTGTGCCCGCCTGCCTGGCCTTTGTAGCTTTGGTCGTGAAGATTATTTCCCCCCCCCCGCCAAACTCGATGATTCATGATGTGAAATTCAAAAGGTCACACTGCTGACTCTGACGTTTGCTGATGCCTCGCTCTTCTCTTGGTTTTCTGTTCCAGGTGCGTTTCCCATCTCACTTCAGTTCCGACCTGAAGGACCTGCTGAGGAACCTGTTACAGGTGAAACACTTATCTTAGTCAATCCCACGTCAAGTATCTTTAACTTTTTATTTTCTTTCTGAAAAAACATTACAGTAAAAGTGATGTAAATCACCGCTGTCATCCTCAGGTGGATCTCACAAAACGTTATGGGAACCTCAAGAACGGGGTCAACGACATCAAGGGACACAAGTGGTTTGCGACCACTGACTGGATTGCCATCTACCAGAAAAAGGTTTGTGTGTCCACGTGTGTGTGTGTGTACTCTGTGTGGCTGTTTCGTCTCCCCATGTGTAAAGTTGGCCTCTCAACTGGTGCTTGTCTTTAGGTGGAAGCTCCCTTCGTCCCCAAGTTCAAAGGACCAGGCGACACCAGCAACTTTGACGACTACGAGGAGGAGGAGATCCGCGTCTCCTTCAACGAGAAATGTGCCAAGGAATTTACAGAGTTCTAGAGTTAGAGACCAAGAAGGGTGGAAAAAAGAAGGATGTAGGGAGAGTCCGGGGTAGGCTGGTCGAGTGGGAGACGTTAGGAGAGAGTACTGTCTCCTGTCCAATCACAAGCACCAGCTTCAAATAGAGAAAAAATGGGATAGAGAAGGGGGGAAAAAAGAGCAAGGGGACTGATAACCAGCAGTGTTGCCTTTTCTGTTGCGTTTCTGTTGTATTTAATTTATTGTTCTGTCTTATTTATGGATACCTTTATGGGGAAGGTGTGCTTCAAATTCATGGTTGCTGGGAACCGCCACTTATTTAGAGTTGCCTCGACACATTTAGACCCGAGATCTTTGCTGCTCTTCTGTTGTTTCATTTATCATTTAGTCACATTGAGGCCACATCACAGAGACATCCGACAGTCTGCTGGAAGCCGTACAAGTCCAAGTCTCAAGCTATTCAGGCTAACTTGCCTTTTCCAAGCTAACAAGAGGAGCCGTGAAGTAAACATTTAAAACAATCACACAAACCCCCACTTAACTTTTATGTTTTACAGCTGTGACTTTTCCTCGTGTTCAAACTTAACTGTTTCATATCACACATACCACATGTTTAGACACTGGCATGATTGGCCAAAAAACTTTAAGAAAATGGAGCAACAAGTGAGTTAAGATTACGACATAACTGCATCTGTCTTTCATATCATTATTAGCACAGCCAGGCTTTGTGCACATCTGCAGCACTCCGTTTCTACACATTGCTAGAAACGTGTGGTTCAATCATCACGTCTCATTAACTAACGAGGAAATGTTGATGGAGATATTTCAGTTTGATTGTGTTGTGAAGGAACATCGTTACATTATGGTATCTCAGGTTTGAACGTGTCACTTAATAGACATTTTAATCGACATGAAGCTTAAAGATTAGCGGGTGAAGACTTGCTTTGATAAAGGTTTGGCAAGTGGAAGTTCTGGTAACTTAAGAATAAATCACAAGAGAATTTAAAATCTTCAGTTTCCCCTTCAAGGAGATTCGTGTCAGACACTTTTTAGTTGGGCCCGACCGATATGATTTTTTTCTGGCCGATACGATTTTTTTCTGGCCGATACCGATATTAGGGAGAGAGAGAAAATCTGATACCGATATTTCAGCTAATATCTTCCTTAGATCTATCTTCGATCTTTAGAGATTGATTTATATGGATACAAACACAGCTATTGTGTTGATTCCTCAGAAGCTGTTTTGTGAAAAAAATTAATATTAAAGACAAGATTTTTTTTACACTTGAACAAAAGCCTTTATTGGCCAGGAAACAACAGTGAACTGAACAATTACCGTAAAATCCGGTGTATAAGACGCACTTTTAATAACTATTTTTTCATCTTGTAAGTTGGCTGCTAACACTGAGCTGATGGCACGCTGTGCTGGGAAAGACAGCGACAGATTTCAGGCTGCACGTTTTCTTCCTCACGAGGTCAGAATCATCCATTTACAGAAAATAATTGTATACTGTTAAGTAAATAAACCTTGTCGAGTGCACTTTTGATTAAAGGAGACCTATATTTAAGTTAAAGAGTGACCAGTGGAGTTGGGCAGGGAGCTCGCAAGCTGGGAGTCTGTGCTTCACAACTTTCACTGAGAGCTCAACTACCGTAGTGTAGCTAGTAGGAGTGCAAATGCCACAAAGTGAAAACAGACAGAACTAAAAGAGCGACACAGCTGAACAGAAACTGCACGTTGTAGACACAATAGAAATCATCATGCAGGAAGAAGGTTTAAATTGTTTTTCTCTCTGCGATACCTTCATTAACAAAGTGTGTCTAATACACCGGTGCGACTTATATTCCGGCCTTTACGGTATTAATTAAAACTAAATAAAAATAAATAGTAAACTTAAATTGAATAAACCTACTTGTATCGGCACATATCACAGATCAAATTAGCCGATACCGATAGTTACGTGATATGCTAATGTCAGCTGATATTATCGGCAGGGCGATTCATCGGTCGGGCTCCACTGTAAAACTTTGTAAAATTACAGTAAATTACTGGCAGCAGTTTCACCAATAATTTATTGTATAATTAACAGAATCTGTTATGACTGTACTCTGCTGTAATAATTCATAGATTACAGTATTTCACAGGCGGTCTCACAGTTATATACTGTAAATGTACAGTGTAGCTCCTGTATCAAAGAAATACAGTAATTTATTGTAATCCAATGTACAGTTATATGTTGTAAAAAATAATAGTTACAGTATTGTACTGGTTGCAGTTTTGCCAGTGCACTATACTGTATAATTTACAGTATATCTGATGAATACAATTGAAAGTTGATTTGGCATAACTCAACCATAAATCAAAATTTGGCCCCCGAGAGCTCCAACTCAAAGACAGACCACCTCAAACTGCCTCAGGCTGTTGTTCACCAGAGCGCTTAAACCATCCATCAAAGACAGTCTACGTAGTTTGCTTTTTATGCTCTTTTTGTGTGTTTTTACCCAGCCCTCAGCCCCCTCCTCTTATCGCTTGCTAAGTCAGGAACACACTCCACGTGAAGGCAACTCTCTTTGAGTCTCATGTGTGTACACGCACAGTTTTTTGTTTCATTCATATTTTTTTCTCGTGTGGTGATGATGTAAAGATAAATGGCATTCCACTAAACAAGGAAGGAAGGAGAACGCATCCTGACACCTGTTATTGTTTCGTACATTTAAAAGCCTTCTTCATAGCTGTATCAGTGTGCCACCATTATGAAGATATTCTTATATGGATCTTTTCAGGCACTCTTTTCTCTGGATGCTTAAAAATTCAGATGTTTTTGATTTACTGTTTCTTTGAGACCTTCCTGTTCAAAACAGTTCAGGTATGGAAACATATAACAACCTTTTTGTCAGAACTACACACAACTTTTTCAAAATATAATTTGTCATATCAAATTATATTTAAATGGACAAGCCAGTTTTCAAGATCAGATCTATGACCTGCTCCAGATCATTTATTAGTTTGTGCTTCTAAGTGTCCATGGACGGATTAACCAGCTTCTGGGCCCCGGGCTCCTATTAACCCACCATTCCTCCCAATCTCTGCACATCATCACTATCACTATGCTGAGATATTCCATGGCCCCAGGTTTGCTGTGAGGTAATTTGATTTCGACACAAATTAATTTAGGAATGTGCTAAATGTAAGCACAGTATCGGCTGAATTAATGAAGGTCTTAAAGGGCCATGCCAGTGATTCAATGTGCGCTTTCATTAAACATTCAGGACACTCAAGCACAGACAGAGATCCTGACTATGTGGTCATATCGTTTACGCCTTGACATCAACTCAGGAGAGTTTTATGTTAACTGTGTTTGCTGTTTTGAGGGGTTTAAAAAAAGCTAAAATGACATGCCAAGTCAGATATATCAGAGAAACACGTCTGTCTTAATGTGGGTAGGGACTGCAGCGGATGAAAATGTACCCTCTCAAGGCGATGTTGGGCTTATTTCAAGTTCTGTTCCTGTTGATAATCAGATCGTGCCCTCCCTTTCATGTCTGGACAGAGTATATTGATATATTTGCTCACAAGGACATCAATTTACCTCAAACCTGGGGCTTTTGAGGGATCGTCTCAAGAAGCTCTTGTTAATTATGGTCATCCAAGAGTCCGTGCCCACCCCTCCACATATCACCTTTTATTTTCATCAACATTCCGAGTTGTTAGTCCACTTCCTCCTTACTAAAAGGTGAATCCACTGACACATTTTATGGATCAAGTCAAATCCTGTCAGTACATGAATGGTGACAAGAGCTTCAATGGGCTGGGTTTTTTGTTCTTATGGACTCATTTTATTATTGTCATTATAATTATGATTACGACATTGATGTAAACCACTTGTTGAGACATCACATTCGCTGTATTTCCTCCATGTCAAGTTTAATGTTGGCTATATCATCTTGGAAAAAAAATGTTTGAAGTTATGATACAATATTATTCTGTGTCTCCTCGGTGTTTTTTGCAGTTATACAACTTCCTCTTGATGCAGGCACAATGCTGGTACATGCTGTCGCACTTTTTAGGGAAATGAGACCCCAATGTAAACCATGTTAACCCCCCTCCACACACAAACACACACACACACACACACACACACACACACACAAACACACACGCAGTCAGTCAGTCACACACTGCAAAAGGAAGCGTCTAGGTCACGAGGGAAGTGACAGAAAACACGAAGTGTAATATTTTGCAACATGAGTATCATTCCAATAAAGTTTTACTTGTTAAATTCTACTGAACTTCTGTGTTTTTGAGTGTTTCTTTAGTGTCTGATCAGTGATGAGGAGAGAGAGTGAGTTTTCAAAGAGATATTTCAATTGCTCGGTGTCTCAGTGTTGTCGCCTGGAGGTCAGACATCCATCACTGCCGCCTGATGCGGAGTTGAGCCGTCATCCACCCATCTGTTGACCGCCCAGCTCAGTCTGATTCGCTAAAAAAAAAACAAAAAAAAAACACATCACTGAAAAATAACCTCCTCTCTGCTGTCTGGACTGTGTGCTTCGCTCTTTCTTTGTGTAGAAATCAGATTCAACAAATTGGACGACACTGCGAACAAAGAACATCGCTCGGATGCGTTAAAAGGCATACAATTCCACCTTAAATGCTATTTGCGTTTGTGTTGGATACCTCGTCGCCATCTTCGGTCCACCTTAAGCGCACAATGTGGCCAACGAATGCGAGCGTACCAGCCGGGCTTCCGTCCTCATTCTCCTGCCGAGGATCGCGCTCCGGCTTCCCAGCTTTGACACAGCGTCACTTGTGAAACAACAGAGGGGGGAGAAAGACGCACTCGGGCCAAACCCCATCCGCACCAGCAGGAGAAAGATGTCCGAGCCCAATAAGTACCGAGAGTGGATCCTGGAAACAATCGACTCTCTCCGGTCGAGAAAAGCTCGTCCGGATCTGGAGAGAATTTGTCGAATGGTTCGGAGACGTCATGGCTCGGACCCGGACCGAACCAGGACAGAACTGGAAAAACTGATTCAGGAGCAGACGGTGCTCAAAGTTAGCTACAAGGGCTCCATATCGTACCGAAACGCGGCGAAGGTGCAGAGGAAAAGCCGAAAGAAGTGTGAGTTTACGGGCGCTGGCAGCAGCGGCGGCGGCAGCGGCGGCGGCAGCGCGGAGGCAGCGAGGGAGCGGACCAAACACGACCATCTGAACAACAACGGCGACAGTGCGCACAGCTTCACAGACCAGGAGGAGGGAGAGGAGGACTCGCAGCCCAGCCCAGAGCCCCACACTCAGACAGCAGCCAGCAGCTCGGGAAAAAAGCTTAAGCCTGCCCCCAGCCCGAGCAGCGGAAAGGGGTGCCTCAGTTGTGGCGCAACAACGGGCTGCGATGTCGGGAGCGGCTGTAAAGAGGAGAAAGCAAGTGCATCAAAAGACAAGGGATTAGGACAGCAGGGAGCGGGGGGCTGCCCGTCGCCCGGTCTCGTCCATAGAACAAGCGCAAACGACGGCGGAGATGCCAGCGGGACAACGCCGAGCAAAACCGATGCAGTTCGCGGAGGAAAGGTCTCGGGTCTTTTCGGGGCTGACACCCAACACAAAACTTGCTCTGGGGGCGTCAGCCTTCAACAACAGGGACCGAGGCAGACTGTGCTCCTCAAGCCCAAACTTCGTGTCGGAGGAGGGGGCACCAGAACAGCGGGGAACCACGCCAACTCCGACCTCGGCGACAGACTGGTGGCTTCTGTACGCAGCCTGTCCGAGAAGAGCCTCCGGGGGGGCTCCACCGCCACAAGAGGCCACGGTAAACCGCTCGGGCTGAAGGAGATCCTCGGCTATCTGAGTAGTCAGGAGCGGCTGTCGGAGGAGAAGCTGACCCGAGGCAAAGTCAAAGTGGTGATGGAGAGAGAGGTGGCGAGGGGCAGGCTGCGCAGGACCCGCTGCGGGAACATTACTCTTCCTCTAAGGGGGATGGTGCTGGAGGAGCCGAAGAATGCGTCCGCTGACAGACTTGTAAAGAGCGCACTGCAGGACAGACACACTGTGAAAAAGGTGGGCACTGGTAACTTAATATTTCTAACACGTCCCGGTTGTACAGGGCGCGCGGATCAGTGCTGGCTTTTGATGGTTTGCTGATTAATTAATGGTCACTTATTAAAACCGCACAAAAAAGGCGCCCTTGCAAAAAATAATGTTTCCGTATTAACCTTGGTGTTTATAATGCACAGGTGTTTGATGACATTTTGCACATTAAAGAGGGTTAATTGTTGTTTTCCAATTTTCACGAGAGGAGACCGTGCCCGTGTTGCGTTTGTCCTCTGAAGCCTCGGTAAATACGAGTGTGTGTGTGTGTGTGTGTATGTGTGTGTGTGTGTGTGTGTGTATCTCGGCTTCCTGCACAAAAGGTGCGGGTTAAGAGCAGACTGCGCCGGAGCGGCTTCCCCGACTCCCCGCGATGAGCGCGCGCATCATAAAAAGAGCGTCTCTGCATGGCGCGCGCTCGCGCAGGTCCTGGCTTCGTCGCTTAATCACTATTTGGGGTCAATATCGTTTCATTTCGCACTCGGGAACTTTAGCAGTGCGCAGCAGAGCAGAGTGTCTGGGCCTGCCGCGCAGTAGGCGGTGTCCGTGAAAAACTTGAGTGCTGCGTGTCGCGCAGGCCGACCGAGGACTCAAACAGCAGAACATCATGTTATGTCATGGAGCCTTTATCACAATTTGTGTTTTGTTTAGACGCACGTTTCTAATCACATTGTTTTTCCTTTCCCCTCTCCACGATGTAGTACTCCCCGTTTCGAGCCTCATTAAATCCTTTGTATGATTTCTGACAGCGCTCTCTCCTCCCCCTCTTCCTCCTCTTGTGGGTGAGGACTTCAGTAGGCTACAGTAGGCGGCTAACGTTATTTCGGATTTCTGTCTTTTCTCCAAGCTGTAGGTGGGATTTTTTTCAGTGTCTGAGTTAAAGCTCGATCCAATCAGGTACCAATAAGCCTGGTGAGAACTCGTATCAAACTCCAGTCTGCTGTATGGAGACAGTTTTTAAAAATACAACTTTATGGGCCTATATGTCATTGCAGCCGCCTTCCCCCTCTCTCCAGGAAGATGAGCCAATGGAAACAGCGAGCGAAGAAGAGGAACGGGAGGATAATGAGGAAGAGGAGAAGGACGATCCCCGGAGTTCTGAGGAGGAGGGTGGACTTTCCCCGGTAGCCATGACAACAGAACCAGAGCTCATTGAGAAAACCATAGAAGATGTTGAGGTCCAGACAGCATCAAAGCAGGAGAACTCCCAGAAGCAGAACAAAGGTAAAAGTGTGTGTCTGGACACCTTTGCATGTGTTTTTTAAAGATTATGTTCAATAAAATAACAACATTAAGTTTCATCTGTATTAGATTTGATAGCAAAAGTTAATTGTCATTGCACAAGTACAAGCAAGGCCTAAGGAGGGAAAGAGGGGGGAAGCTGCATGGGGGCCCGCAAGGGGGGCCGCATGGAGGTCAGCGATAAACAAGGTCCACCCTAGACTGAAGCAATGATCACCAAATTTTATTCTGGAACTGCACTTTTGGTTTATGTGGGTTTTTTGTGTGTGCAAAGTAAATAGTAGAAAAAATAATTTATATATCAAAATACACTGTTTGCAACACCTATTGTTAACCATGAAATTTCACCACCACTATTACTTCTTCTTGCTTACTTACTTGTAATAATAGTCTTAATTCTAATAAAATAATAATAATAAAATGTATCAATAACAGATCCATCTGTCTTCTCATTGTCAAGGTTTGGTTGCTGATCTCTCGAGGGTGCCTGGGCTTGATTCCCTCAGCAGGACGCCATACTCACCTATTCAGGGAACTTCCCTGCCACAACTTAACGTTACTCACCTGGAGGACAGGAATGGGGCCCAAACTCATCTACAAACAGATGCAATGGTATGTACAAAATGGGCATTTCTTTTAAAGTTTTCTGAGAAAACCTTTTAAATTAAGTCAAATTGGAGAGCCTCAGTTCTGCCTGACCTTTGGTACATCTCTTTTCATCTTTTTCCAATCATCTTCATGGGTGTATAGTAAAGGTTAGAAAAGACTTAAAGTCAAACAAACTCATATAAATCATGATTTTTTTTTGTAGTAGTATGCATGGATTAGTAAATTAATGCGTTCTATGAAAACATATTTAAACGGCATATTTGTCTGCTGTCATATTTTTCCAACTTTATGTTTTCAATGCATCATCACATTTTCAGTCAGATCAAGTTAAGTAAATATAATTGTTTGTATTCTTTGTGTGGCAGGTCCACACTCCCTTAATAATACCCCCCTACTGAAACATCAACCAGAAGCAGACTCTAAAGATGGATTTCTGCCTCCAACAGATAATTAAAGAGACAGAAATAGAGCGAGAGAGACAGTACAGTATTCAAGTTCCTTATAGAGATGTAGTTACAAATGGCGGCTGTAGTTTTATTCATTATAAAAGAATAGACTAGAAAAGAACATAGCAACAGGTTTCAGTAGGTATATGTGGTCAATAAGAGATCCAGACAGCGTGGGAAACAGATGCAGAATGAGACCTCAGTGCATCATGGGACATCTCGCTCTGGTCTAGGCGTAAAGCGCCATAACTAAAGAATGTTTCAGGGCTCAAGAGTTTTAATCCAACTCCTAAATGTAGAGAGGAATTCTGCCCCTCTAATCCAATCTGGGAGCTGCTTCCACACAAGAGGAGCTTTAAAGTAAAAGACTCTGCCTCCCATACTATGTATGGAGACTCTTGAAACCACAACTAAGAACGCATCCATGAAGCGCAGCATTCTGGTATGGGTGATAGGGAACTTATTTACATTTAAGATATTATAGTCCCTGACCATTGAGAATTTAATTCTTGATTTTACAGTTAGACAGTTATAGTCCCTGTCAGCACAAATGCTGCAGAATCCTGGATCAGCTCGAGAGTCTTCCGCACTTTGTAAGGTGAGTGCAGGTATATTATTTAACATACAAAGATAGAAATATAGAAAGCCTTTATTGTCATTATACAACTGTACAACGCAATTAGAAATGCTTCACCTTAATGTGCATAGACATTCAGGCATCCACAGATACAAACAATGTGCATTCACTTTCATTGACTAGTGTGGCTGCCAGAATAAAGCATAGGTTAAAAACATAAAGAAAAGGCTGTCCTTGAAGTTTGTTGTATATGGGAGTTTAGATTCAGATTCTTTATTGTCCCACAAGGGAAAATTTGCGCTGCAGCAGAAGCACACAGAAGACAAGAAACCCAAGGACGACATCACCATAAAACATAAACCAAAACATATTTTTTATTTTATTTTTTACCTTTTTTTGGGGGGGGGGGGGTGGGGGGATATCCTGATCTAAGATTACACCAACATTCCTTTTATTTTGAGTCAAAATATCTGACTGGATAAGCCATGTTCAAATCAGCATTGCCGTATGCCAGACATCAACAGCATCATTAGTTCAATCAGGAGAGACAAGAAAATGATCGAAAGATGAAAGGTTTATTTTACATATGTGACAGAATGATTGTCAGAGAATCTTTGGCACTTGAACTCTACAGGGAGACAGGGTGATTGAAGATGTCTGCCCTGAGCGGCAACAAGCTCTATCCCCCCCTAGAGTCCAGACACTGGTGGTGGAGGTGTTAGCGGATGATGTCGTCTGGGTTGATGCGATGAAGAAGTTGATTGAACTGTGAAGACTAGAATTGATGAGGAGATGGTTAATGAGGTCATCTGAGGCTAAATGCGAAGGCTGGGGTTGACCGGACAATGGCTGATGATGTCATCTGAGGCTAATGGGATGAAGGAGGTGAAGAAACTGCGAAGGCTTGGTGGCGATGGGGAGGTGGAGGGTCGCTCGTAACGATGGCATGAATGAACAAGTGGAAGAGAAAACCTTTTTTAAACGAGACAGCAGCAATGTGATAGGCTAACATTGAGGGAGTGGAGCAGTGCTATTGGATAGATGTGACCAGGTGATGATTACAAGAAGTAATGAGTGGGCATGCGTGGAGGAGTGATTTGACATGGTATGAGAATAAACAATAAAACGAGTGTGCAAAATATAGTCTTCCTGTCTGAAATTTCGCTAGAGCCACATATAATGGAATTTTTTTGGCTGAAGTACGATAGCTGCCTAATTGTTAGTTTAACAGCCAAATTGTGGTCATTCCAGGTCTTTATGTTCTTGATTCTTGCTTGTACTTTACTTAACAGACTGATATCATGTGGCTTGATTGACAGATATAATTGGGTATCATCTGCATCCAATAATAATAATAATAATAATAATAATATAATGATAATAATAATATAATGATAATATTAATATAATGATAATATTAATGAAAATAAACACATTTTAGGGAGTTTACTAACTTTGGCATTCATGTGGATTCACTCAGTAAATCTACATTATAACATTCAAGTTGAGTTGTAATACTATAAAGCCAAGTTAAGAATTAAAAAAGGATCCACACAGTCTATTCGTTCTCAAATATCTTCTTCAGGCTTTGTCGACGGGATTGTGATCCGATTGAGAGTCGACCTGCTCTCAAGTCGGAGCAATCAGAGGCAGAGCTGGACGACACTGTCTGATAGTCTGTATGTAGGAAAGAACATGCCTCCATATAAAGGGAAATAAAAACAAATTAGAATCACAAACAACAATATTAAATACAATACAACAATACTGCAAACCCAAACAGCTGATCTGTGTACCTTAGCAGGAGGATCATAATATGGTGCACCAAAGTTGTGCTAAAAAAAATTGGCTTGCGAGTAGAAAAACTAAATAACTGGGATTTTTTCAATATTGCATACCCCAATGTTGTTATTAGCCTCTGTAGTCTGCATAGCTCTGCACTCAGGCCGGTCTCTCCTTTAAGGGGGCTGAGCTGATTGTCATCTCCTGTTGCTAATTTACTTAATATTGACAAGTATCTCTTACTGCCCCACCCCAAAAATAGCAAAACTATCCCTTTAAAGATTTGGTGGACATGATTAAGGGTTGGTGTTCTGTCTGTCTATGAGCGTGTGTAAGTGATTGTGTGAGTGTGTGTATAAGAGTTGGCTCCCATCGTCCCACACTAGATTTGAATTGCATGACAAAAAAACCTTGGAAACACCTCAAATACTGTGCCATTAGTGAACAATGGTACAAGCCAATCATAGAACAGTTGGAAGGGTTCAGGCTGAACTCAAGAAAATACAAAAACACTGCCCAGCTTGTATCATGTCCACAACTGTAAACTGAGCACATAAAAGCTGAATTATCCAGTAAAATCCTGTAAATTTTGGATCTCAAGAAAAGTATTCTGTCACAATATACCCACCTGATAATTTCTAGTTATACCCTCTAATATATTCAATCCGTGTCCTTTCAACTTGTGATGTCAGAGCGGGGATGACATGCACCACATATTGTCAGGACAGTGAGTTCATCCTGCGACGAGGACTGTAGCTTCTGTTCATGCGGTGCCTGCTCTACTAACTAAGCAAAACCAGCGACTAAGTAAAACCAGCACCTCGTGTTGCCAATTTATGAAGTATTCAGCTTCGGGGGTTAAGATTTTGACCCAAATGCTTATAACAAAAACAACATATTTGATATGTCTTATGAGTTAACAAATACACTCTAACAAGAAGAACATAGTCAGAAGTAATTCCCTTATTTCTTAGTTTGTGTGATCCTACCATTTTGTTGGAGGACTGAATTCTTACTTACACAAATGTACCCTTGTTCCTCAGACAGGCTGAAATACTGAACCAGTGGTGTTGCATAGCATGTATGCTACTTTTGTTACAGTAGGACACATTATCAACCAGTTGGAAGATCAGCTTTGATTCTCGTCCATATGTCAATGAGTTCTTGGAAAAGACCTTGAATGGATGCGTATGGGTGTGTGTTTAAAAGGATGAATGTGTAGATCACGTTGAGTGGTCTGAAGACCAGATTGGCAATATATAAATTGAGTCAATTTACTTCTAAGATTTATTATATTCATATCTTTCAGTCATGTGACCGGGGAGGAGGCTTGGAGGGCAAAAAGAACTTTAAAGGTCACATTTTGCAAAATACACTTTATCATGTTTTATGACACTAGTAGGTGTATCTAGCCTGTCTATATTAAACGAGCACATTTTGCAATGACAGTAGGAAACCTCCCTAAAGTGGCCCCATATTACAGCACTCCCTCTCCATGCTCTGCTAAGCATCACGTGCATTTTTGCTGCGAAAATCCAAAGTTTGTCAAAGAACAGAAAAAGAAGAGAAATGATCTGTGTGGGAGTGAGAAAAGAAAGAGGAACAAAAGAGGAAGACAAGTAAGCGTCGGGACACTAGCAGACATAATGGTGAAGAACGCTGGTTGGAGGGGCCCCAGTCCCCAGATGAAATTTTGCTCAGGGCCCCGACAGACTCTAGAATCACCACTGCAGACAGGGCCTCTCTGTGTGCTTGTTCTCCTCGTGCATGCGTGGGTTCTCTCAGGGTACTCTGGCTTCCTCACATGGTCTAAAGACATGCTCGTTAGGTTAACTGGTGACTCTAAATTACCCGTAGGTGTGTAAATGTGAGTGAAGCTAGTTGCCTGTCTCTATATGTCGGCCCTGTGATTGACTGGCGACCAGTCCAGGGTGTACCCCGCCTCTGGCCCAATGACAGCTGGGATCGGCTCCAGCCCTCCACGACTATGATTATGGATGGAGGGATCTGCTTGTTGCACATCTTTACTTTCTTTCATTCTTATTTTTTACAACCTTTCTATTTTACATCCATGAATAAATGCAGTGTCATAATGATAACATCGGTTGTATATAAAGACTGATTGACAGGAAACATGATTTCACTTTATCAGACAGACAACCAGACAAACAGAAAAAGAGGTTTGGTATGTGGGGGTGACTCATCAGTTCTTTCTCCCCCACCAGTCCACCTTCTACCTTCCACAGTCTTGTAAATCTCATAACAGATGTTATTGTTGCAATTTCTTTCTGATGTACTGCACGCCTCTTGAGTTTAGGTGGAGGTCACTTTTTTCTGATGTTTTTTTTTTCTCTGCAGCTCGTATTGAGTCCAGAGAGAGAGTTTATTTATGCCCTCTTTTTTTGAGTCATCTTCGTTTGACCCTCTCTCTTCTCCCAAAAAACAATCAGATGCCGAATGACAGAATCAACCGCACCTCCCCGGGCTTGAACTGTGAGTTTGCTTAACAGATAAACTAACAAAAAGTGCACACGTGTTTTAATATTTGTAGTTGTTATTTCATGATGATGAAAGGTATTGAGACTGAGATTCATTTTTCTCTCGTAGGCCAGGAGTCCAAGACAGAGGTCGGAGTGTCGTCCTGCCTGCTCACACCCACTGCCTCCCCAAGGGACTCCTGCCTGTCTGAGGAACGAGGGATAAACGGAGGAGTAAACAGTGGAGGGTGAGTACAGCAGAGATACAGGAGACTTTGATCAGGCTACACAGATTTGTTGTTTGTGTTGTCTGCACAGCATGGAAGTCCTCCACTGACCACCTTTGGCCATCCTAATCCTAATCAAACAACCCCTTCTGAGGTATTAATCAATCAGCACCTGGTGTTTTTTCTTCTTCTGTGGAGAATGAGAAAAATCTCCCTTTATGATGTCTCTGAACTTTCATCTTTCTTTCATCACACAGTCAATATAGCTCGGCAAAATGAACAAGTGATCATAATTATAAGATCAAAATGGGATTTGTGACATGTTGATGTTGTTACTGTATTTTAGTTGGTTGAAAAATTGTTGAAACACCAACAAACCTGTTGCACCCTGTTTTCAATCAGATTCAGGGCTGACATCACGGTGAGTGCTCACCGCATTCACTTGAAATGGTGTTTTGCCTGAAAAATGAAGGACTTGTTTTTGCTGGATTTGACTCTGTTTCTTGGTGTTAAACTCTTGTTTGGAATACATCTGGGTCTGTATGGTAATTGTCCCACTACGTTCAACTTTAATCATAGTCTGGGGTTTGGTTCTCTGTGGGTGTTTGTCAGTGTGGCTGTAAGAGCTTTTTTCTACTCTATGAAAGTTATCAAATTTATCGAAATTTTTTAAAATTTATTCATCTGTATATAAAGAAGTATTTTTTTTGTACAGATAGGACAGTCACATAAAGTTGGAAATCAGGGACAGTAAGAATGGGGAATGACATGCAAGTAAGGAGCCACAGGCCTGATCCAAACTCATGACCCTCGCTTGGAGGACTACAGCCTTTGAACATGGTCCACTAGGCCAGTCTTTCTCAACCTTTTTGAGTCAAGACCCCAATTATAAAAAAAATTGGCGTTCACAACCAACACCTCTTCGCCCCATATGAGTTGATTCTCATGACATTTATGAAGCCAAGAAATAAACCATAACGTGTATAGCCTTATTTTGGGTAGAACTTAAAAAGAAAGACTTTACTGCAGGTTTTGTAACGTGCCCTCCGCCCTCTTTCTGGTCTCTCTAGATGTGTGAAGTCCGAGGGGGTCAGTGGGAGCCCGGTGGAGTGGACCGTGTCTGACGTTGTCAGTTATTTCACAGCAGCAGGTTTCCCTGAGCAGGCTGCTGCCTTCAAGACCCAGGTGAGCCTGTAATTCCACTTCTTTACCACTAGAGGCCACCAGAGAACCGATGAATGACTGTAACCTTTAACAGCTGTAACCTACACCTACCCACCCACAATGCTCTGCTCTCTTCATTAGGAAATCGATGGCAAGTCTCTTCTCCTCATGCAGCGTAATGATGTTTTGACTGGCCTGTCAATCAGACTCGGCCCCGCCCTCAAGATCTATGAGCGTCATGTAAAGGTTCTGCAGAGAACGCACTTTGAGGAGGACGACTGCTAACAAAAGACACATGAAGTACACACAGAGACCGTAAAGTCTGTATCTACAATTAGCTTCAATAATCTTATAACAATGTATGCATGAAATACAATACAATTTAATTTTTCATCTCATGGAAACCAGCTCTTACAACACACACACACACACACACACACACACACACACACACACACACACACACACACTATTCTTCTCCTCCGGGACCCCTCAGACTGCTTTGGTCCAGAAATGACAAAATAATGAGAATGCATTTCCTGTACAAAAAGATTTTCTACTGAACAGAGCAGTAATGTTGGAGGGAGAAGGAAGTCAGAACTTTTTATGATGGAGAAGTTGAAAAAATAAGTCATGCAAACTTTTCTTTTTTAAACATTCAATGAACAAGCACTTTTGTAATTCCTCGCTGTGCAGGACAGTTTGTTATTTTGGGCTCATATTTTGCACATTTTGAAAGAGGTTGTGTTCATGTGTGTGGGAGTTCATGTAAGTTTGTTTTTTTAAGGCTGTAAAGCAAGGTTTTCTGTGTTGTGGGTGCATGTTTGTCATTGTACACACCTTGTATGTGTGCATCTGGAAGAGTGACAGAGCTTTGTTGGATTGTAAAGAAAAACGAAGATAAAACACATTCCCACTGTCAAAATTAAAAACAGGACAGGGTTGGTGTGACCATGTGCACATGGTCATTGGTTATAGCAATAAGCTGGCACTTAAATGTTTGGGAGATGGTCGAACATTGTCAACTAAAGGTGGGATTGTCACCCACCTTGGGGAAGGGTTACAAATGGCCTGTTAAGCACAGTGCTTAAACTTTTCTGAAAAGTTTAAGCACCTTATCTGAAAAGTCGAGCAGGCAAAACACAGAGAGGATGAACTTTTCTCATAATCTGGGGGTTTGTAGATGGACTAGGGACACATATTAGTGTTAGAAAAACATGGTACAGTGTATTTGAATAATATGTGACCCTTAATTTGTTTTTTGATGCCAAGGACAGGGATTGAAAAACATTGATTGACAGCTCTGTTGACAAATGTGTTTGCGGTGCTGTGTGCACCTGATTAGAAAGGCCAAAGAGGAAGAGGAAGAGCAAACAAACAAACAAACAAACACAAGACTTCCCTAAACACTTTTTGTCTGCTTCAGATGCAGAGAACAGATACATGAATTTGTTCTCCTTGAGACTGAACCATTTCAAAAGGGTTCTTTGCCGTTTAATTGCTAAGTTGTGTCAAGTTGTGTTTTGGTTGGTTAATCCAGCGGCTGTAATGTGCAACTCTGGCTCTAAACAACATCACCACTGCACTATGTCGGCCTATCGCTGGGTTATTTGGCTCCAATCTGTCCTCAGTCTTGTAGTCTTGAAGTATGTGTCCTGGGCCACATTTGAAGACCTCCCACTCCCCCGTAACCAAAGCAACAACTACATTGAAATTCCAACTAATAGGCTTTCACCTGCTGTGGCTAAAGAATATCTAAGAGGTCGAGACAGAGTCTGGAAGCAGGTGACAGATTTGACTAATAAGCCCATCGTCATATTTTGTTATAAAGTTGGAGTTCATAAACGTAACTGATAAGGCTCAGGTTTACAGAGCAGCTAAGTGAGACCCAATCACAAGTGATCGCTGGAGATGCATTTGGAGACACGTGTTAATATCAGGTGTAAACACGCCCATGAAGAAAATAACTTTAATTTTATGAATTTTCAGAGCTTCTTATTTCTTGCCTTGTTTAAATTTTAAATTAATTGAGGTTTTTGTTTTTTGTTTTGAAAACATGGCTGAAGAGCCACATTAGAAACCTGCTTTAAATACATTATTGGTGCAGATCAAACCTGCAGGACAGCTGAGCTGCTGTGACTTCTTAATGCTGCAGGACTCTTTACTTCTGCTCACTAATCACTCAGTCTCTGGACTAATTCTTCTTCAGATGATCCTAACTCTAAAAACACATAAAAACCTTTAATAACAGCTCAATATTTAAAGCTACCAATCATAACGTATGTTTCCTCTGTTTTTGTCGTTGGTGCCACTGGTCAGAAGGTGTCGCTAAATTCTGTTTCGGACTTCACCCTAGGGGGACGTAGAAGACTAATGTCAGCTGAGCTTAAACAGCCAAACATCTCAGCTACATGTTAGAGTGAATATGTGAATACAGTAAAAAATGAGCCATCGTGACATCAGCCTTTATTTGTTAATGATTAAAAAACAGTTACCTGAAAGTTGAAATCGCAGGGTACCGCTGAGTCAATCAATCAACTAATCTCATGCCACCAGCAGTTTTTAACTGTTTGTACTGTTCAAACTTTAGAAACGAAATACTGTCCAACTTTATCACTTTCTCAGACTGGGGTCAGGTCCATACCTCATGAGGTTTTTATTCTCTCGTGTAATTCGGGGAATTGAACGGGCCCCAGTACATAAAAGGATACAAGATTGCTGGTCACATATCAGTGTCCACAGAGCTCTGTGTGTGTCTTAAGTAATTTGTAGAGATCTCAGATGAGCCCATATGCCGTTAAATTAAGTGTTCTGTATCTGTTTTTATTGTTTCCCCTACTGAAGGCAGACATGTTGCAGAATGTTTTGCCACTCAGTCTGACTGAGGGGGCGTGATTCAATGAAAAAGGTGGCGTCAATGCGTACCCTCTGTAGGCTAACTGGTTAACTAAAAGGGGGCAGAAATCGTCCTGAGGGTTCGGCCTGGCTCCTGGCCTATCTCTCGTCTCATTCCCATCTTCACCGTAAAGACTCCATTCCAGGTTTGACATCACCTCTGTGCATGTTTAATTAAAATTACCCATTCTTGTATATTCTTGTCTCCAAGATTTATGTTGCAGTTTGTGAATGTTCTCAATCCACTCTCCACGTTCTGATGTTTACATTTCTTTGTGCACTCAAGCCTCTGCTACCTCTCACCCCCAGTTTCTCCTTCACTGTTAATTTTTTTTGCAACTTTAAGAAGACATAGCAGGTTCTAACACAACACAACTTGCCTGTCAAAGCTTATCAAAACCAGATGATCCTGTACAGACAAAGGAAGAGGTCGAGACAGAGTCTGGAAGCAGGTGACAGATTTGACTAATAAGCCCGTCGTCATATTTTGTTATAAAGTTGGAGTTCATAAACGTAACTGATAAGGCTCAGGTTTACAGAGCAGCTAAGTGAGACCCAATCACAAGTGATCGCTGGAGATGCATTTGGAGACACGTGTTAATATCAGGTGTAAACACGCCCATGAAGAAAATAACTTTAATTTTATGAATTTTCAGAGCTTCTTATTTCTTGCCTTGTTTAAATTTTTAATTAATTGAGGTTTTTGTTTTTTGTTTTGAAAACATGGCTGAAGAGCCACATTAGAAACCTGCTTTAAATACATTATTGGTGCAGATCAAACCTGCAGGACAGCTGAGCTGCTGTGACTTCTTAATGCTGCAGGACTCTTTACTTCTGCTCACTAATCACTCAGTCTGTGGACTAATTCTTCTTCAGATGATCCTAACTCTAAAAACACATAAAAACCTTTAATAACAGCTCAATATTTAAAGCTACCAATCATAACGTATGTTTCCTTTGTTTTTGTCGTTGGTGCCACTGGTCAGAAGGTGTCGCTAAATTCTGTTTCGGACTTCACCCTAGGGGGACGTAGAAGACTAATGTCAGCTGAGCTTAAACAGCCAAACATCTCAGCTACATGTTAGAGTGAATATGTGAATACAGTAAAAAATGAGCCATCGTGACATCAGCCTTTATTTGTTAATGATTAAAAAACAGTTACCTGAAAGTTGAAATCGCAGGGTACCGCTGAGTCAATCAATCAACTAATCTCATGCCACCAGCAGTTTTTAACTGTTTGTACTGTTCAAACTTTAGAAATGAAATACTGTCCAACTTTATCACTTTCTCAGACTGGGGTCAGGTCCATACCTCATGAGGTTTTTATTCTCTCGCGTAATTCGGGGAATTGAACGGGCCCCAGTACATAAAAGGATACGAGATTGCTGGTCACATATCAGTGTCCACAGAGCTCTGTGTGTGTCTTAAGTAATTTGTAGAGATCTCAGATGAGCCCATATGCCGTTAAATTAAGTGTTCTGTATCTGTTTTTATTGTTTCCCCTACTGAAGGCAGACATGTTGCAGAATGTTTTGCCACTCAGTCTGACTGAGGGGGCGTGATTCAATGAAAAAGGTGGCGTCAATGCGTACCCTCTGTAGGCTAACTGGTTAACTAAAAGGGGGCAGAAATCGTCCTGAGGGTTCGGCCTGGCTCCTGGCCTATCTCTCGTCTCATTCCCATCTTCACCGTAAAGACTCCATTCCAGGTTTGACATCACCTCTGTGCATGTTTAATTAAAATTACCCATTCTTGTATATTCTTGTCTCCAAGATTTATGTTGCAGTTTGTGAATGTTCTCAATCCACTCTCCACGTTCTGATGTTTACATTTCTTTGTGCACTCAAGCCTCCGCTACCTCTCACCCCCAGTTTCTCCTTCACTGTTAATTTTTTTTGCAACTTTAAGAAGACATAGCAGGTTCTAACAGTTAGTTGAAGGTGTGTGCTGCCGCTGTTTGTATAAAGTTTGTTTCATTCTCATGAGTTTAACCTGTAGGAAAGGAGGACAGTGTTTTAAGTCTACATTTACACCAGGTGAATGTATAATGAGTCCATGCTCTTGTTATTCATCTCAAGTCATTTGTTAAAGGACAATTTTAGTAATAAAAGTTTCAACTAAAAGACTTCAATGTGTCCATTGTGAGTATTTGTCCACACATGTTGCATGAAATGTCCTGTTGGTGCATTTGTTTTCATTTGACAGCTGTGCACATGTGGAGTGTGTGTGAGAGAGGGAATCCTACAAGTGTTTAGAGAAGCTGGATCTCAACAGCCAATCCTTTCAGTCACAACACTGAGGAGTCAAAGGAGGAAAGACCATGCTGCGTGCAGGAGAAATCATCCAAAATAGACACAATATGAGTCTGTTCTTTTGGAAAATAATCTATTTATAACATATACCACAAATATGTCACAGTAAGCCAGGAAGTGTTTTCCCATGACCATGCAGCACATTCACTAGTTGGAACGAGAGGGTGAAAGAAATATCAGGCTATATCTGTCCTGGGACACTCTCCAAGGTAAGTGTTTGGGATCTCTGAGTGTGTGCGACTGTGTCATAGTTTGTGTGTGTGCAAACGATGGGGTTACAAATCAGACAGGGTAGCAGAAGGGCATATTTATACCTCCACTTACAGGCTGCAGCTTCCATAAACATGGTGGTACAAGGCGACGAGGGAAAACAAAAAGATTGAGACGCTCTCTTTGGAACTTCTGGGCTTCAAGACGACCAAAACCACAGCGGGTTGATCAGGACCTGAATCGTTTGGAATTGAAAACAGCAGAAATCAGGTCATTTGTGACGGACTCCTAAATATAACAGGGAGGGGATGAAAGTGTGAAATATAGAGGATACCTGACAAAACAAAGAAGAGCAATCATGCCAAGCTCAGGAGGAGCCGAGTGAGTCAAACAGCTGCATGTTTACAGCTTAAGTGTGTGCTATGCCTACCCATGCATACTGTATGTGAACCAACTGTACGACATGTGAAACACTGAATACTGTTGTCATAAAGCTGGTTTAAATCATTTTACACATATCCATTGATGATTCAATCAGATTTTCTTAATGTCAACAGTCCCATTTAGTTGCTACGTGCAGAGCCAGAGAGTCTAAATACAGCTCAGTGTCACATGAGGAAATTAGAGCTACAAGTGCAGGGCCTGCATGTGAGAGAGTCATAATGTTTGTCTTGTTTGAAGCCCAAAGGGAGAAGATTTCTCCACTGCCATCCTGAAGCAGAAACACAGACCTAACAGACTCATTGTGGACGAATCTCTAAATGAAGACAACAGTATTGTCAGCCTGTCCCAGGTCTGTGTCTGGAGTTTGGTGGTCTGTAAAAGGTTTGAATCCAGTCATGTTGCTCTTTTCCTGAGATTTGTGTTTCCACCAGAATAAAACGGAGGAGCTTCAGCTCTTCCGAGGTGACACGGTGGTGTTGAAAGGGAGGAAGCGTCGTCAAACTGTGTGTATCGTCCTGACTGATAACACCTGTGGGGTAGAGCGGGTCCGCATGAATCGTGTGACACGCAACAACCTGCGTGTCCGGCTCGGTGATGTTATCAGGTAAATCTCAAACCTGTATACCTACTGTGAGGTTTGACAACATTACGAGAAATAATCTGAATCAATTGCCGTTGATGTCTTTTATCCCAGCATTCATGCCTGCCCTGATATCAAGTACGGGAAAAGGATCCATGTCCTCCCTATAGATGACACTATTGAAGGCCTCACAGGAAACCTCTTTGAAGTTTTCCTCAAACCCTATTTTCTTGAAGCCTACCGGCCTGTACATGAAGGTACTGCTACACATGTGCAAAAACTCACCCCCAGTGAAAAGCTCTGCTAATGAAATTACCCTGATCCTGTAAAGCCACAATAATTCCCAGCCAGTCCCTCAAGAATAAGTTCTTAGCTGGTGTCAAGCACTTATTAGAATAGAGGGCAATGCCATCACAATGAAGGATCATGTATTATAAACAGCAAACACAGATGTGGTGTTCTCCAAGGTTCTATTCTGGGACCTTTGCTGTTCCTGATCTTCATAATGTAACTAAAGTCTGCGTCTATTGCTGACGACTCCCATGAGTATCCTGTATTCTGTCCAAGCCAAATGCCTGTGTAAGCCAAGAATGGTTGTGATTGTTTGAAGAGGGGTCGTATTCTCAATTCTATAAATTATCCAGTGCCAGTGCCACATAATCGAGCAAATTTTATGAAAAATTGGCAATGAAAATGTAAGATTATGTTATATTTAGATTTATTTCAGGGCTGTACTTTGCTGTACGCAAGCCACATAGTTATAACAAATTTGGCGCACAACGTACGTATTACTTCGCCTGCAGTTCACTTGGTCTTTAGTGTACAAGTCAACTTAAATTTTATCGTACACTGATAGTTCTGTTTTGAATTTAGAATTAACTGCATCCTGCAGTTTGAGATCATTTTAAGCAACAAATGTTTAAAGATTAGCAGCGTTCAGTACGTCAGGGAACTCTGGATGGTGAGTGATGCAGGCTGCAGACATGTGTGTGTGCGGCTGGTATCCTCTGATCCAGAGTGGTTTGAAGTACAGTATTGTTCTACCAAGTCCAACTTGTAGCTCCCAGTGTTCGTGGGCATGGGCTCAGATTACAAATCTGCATCACCAAGTAACTTTAGATCTCTCCTGTCGCCCAGTTTCCATAGAAGTTATCCCCCACTCATCATTTAGCCCTGCAGAGTCTCTATCTGGAGTTCTCCTCTGTGTACTCAGGTCCATAAAAGTATCCTCTCATATCCACAGTAAACAGCAGGTCATTGTCAATGCAAAAACTGTTAACTTTTCAGTTTTGGTTTCATTGATGTACAAAATAAATTGTATATGGTGCCTTGAAGTAGTGCTAAAACTAAAGGCTTGCAGATGGCAAAGTACAGGACAGAATAAGTTCTAAATATAGCGTACACTTATACCTACATTGTCTTTTAGGTCGTTTTTTAAAACAAAATCGTCTTAAATTACATGGTACAATGGCCCCTTCTGTAGGTATGTATATCAATCAATCAATCAATCAATCAATTTTTATTTGCATAGCGTCAACCGATAACAAGTGTTATCTCGAGACACTTTACAAAAAGCAGGTAAAATACCTTACTCTTTGTCTGTTAACATTACAAAGAAGCAGGTAAAATACCTTACTTATTGCTATATTACAAAGATCCGGCGGGGGGGGGGGGGGGGGGGGGTAGTTCCCCCGGTAGTCTAAGCCTATGGCAGCATAACTAGGAGCTGGTCTACACCAGCACCAGCCCTAACTATAAGATTTATCAAAAAGGAAAGTTTTAAGTCTATTCTTAAAAATACAGACTGTTTCTGCCTCCTGGACCCCGGCTGGAAGGCGATTCCAGAGGAGAGGAGCCCGATAACTGAAGGCTTTACCTCCCATAGTACACTTAGAGACTGTAGTGTATAGTAAATATTGCATTTATTGAGTAACTCTCTGCAGTTACTCAATAAAGGGACCAAGCTGACCGGCTTGCTACCACAAGTACCTCATAAAAACCCCACTTCAAAAAATCTGAACAATCATTTTAAAAGCTGGAAAAGTAAGAACGTCCCTAATAAAGCTAAATGAAGATAAGATGGAGACCTTTATGTCAGCCAATAAATGAGAGGCATTCAGTTTTGCAATCACTGGACATCTGGTCTCACACATGTCATCACAAGTAACCTTTGTTTAATTAAAGATTCTGACCTCAACTTTACAGCTGTTATTTGTTACATCGCTAAAGTAGCAACAATAGACCTCTGATGAGCCAGCAAGATGCTGATAAGCTTGTTTCGCCTTTTTGTCTAATGGCATTGGCTATGAAAACACTTCATAAAGTGGCCCGCCAAAAGCAGCAATGCCTAGTGCCTGGTTAAAAAAAACTTTAGCCGACATGCAGTAAGAGAGTATTAAAACTCCAGATTTATGCAACCTTTCCTAAATCCCGTAACTTTCAGAATTGATTTTAAAGTTTTTCTTGTTGTTTACATGATGCCAGCTTACCACTCCCCCTTGAGCATGTGTAATGTTTCAAACTTGTGTTTTTGATGTCTTCTTTCTCTGTTGAACAGTAAAACACATGGCATCGCTTTCTGTGCATGCAAGGGGATCTTTAAAGTTCATTATCCTTTATTTATACCAGGCGTGACTGCATATTTTGCATGTACCATCTTGTTTGTGGTTCAGCATCATACAGTGTTACGTTATTTCATTGTAGGAAAGATATGTAGTTCACATTTCAACGTTCCTGAACTCTTCATCTGTGTTTTCAGGGGACATCTTCTTGGTGAGGGGGAGCATGCGGGCCGTGGAGTTCAAAGTGGTGGAGACAGACCCCAGCCCGCACTGCATCGTCGCCCCGGATACGGTCATTTACTGTGAAGGAGAGCCAATCAAGAGAGAGGTAAAACTCTATGAGCCCCTAGTCCCGGCTCTATTCTATGATTCTTGTTTAATAAAATATACTCCATTTCTTAATGCACTGTTTTGACTGATAGTGTGAAACAATGTGCTGTAGTGTTTGTAGGAAATAACTCTTTATGGACCAGTCAGGCTCAAAGTCAAGAGGTTAAGGACTTTTGTGGCACTCATTGTTTATTCAGTTGCCGGTTTGAAGCTTCAAGATTGGCAGGGTTTTTTTTTTAGCCTGAAGTGACCACATCTGACTGAGGGGAGAGAGGGGTTCACCGACAGGGTTGAATTAGTCTATAAGACCAAATTCTTCTTTGTCACCAGGATGTTAAGAATTTATTTTCTACTGTAAAAATTGCCTTTTAATTATGTATTTTTAATCAAGTTGTGTTTTCTTCTGAGATATTTGTTTGACCTGGAATAAGAGGGGAAGCAACAGGAAATGGGGCATCATAATATTTTGCAGCCAGCCTCAAGTGGACGCTCAAGGAACTTTCAACACTAAAGGTTGCAGCTTGGGTTTGTGCCTTTAATGTAGAGATAGGACAGTGGATATAGTCGGAAATCAGGGAGAGAGAGTGGGGAACAACATGCGGGAAAGGAGCCGCCCGTCTGGAGGACCAAGGCCTCCATACATGGGCCGCGAGCACCAACGACTGCACCACCAGCGCCCCTGGTTTGACTCCCTTTTGGCATCAGCCTCAAGTGGCCATTTCTATGAACTGCAATGTTTCACACTTATTTGTCCAGACTTATCAGACTTGGAGATTTCCCTGAATTAAACTTTATAGTCTGTTTTTAATATATTTTCCCCAATCATTTGTTAAGTTTGTCACCTTTCTTTGAAACTATCTATTGCAATATCATCTACCACTTTTTTTTAATCAATCAGTCACTCCTAACTCATCAATATAACATTGTGTAGCAGAATAATTTTATAAATTCACTGTTTTAAAACATGGGAGTCTCTGTATGCTTGCTTAACTGTTTTTTTTTGCTTGTATTTTGTATTGTGTGAAGTTATACAATGGCAAACTGGAGTTAGAAATTTCAGCACAATTACTTTTTCTTCATTCTTGATGCCTTAATGAAATAAATGTCTTAGTTCAGAAGACACTGGGCTAGTTTGCTTGATTTCATAACTAGCATCAGGAACCATGTCCATGTCTTAGTAAACACTCAATCAGATCTGAATCTTTCAAACGTCCCTGTGACAGGACGAGGAGGAGAATCTTAATGACATCGGCTACGATGACATCGGAGGCTGTCGGAAGCAGCTGGCCCAAATCAAAGAGATGGTGGAGCTTCCTCTCAGACACCCTGGACTTTTTAAGGCTATAGGAGTCAAGGTGTCATTCATGTACACAAACTCTGAACTTATTTAAACACTTCTAGCATTAGACGTTTCATATGTTCCTTCCTTACTCTCTGTCAGCCCCCCAGAGGTATCCTGCTGTACGGCCCTGCAGGCACTGGGAAGACTCTGGTGGCCCGGGCTGTAGCCAATGAAACTGGTGCCTTCTTCTTCCTCATCAATGGTAAGGCTGCTGTTTTTGTTCACATAGTGACACAGGGATGTGCAGAGAAAGAAATCAAGTAATCCTGCTCTTAAAAATCGAGAAAGATTTAATTCTAAGCATTGAGAGTTACTAAAACTGTACTGGAAACTATTTTTAACTGTTCTTGTTTATAGATGTGTTGGAGAAAATGTATTTAACATGCTCGTTAATATTCTCTGTAGGTCCTGAGATCATGAGTAAGCTGGCAGGAGAGTCAGAGAGCAACCTGAGGAAGGCATTTGAGGAGGCGGAGAAAAACGCTCCATCTATCATTTTTATTGATGAACTGGATGCCATCGCTCCCAAGAGAGAGAAAGTAACCAACAGAGAACAAGAACAAAATGTCTGCTTCTGCTGTATAAGGTCAATTTAAGTGTGTGTGTGTGTGTGTGTGTGTGTGTGTGTGTGTGTGTGTGTGTAGACCCATGGTGAAGTGGAAAGACGTATAGTCTCACAGCTCCTGACCCTGATGGATGGCCTGAAGCAAAGAGCTCATGTGGTTGTCATGGCAGCCACGAACCGACCAAACAGCATAGACTCTGCTCTGAGACGTTTCGGTCAGGACAGCTACACACGCAGCACATATCATATTGATATTAGAATAAGATGCAAACACCATTCTGATAGGCTGATGTCTCTCTGCAGGCAGGTTTGATCGGGAGATTGATATCGGAATCCCGGATTCGACGGGCAGACTGGAGATCCTGCAGATTCACACCAAAAACATGAAGCTGGGTGACGACGTGGACCTAGAGATGGTAAGGAAGCAGCAGCGTGGACCAAACATACACTTAAGTCCATTTTCCAAACCTAAAATGCACAATCTTATCATTTTATACCTTGTAAATATAAAGAACTTTTTCCTTTTCTGTCTTTTATGAGTGATTTGAACATCTGTTGGTTTAAGACTGTAGAGGAGTCATCCCCATTTCCTGCCCTTTAAACGAAAAACAAATGATCCTTAACTGAAGCTTCTTTGGTCTGATGGGGCCATGATTGGCTGTCATGCCTCAGTGTACAACGCACAAATGACGATGTGTGAATTGGCTAAAATCTGGCCCGACTTCACAATTAGGCGTACGACTCAAAAATTGGGTCAAAAACAACCGGAAGTCAGCTTTAGATTAAAATCAGAATTTTTAAAGGACTAATATGTAACTCTGACACCTACCGTTTAAAATGGGTATTGCACTCAAAATACAAAACATTGGAGAGAACTGTCTCCCCCGCCCCCTCTTCCTTCGAGTCAATATGAACGCAGGTTGCCATGTTCAGGACACTGAAGCTTCAGTGTTTAGCCAGCTCTGAATCTGCTTAGAATCTTTCTGCGTTCTAACCTCTCTCCATTTTTCAAAAGCAACTCTAATAATTATCCTAGCTTGACTGCGTTTCTGCTTGTGGAGCTTGTTAGAAAAATGCAGAGACTCCTCAGGTCGGATAGAATCAGTTATATCTCAACCAGCTTGCTCGCTAACCCTAACCCTTCCATCGCTGCAACACCCGTTGGTTTGCCGTTTACCTGGCAAACCGACGGGCGTCCAAAAAGGCTGTGTAGAGACGGCCAGGTGGCAGCAACAACAGGCTTTAAAAACAACTTCATAGAAAATCTTGTCACTGGTGGTATGGTTTGCTGTCATAGCTCAGACAGAAGTTCTCAGCAGTCATTTCCGTCTGATTCATGACCAGATCAAAACTCCTCACAGGAGCTTAAAAGAAGTTTGTAAATGTTGCTGGTATATTAACTTGGTACAGCTATCTTTACTGGGGTAAAGTGATCTTTTTCCAGTAAACACAGTAACTTTGCAGCAAATCAGACAAAACTGTTGTTCACAAGTTAAGTTTTGAAGATCTGCTTAATGAATATGCACCTTCAAGTGAAAAGATTATTCAGTATAAGCTTTAAACCAATCCAAACAATATGGCCACAAACTAAAACATTCAGCCACCTCCAGACGGCATCTGTCCCAATCTTTTATATGAACATGGGCTGTTTGATACATTAACATTGTTTAACCCTTCTCAGATTGCCAAAGAGACACACGGTCATGTGGGCGCAGACATGGCTGCTCTGTGCTCAGAAGCTGCTCTGCAGGCCATCCGCAAGAAGATGACACTCATAGACCTGGAGGACGAGTCCATCGATGCTGACCTACTCAACTCGCTGGCCGTCACCATGGATGACTTCCAAGTGCGAACACACACACACACACACACACACACACACACACACACACACGCACGCGCACACACACACACACACACACACACGCACGCACGCACGCACGCACGCACGCACGCACGCGCGCACACACACACACACACACACACACACACACACACACACACACACACACACACACACACACACACACAGTAAAGGCTCACTTGCCTGTGAGAGCGTATTAGTTAGATTAAATATAGTAGTGAACATTTTTTGATGAATGAATAACTGAAGACGCCATCTTGTCCTCCCTCAGTGGGCACTGAGCCAGAGCAACCCCTCAGCTCTGAGAGAGACGGTCGCAGAGGTTCCTCAGGTGAGCTGGGAGGACGTCGGAGGGCTGGACGAGGTCAAGAGAGAACTGCAAGAGCTGGTCCAGGTTTGAAACACTCAAGCTAACATCACCAAACTCTGCATGTACCTTCAAATGCACATCCCATCAATAATCCATCTATCCCTGTCCCACTCTCCAGTACCCTGTTGAGTATCCAGATAAATTCCTGAAGTTCGGCATGACTCCGTCTCGTGGAGTGCTGTTTTACGGCCCTCCAGGCTGCGGGAAAACTCTTCTGGCCAAGGCCATCGCCAATGAGTGCCAAGCCAACTTTATATCCATCAAAGGACCAGAGATGCTCACCATGTGGTTTGGAGAATCAGAGGCCAACGTCAGAGACGTGTTTGATAAAGTGAGGGCAAAAATAAAAATAAATAATCTTTGGGGTTTTAAGTCAAAGCTGTGAGCAGTGGAGTGTGTTTTGGTCAAACTTTATACCCTTTGTTTAAAACCTTAACCTCCTTCTCTCCCCCAGGCCAGACAGGCAGCCCCCTGTATCCTGTTTTTCGACGAGCTGGACTCCATCGCCAAATCCAGAGGAGGTGGAGCTGGGGATGCAGGTGGAGCAGCTGACAGAGTCATAAACCAGATCCTCACAGAGATGGACGGCATGTCCGACAAGAAGAACGTTTTCATTATTGGCGCCACAAACAGGTGCGCATGCTGGCATTTTTTTTTCCTGCGATGGTCTGAGAGAACACACTTGGAATCAAACAGACATCCTGACTTGTCTCTCTGTTCATCCCTGACACCAGACCAGACATCATAGATGCTGCCATCCTGCGGCCGGGCCGTTTGGACCAGCTCATCTACATCCCGCTCCCAGACAAACCATCACGCATAGCCATTCTCAACGCCAACCTACGCAAGTCTCCTGTGGCACGAGTCAGTGATACACACACGTAGCGCTCGATGTACAGTGTCTGTATCATGTACTGCACTGCAGAGAAAGAGCAGGAACTCATAAGTCAATCACTTTGTTTATTCTGCATCAGAACTACATCATTTGAGGAATTTTCCTTATTGAGTTATTTTGCATAAACCTATTAAAGGAATACTTTTTTTCAGTTGGCCAAATAACGACACAAACATCTGAGTGCTTTAAGACCTGACAGCACATCATATTTTAATAGATTAATTTAAATTTCACTTTCAATTCTTGATATATTTAGCAGAAATGTACTGAAGCCAGGAGTCATGGACATGGATCCATTCATCTTGACTCATCTTATCTCATTTATCTCATTTCCCAGCACAATTTTAAAAGCTCAAACGCTGTGGCTCAGTGGTAGAGAAGGTCGTCTCTCAACAGAAAGGTTGGGGGTTAATTTCCCATCTCCTGCAGGCAAATGTCAATGTGTCTTAGGGCAAGACACTTAGCCCCATTTTGCTCCCACTGCTACATCAGTGGTGTATGACTGATACTGAATAGGTAGGTGTGACCTGTGGTGTAAAAAGTGCTTTGAGTAGTCATAAGAATAGAAAAGCGCTATACGAGCTCATGTCCATTTACAAAACAAACATAGAAACAGGCTTAACTTACCTCAGTGGTGAGGGCCATGGCAGCATGGCATGTCATCACAGTGACCAGCCTATTGTTCTGTTTTCTATATCCCCAGAAAATATTTCCATTATCACAAGAAGTCAAGCAAGGTAACATTTTACGGTTTATTAAGATGGACAGAGACCCTGCTGCACAGGCAGAGTAGAGAAGGAAAGACAAAAGACAATGTAACAAAAACTAACATCACAGTCTTGAAACTTTCCATAACAGTGAGCGTCTGCCTCAAACAGACACAAGAATCTGTTGTGGACTCTTAACTGAGGAATCAGTGACGATTTATCTGGAAGTTCGTGTGCTTTGGTTAGCAGAAAGGGTGTGATGTCAATTCTGCGGTCCCACCAGCCAGCTCCCTTCTGCACATGTCTCGGCTCCAAAGTATGTCAATATGTCTGTCGCAGGGATATTTTGGCTTCATTTCATACGATGGAAGGAGACGGAGAGATGCTGTTCAATGTTGGATAATAAGATGGATTAATCAGTTACAACGGGAAAACCAGCTTTGTTAGCCAGAGAAAACGAGAAAAATAAGTCTAGCGCTGGTATCTCGAGATTACCAGATAAATACATCAAGATCTCTAGTAAGCAATCAGAAATGACTCCTCATCACAGGAAAATGGATTAAATAAAGTGTATGGATGCATGTCCACGTAGGACTGATATGTCAAGTGGAGTAAAAACAGGATTTTAGTCTTCAAATAACTTTAAGTAAACTGCTTTGAATTCATATTTGGTTACCAGAGTAACCCCAGCTCTCTCAGAATGACTATGCTATGAAGGGAATCTATATATTAAAAAGTTGTACTACCTACTTGTGTTTTGCTCCTTCCTGTAGGATGTGGACCTGGATTACCTGTCTGGCATCACAGACGGTTTCTCTGGAGCAGACCTGACAGAGATCTGCCAGCGGGCCTGTAAGCTGGCCATCCGTGAGGCCATTGAGGCCGAGATCAAGGCTGAGCGTCAGAGGCAAAACAGAGCGGGCGTCCCCATGGTCAGACTGCTAACGCTGTGCTGCATTTGTACTCATTAACACCTTTATATTAGGGGAGTTTTTAAAAGTTTTCACATTTAAAAGGAAACAGTATCTTTTATTTTAATGATCCACCCTATAAAAAATACTTTATACTTATACTTTATATATATTCATATAGGTGCATAAGAGAAGATGAATCTATCAAAAATTTCAAGTAAAACCCTGCACACAGAAAAGATTAACCACATTGATTAGCAAGAACCGAAAATGTTGCGAATGGATTTTTAATAATTTTGACAGTGTCGAGTAAACCTGCCATTTTTGGTAATTAAAAACAATATTAGGCGCCTAGGACTTTTAAATTTTTTTCCATGGCATCACAACAGTTATCAATTTTACTAGTACCATATCAAAGTTTAAAATTTAAATGACTTTTTGTGTCACATCCTTAAAAACTCTATTGCATTTTAAATTACACAATAACAATAACTAAACTATGTCATATAATGCATCTTTTAGCCATTTGAGCTTAAAAAGGTTTATTTTTTAAACATATTCAAGAGTTAAGAATCATGTTCATCTATTCAGCAACTTTTCCTTTAACTATGACAGTTATGACTGAGAGAGAAACCAATCCAAACAAAAACTGTAGATTTATTTCAGGACCAATAAGGGCCCCTTCCCCTTCCTAACCTGATTCTACTCTTCTCTTAACAAAAACACACCTGTGCTCCACTCCTCAAACAGTACCGGGCTGCGTGTGCTCGGTAAAGACAGAGGCAGTGGGAGATAAAGAAGTTCCCTAAAGGGCGGCTGTGTGTTTTGTAACTTTCAGCCTTTGGACTGGGAACACACACACACACACACACACACACACACACACACACACACACACACACACACACACACACACACACACACACACACACACACACAATCAGTGTACTGTGTCCTTATTAAGAAGGTTTTTGATTGAATGTCTACAGGATGAGGACTTTGATCCGGTCCCAGAGCTCAGGAAGGACCACTTTGAAGAGGCGATGCGATTCGCTCGTCGCTCAGTCAGCGACAACGACATCCGAAAATATGAAATGTTCGCTCAGACTCTGCAGCAGAGCCGGGGCTTTGGAAACTTCAGGTACACACATACATGTTCAACACACATGCCACTACAGAGAAAACAGTTTTCCTGAGGACACATTCGAGGCTCATTCCTTTTCTCCTCACCTAGGTTTCCTTCTGCTACTGGTACCCGTGCTGGAGGTCAGGGGTCTGGCCCTGAGTCAGGCCTGTTCAGAGAAGAGGGCGAAGATGATCTCTATCAGTGACAAAAACTCATTAAAACTTCAGCTGCACAATGTTTTCATTGTTGAACTGCTGCACTTCACTTCCTTGAAGGGATGAAACCTGAAGAATAAAGAAGGGGTGAAGGGGGAGAAACAAAAGAGAAGCCTGGTGACAAAGTGTTGTTTTTTTAAAGAGACTTAAAACATGTTTCGTAACATTAAACAAATAAGAAATAAGTGTTAGAATATTAATATATTTTGGTAGGATTTTAATTGTTTTAATAAAAATAAATTGCACTTTTTGGCATTGATATTAGAAATATAAAATAACACGGATGCTTTGAGTTTACGCTGTAAAACGTGATGTGTTTGCACTATGGAGATGATGTGAGTTGTGTGTAAGTTTAAAATGTGATAAATAAATGTATTTGTATGCCTCTAGAATGAATCGGACGCGGTGTATTTTGTAATACCGACTCAGTTTTCTTGTCAGAGTACAAATGAAAATCTTTGCTGTACAGGTGGCCTATTTCCACAAATACACAATGGCAATGCATCTTGGTTGCACAACATAAAAGTGTTGATAAAAGCATTTCTGCCACAAAAAGCTTCTCTATTAATCTGCATGAAATGTCTGTACAAATTACAAAAGAATATATCTACCACACCTTGTCTTATCTGCTAATGAACAAGGTTATATGCAATATACCAAAATACAATGAAACTAAGTCCAGCTTTAATGTTGTAAAAGTATAAAAACATTACATTTAAGATATTTGAATCTGTGACGGTGACTGGGAGGTGCGAAACAAAAAAATGTTTTACAAAGAGTGAAACACTTTAACCAAGGACAAAACAATTTAACATTTATAGAAAAAAAATGTACAAGATGCAAAACACTTTTATGAACGCTGAGGCACACATACAGTATACGAGTGGCAGAACACTTTTGCCAGTCATTAAATCAAATTTGCAAATGACAGAATCTTGCCGGAAAAGGAATGTACCCAATGATGAAAGGGAGCTGGAAGTGATTCAGTGAGGGGTCGATTACTTTGTTTGAGAGGAAAGACTTTGTGAAATGTGTTTTACAGACTTTATGATGTTTTGCCTGTTTTGTGGAACCCACCTGAGCCACATAAGGCAGTTTAGCTTTTCATGTGGATGATCAGTTCAGGCATTTGGTACATACATAATGTGTTTGCTGTCTGTAGCTGTGGATGCGTGTATGTGTGCACAGGGGAAGCTTTCTAATTTGGTTGTACGATTGTATAATGACAATAAAGGCTTTCTATTTCTATTTCTATTTCTATTTCTATTCCCTTTCCAGCAAGACTGCGGTTTGTAAAACAAAATTCTAAAATGTAAATTTGTTTTGTCCTTGCTTAAAGTGTTTTCGTTTTTTTGTAATTTTGTTTTGCACTTCCTAACCACCATAAACGATAAATGTTTCCGAAAATAACCAAGAATCCTTTTGATATCTGTTTGAAAAAAAAAAAAAAAGAGATAGAGGATGAATTAAAGGTGCATCCTGGAATTTTGGTAGAGAAATGTAATAGAAAAAAAACTCTCCCGGTAGCTTTTTAGCTCCAAACAGTGTTCCAGGGTCCTATTTTTTCCTTTGAATGAAGTTTGTGTATTCATTTCAGAATATATAGTCGGCTATAGAGTTGTTTAACTTCTTAACTTTTAAATTTCTCTACCATAACTTCATAGTGCACCTTTAACTTCAAACCATAGGTTCAAACCACAGACCGTAAATATTGGTTCAAACATAATTTCGATCAACTTCGACTTCATTTTTGAAGTTGTGTTTTAATTATATTCTCGTCATTTCGACTTTTTATTGACATTTTTACTTTTCTCGAAGTAAATAATGAAAATAGAAATCTTCCTCCTCTCCGTAAGTTAAATTATTTGCGGCTTGGCAAAAAAAAAAAAAAAACTAATTTAACGAGTAAAAACATCGATTGTTTTGTCATCACTTAGGTAGTTAAAACAATATTATTAAACAACCAATTATCAGTCAGCGGAACTTTTAATATGTGTACAGGGGGGAAAGTGTTTCCTGAGGGACTGCTTGGCTGTTTATTTCCGGTGACAAGCGGAAGTAGAAACAGGGGGCTTGTGGAGGTGACCGAATGGTGGACGGTTGCATTTTGGAGATATTACAGAATTAGCCTGCACATAGTAACACAGTAACTTAGCTTTAGGTGTATACACATCGTCGGTGCCATGGGAGCTCACCTGGGCAGACGGTACATCACCGAGAGGGACACCGAGCCGGACCCCTCCAGAAAGTTCGAGTTCGACCCCGAGTTTGGTTTCGGAGAGAGGAAAGAGAGAGGTTTGTCTGCTTTCACCAAAGAAACCTTTAATGAATGATCTATTGTCTTGGATTATAATGTTTTACTTATTAGATAAGATGGTGTAATGTCAGCGCAGTGACAGAGATACTGACGCTGTCTAGTTTTTATTCATTTATTCATTTTGTTATCGACCAACCTGTTCTCTGTATTTACGACACTTTGTCTTAATCACCTTACATCGATACTCTCTTTACAAAACATCAGGCATATTTATATATCACATTTCAACAACAAGACATCAAAAAGCTTCATGACAGAGAAAAACATTAAAATCATTAAAACAAACAAAGTCACCATCACACAGAAGAAATCTTCCACCCTCAGGAAATGTCAAATCTTTTACAACCATTTATTACCATGTTTCTACCCACACATCTACCACAGACCAAACTATTTTTGAAATAAAAGCAAAACTCAATTGAGAAGTATAAATACAAAAGAGTCATATGATAAGCGTTAAAAGTTACAGTGATTACGTTCAAATCTCTGAACAGTTAGTTTGTCATTCACAACAGATCAGAATTTCTCATTCATTCAGGTGAATGTTTTTGTTCATGTGTGTGCTGAAGATTAAAAACAATTGATGACACATTTGCACACTAAGCACTCGTAGTTACTGTGATCAACACAACTTGATTCTCAGTGAAACTGTCCATCTATGCAGAGACATGCACTGCAAAAAAAGACCACCTTGTGAACCCCGTTGACATGTTTGCTCGAGAGCAAATGTTTACTTTTTAATTTAAATCTGGTGTAAGGTAAATTAGGATTTGACAGGGAAAAAAGTGAATATATATAAATATAAGTGAAATATAAAATATAGTGAATTACAATCTAGCGGCTTAAATATGAAGGGCTCCACAATACGATATGTACAACTATACAGAGGCCAGGATACGATACATATCGTGATACATTGATTTTAAATAAAGACCGTGTCCTACACAGAATACATTACAACAGCTGTTCTTTATTGTTGAGAATAATAAGAGGTGTGTAAAGAATCCTACAACTTAAAACACTTCAATTCAGGTCCTCAGAGATCCTAGAAATACATTAAAATATTTTAATCCCAGAGTGATGGCTATCACTGCACAGCTTTGCAGCCATATTGATTCTGTAACATCTGCATCCATACATCTATTGGTGAGGAGCACATGACGACATGTGTTGCCATAACGATGTTTGAGCACAGCCCTGACGTGAAGTGAGATAATGTGGCACATAATCCGAACGTAAGCACTGCAGATGATAATGAACATGATATAAACCCAGTACTGTAATGTTGTACACTACATTATGTAGAAAGCATTCATATGAATTTATAGAGGAGAAAGTCTATCTGTGTCCTGAAAAGATTACACACCTCACATGAAGATTCCCACAGCCGTCCAAATTGTGACTTCAGTTCCTTCCTGGTTCACTCAACAATTATACTGAAACTTGTTGTTTTTTGTTGTTGTTGTTTTGCCAGAGATGGTAGCAACTCAGGAGCAGATGAACTTGGCCCAGCTTCCTCTGAAGCAGAGGGACTACTGTGCCCAGTACCTCCTGAAACTCATGAAGTGCAAGAGGGACAACTGGCCCAACTTTCTGGCCTGCAAGCACGAGAGACACGACTGGGACTACTGTGAACACCAGGAGTAAGTGTTACAGTGAACAGATTTACGAGGTTGGGTTCAGTCAGACTTTTTCTGGTGTGGTTACCCGAGGCACTAGACAGCAGTGCTTTCAGCACATACACTTATATTGAGGCCTTTGTAGAAGAAACTGGGAATCGAAGACTATATGATCAAAACAAATAAAACAAGGGACGCAAGTTTGCCCTAGTGGTTCAGTAGCTCATTGCATGTAAAGAGGCAATTGCTCGGATTTGCCTCCCGCTCCAGTCATTAACCTCATGTCACCCCTCCGCCCTATCATCCTTGTTTCTGACTCTATCCACTTTCCTGTTCTCAATAAAGGCATGAAAAGCCAAAGAAAAAAAAAATCAGAAACAACTTGGGACTTAGTGACATCTGCACCAGACAGTTGCCTTTACAAGCTTCATAACAGCTGAGGAAGTGAGGTCGTGTTGAAGCTCCTGTGGGGGAGATTTCAGCTGGTTATGAAACAGACTGAAATTAAACTAATGTCTCTATATGACACTCAAAGCAACAAGACCATCAGTAAGATAATTGAGATTATTTCCTTACAGTAACTTTAATGCTTATTGCTGCTGCTGAGGGTATGATGTCAGATGATGCGAGTAGCAGCTCGCTGCCCTCAATACTTTGGTGGAGAAGTACACGAGAGGAACAGTGAAGAGATAAGAGGTGGCGCCAGAATTGACACAAAATGAAACTTCCTCACAGAGGCACCTCAACCATTTAGAAACCAGGGACATCTCTCACTGTATCACTTCGAGTGCAGGAATGCAAAGGGAGACTGTTCACTAATTATTCCATCCCCAACTGTGATCTTTGACTGTTAAATTTAAAAAAATAAATTGTAATTGGTTAAAAATATACTTAGGCACAGGGCTGACTACAAGCCAAACAGCTGACTACTAAATCACAGTCGACTACTTTATTATGTTGTTGATACTGATTTCAGAAACCTCTCTTCTCTGAATCAGCCGTTGGGTGAACTAGCTTGTCAGGATTCAATTGATGCGATACAACAGATACACATCAGCTACTGTCATCTGTGCAAGCCACAGTATTTTCAAATGTGCTGATGTTTGTCAACATGTTTAATATCTGCTGATTCTGTTCGGTGCATCCTAACTTTATCTACCTTAAGTCTATATATGGGGATCACTGATCCCTATGAACTTGTAACTCCCTCAAGTAATTGAAGGAAGTGTTGTCACATACAATCACTACATTATTTAATTTGTACCTTGTGTTTTTCCGTCTCCAGCTATGTGATGCGCATGAAGGAGTACGAAAGAGAGAGGAGGCTCCAGCTGAGGAAGAAGAAAATCGAGGCTCAGGCTGAAGCTGCATGATCAGTACATCCTCTGATTCGTCACCTTCTCTGTATATATGTGCTGCCGTTCACAATAAACAATATTGTTTAAGCTCTACAACCTTCAGCCTTCTTTAGATCAAACACTCTGGATGACATCGCTGAAGATTTCAGTGTATTCTTTGATCAGTCAGAGTGAGAGCCATTTACAAAACTCTTTATATCTCTGTTAAAGCAAGTTCAACATACTGATATATTTTGGTTTCACTGACATCAGAGATTAAACTAAACCCTGACAAGTCTGCCGTCAGCAAATCATCATATTTTAACAAATCCTGAGTAAACTATGCAATAAAATGATCACATCAAACACAAAGTGCAGACTCACATCAACACAGCTCGAGACACATTCAGGAAGAACTGGCAGGGAAACAACTCGCTGATTGTGTAAATTAGAGTTTATAGTACCACTTTATCATCAGTGCAAAATAGAGGTGAATATAAAAACTCGGTTTCTTCCATGTAATGAATTATTTTCTCATCTGGTGTGTCTGATAGTTCAACATAAAGCCTCGGCTTCAGCCCTGACTGTTCGCTGGATGGTAATGAGCTTTAAAAATTGAATATGAGAATATATTTAAAAGCAGTAAGTATGTTTTCTTTACACCTTTACTCAAACTAGAAGACGTCACTGCTTTTAGTCACTGTTGGATATTGTCTTTAACTATCAAATCATTTTGGTATGAAAAACTAAGCTCTGTCTCGCTCCTGCTCTGTCATGATCAGTCTGCAAAGCTCCAGGATAAAGAGATCTGATTGGTCAGTAGGGGTAGTTTCATACAGGTTGATCTCTTATCCCAAACTTAACCTGCAGGTTAGGGTCTCAGCACAAGTTACCGTGGTGATAAACCCTTGGTAAGAAGTCGACCACCTTCACTTTACCTTGGTAACTGCAAATCCTGCTTCATAGTTAACCCCTCCCCCCTTTTAGGAGACTCTTCCTACATACAAGAGGAGAAGTAGTTCCCTTTCAATTTATTATAAAACAATTGTGAACAAAATGTTCCTATTTCCATCCTTGTGCAACAGATTAGATTTTTTTTACAGTATTGGTCAATTTGATTGCTAAATTTGTGGAGGTGTGGCCTGTTTGAAATAAACTTCCACATGTTTGGACAGATTTGGCATTGACAACTAGTTGACACATTTCAGTCCTGATTAAGACTCTTTAAATGTGCCTTCTGTTGACAACGATGTTTGGATGAAAGCTTTTCGGGTATAACTGATACACAGCTCAGACAGGAGCGCTGGTGGCTTCTGTACAAACTTAGTGACGCCCTAGACACCCCACAGAGCCAGCCAACAACACACTGGTTAACTTTTTTTTTAATAAATTACTGCAGACATCAACAAAAATTAAATGCTGTCATGGTTTCAAATTTAGATCACTGGATATCAAACCTGAACAGGTCCAGATGTGCTGAATATCTCCATTCAGCACAAAGACAACAGCGTTTGATGACACCAGAGTTGTTGTTTCATATGTTACAGTTTTTATGTACAGTAAATAATACAGCACACACAGGGAGACTTGGCGGCTAAGACTGCTCTGAGAACACAAATCAATTAACCAATCAGAATGGGTTTGTTGGTGGGCGTTAAAAAAAGCAAGTTGAGATTTCTTTTACATTTCTGCTCAGCATCACATGGGTTCACAGACAGGAGGGGACAGAGACAAAAGAGGGAAACGAGACAGGCTCCTTCTGTCCGTTCACTAAGTTCCAGTGGAGATTTGGGGGCTGTAAAAGGAGACGAGGGGAGGGAGGGGTACTTGACTCCTCAAAAGAGGGAGCTCTGAATGGGTGAGGGAGTGGTTGAGTCTTCCTCTAAAGGACGAAGGGCAGGATGGGCGAGCGCAGAGGAGGGTAGTCGCGGAACTCCTTCAGGTAGCTGCGGTGCTTCCCCTTGGCCCACACCGTCATCTGGACGAAACCCACCACGGTGAAGAAGGCCACCGGCAGGCACTGGGTCATCAGGGTGAAGCCAAGCCAGGAGCCCAGCTGCAGGAGGAAGAGGAGGAGGGATGTTACATACAGACACAAACCACAAGAGGGCAGTAACTACAACCTTTTTCTAGAAAACCTTTAGAGCCTGATTCACTAAGGATGGATAGCTGCACTTGATAGCTCCATGAATTGGACATCAGTTGCCCCTTTGATCTGCTCTGTATCAAGGTCCAAAACACAAATCATATTGCACTTGTGTTATTCCAGCATAAAAACGCTGATAAGCTGTTACGCTCAGTGCAGTTTACTCAAGTTTTCTAATCAAAGTACTTTTCACAGGCTTCATTTACAGATAATTTATGTCAGATGATACAGAGGTGGAACAGATGTGGTCCTGATTAGTGCAAAGTTTCATCATCGCTTATAAATACTGTGGTGCATTTACCACCTACTCTCAGCAGACGCTAAAATTTTCCCTCTGTCTGTGTGTGGCCGTTAGCCAATAGGCAGTTTTGCAATGGGGTACATTGGCACAGATAAGGCCTAATATTTCACAAGTTATTGCATAATGATTCATTTAAATATCAGCTAACATCACCTTACATATTATCATATTAAAGTCAATATAATTTTATATCATTTTTACAGGTTTAGTGGACGCAAAAGCCACATAATCCTTTTGTGTATCAGTCCTTCACTGTTTGTTTTTAAGTCAAAGACAGTGTGGAAAAAAGAAAAATACTCGGGTATAAATCTACTAAATCCCAAAGATTTTAAAACTTTAAAGCTCCTTTGTGGAGTTTTTAACCGGAAATAAAAACAGTGAAATTAATACTAATGGCTCTTTATGACCTACAGAAGCAAACAAGGCCATCAGGGACAGGATTGATATATTTCTATAAAGTCATATTTACTGCCTGTAACCCCTGCTGCAGGGTCTGTGATCGATGAAGTGAATAACTACAAATAATAGCTGCTGAAACAGCATTTTTTAATCTACATTCTCCAAGGCATGATAGATGAGTGATACATTTGACCGTGAAGAAAAAGTAGGAAGAGATTTTTTTATTAGAAAACACTACTGGCACCTTTACAGGACAAAATTGGCAAAGAGATAAGAGGTACCACTTTGTCCACAGGGGGCGCCAAAATCGACACTGGCTGAAATTCCCTCACAGAAACTTTATGGTTTCCCTGCTTTAGTTTTTAATGCTAAGCAATAACTCTCGTAGGGTTAGGGTCACTTTATGAATACAAAATGTGTTACCTCGTAGGTGTAGTTGGGGCAAGAGACCAGCAGGAAGATCCAGGTGAAGGGGTTCTTGGTGGGATAGGGGATCTTCCTGGTCTTAGAACCTGGATGAAGTCAAAGAAAACAAAATCACAACTTTCTTTAAAAAGAAAATATGAACAGTTTGGATTCTTGTGATGTCAGTTTGTGTAGTTTTATTTTTACTTATTCCAGACGGGTTTGGGCTTTTATTTTGGAACTAAGTTTATGTCACATGAGCAATGAGTGCATCTGGGAAAATCAAGCCTCACCAAAAATAATGTTTCAACACACGGTGGTAGATTAGGCAGCATGTTATTACAACGTTTTACACAATCGCACTGTACAGGTCTCAGCTGATTCAAACCTCTGACACACTCATCAAACAGGTGAAATGTTCCTGTTAGCCTGTTAGCTTTTTGCAAATCCTTCAACACTCAGCTCATAAACTGGAGCCACTGAACAACAGCTATCAGATTAGAAGTGCGTAAAGATCTCTTTGTGGAGCTGAATTTGATTGTTCATTGTTTTGTAATTTATATTTTGAGATATATGGAAATACTTGGCTATAAAAATGTTTTTGGGGAATTAAATTGAAAGCAACAGAAAGACTGGGCTCGTCAATGTGTGTGTGTGTGTGTGTGTGGGTGTGTGTGTGTGTGTGTGTGTGTGTGTGTGTGTGTGTGTGTGTGTGTGTGTGTGTGTGTGTGTGTGTGTTTACCTGGCGGGCGGAGGTTCCGGAGAGCAATGTGGATGGAAAAGTTTCCTATTTGACAGAACTGAGGAAGAAAAAGCAACGTAAGTGATCAAGTTGTAAAAAATATGTTTAAAAAAGTATTCAAAGTCAGGGTCAGTCACTTTTAGAAACACTCCTTTTGTAAACTTCTCAGGCTGACAAAGACATCATAAATGATCCCACATACACCTGTTGTAAACAACGTTTTATTTTCACAATCAGTTAAAAAACATCAAATGCTCCATAAATAACACAACACAGATTTAAGGATAAAAAGATTCTTACCAAGAAGAGGATGAGGGCCAGTCGGATTTGTTGCTCCCCGTAAACTGCAGAAGAACAAAGTTAACATGAGTAATGAAACAAAGCAGTAAGAGTGACTCGTTGATATACTTCAGTGTTAAGATACTGACTGGGCGGTGTGTACAGCGGGTGGTTGATGTAATAGGCCATCCATGCTGCGAAGCCCCAGTAGTAGGTACAGTTCTGAAACGCAGAATTGGACAGGAGCCCTGTCACTGAGGCGTCCTCGTGTTGATACAGATACACTTCTGACTCCTTTCAAGCCTCATCACACTGATGCAAAGCCACAAGTGACCGATGAGAATGAGTAGGGGGAGGGTGTCTCACCTTAAAGATGTTGCGTAACGGCATTGTCCCGTGAGAGAAGCGATGGACAAACAGCGTCTCCAGCAGCCTCTTGACGTAGTGGAAAGAGTGACACATACAGGCGAGGCTGCCAACACAACAGACCCAGTGTTAGCCTGACTATGGTCAGAAAAAGATGATATAGATACCTAATTGATGCTACTTTATATTTGTACTTTATTTAAGTATCTCCTCTATTATTGGCTGAAAAATCATCCCTCACTCTCTCTCCTCCCAACATTTCCTGTCTCTCTTCAGCTGTCCAATCTGATAAAGGCAAAAAGGCTACCAGTGCCCCCCGTCCGATGACTGTAGTGTTTAAATTCACCCTCTTTTTCGTGTATAGTTTTATCACTACATCGAAGGCCAATCCACATCCTCTGTCAGTACTACCTCATCTCCACCTTGTCGAGCACGTCGAATAATAGTGTAAGAAAATCTGATAGTCCCCTCAGGTATTCATACGGCATGTCTTCTTCTTCTTAAACCCCTACCACATACGCTTGGCCAATAAAAAACAGATTCTTACTATGATTCTCTGCATGAGAGTTGCCTTTTTCATTTTGAATCCTTTCCTATTTGTCTTTTTGAGCCTTTGACTACTTGTGTTGTTGTCTTTATGTTTGATTGCACAACACTTTTGTTGATTTGAATGCTTTGTAATTGAAATTTGATTGTATTTAATTCATTGATAAAAAAAGAGAAAAGCTGTGACCAAACAAGACCAGAACACATCTTTAAGTACAGAACAGCAGAGTCGTGACACTCACTGGACGACCCAGTGTTTACTGGTGGTGAAGTCGTATTTGGGTGCGTAGATGAAGGGAACTCTGAAGTAGAACATGAGATAGATGACCAGAGGACCGGTATACTCCGTCAGAAAGACCTGAAGAAAAGAAGAAAAGGTTGTGGTTGTCAATGTGATTTTTATTGTTTCTATGAAAATTACCTCAAAGATGCTTGAAACTGATGAGGCACAAAGAACATACCGCCTTTGCTTGTGCCTCCAAAGCCATGTTGTCATATTACTGACATTCTCGCTTGTTAATTAGAACAGAAAATACATTTTCCCACTGCTTGTTCTGCCTGTTTCCCAGCTGAGACACAATACAACTATAACAGTTAGACTGAAGCACATTAAGCTCGGAGGAGACTTCTCCACACGCGCTCAGAACTGACTATGTGCACATCGTGTACAGCTTTGTGTTAGTACTCACCGTGACCCAGCTGATCTGGGCTCCCAGGTCTCTGAAGTAGAAGGTGGCCGTCGTTCCCACAGGAAGATGCTGCAGAACATCCTCATCCTTCAGAGACTTCCCCTCTGAAACACATGAGCACATGTTTGCCTTATTGAGTTAACTGTGATTCAGTAATATAAAGAACAACCTTCACTGAAAGACCACTGATGGACAATCGCTCTTGGGCTCACTTACTGGCGTCGAGGCGGATGGATTGTCTGGTTGGGTAGAACTGAGGATCTAAAACAGACACAGAGATACTCTCATAAACATCTCACAGCTGAGCATAAAGTGAGTTGCTCTGTGTGCAGCTTCATGATTGGCTGATTTATGAGGCTTCAGTTGCCTGCTGAGGGATGGCACTTACGGCTCTTGTGGAACATCGACTTGATCTCTCCAATGGTGGCATTTGGCTCGACCTACAAATAACACAATTATTAAGAGGAGGGTCATGTGAACACATACACACACACACACACACATGCACAGAGGGACAGATAATAGCCCTGTTTTTTTCCATTCATGAAGGTGATTAGTGATAAATTTAGCCCTGGCTATGCCCACTCATCCAATGGATGTGGGCTATTTAACAGCTGGTATTGGGGTTTCAAACAGCAGAGCAGCACACACACAAACACACACAAACACAAGCATACAAACATAAGGGCAACCAGCGTACATGACCTTGTGTGAGGCTGCCAGCAACGGCCCGACAACCCCAAATATAGAAACATTGACAACAAATCTGATGGTAAAAGGCAGGTCTGGACAAACACGGTTATTATACGTGGAGCATTGAAACCTCTTGATCATCAATTATTCCCCATCATCTGATAGCATCACTTCAAATGTTTGACCCGACACACTATCTTTATTGTTTATAGAAATATCAGTAATATAGTTGTCACTCTACTGTTTTTTTTTTTAGACTTGGACATGGATCTAAATGAATACTGGGGTGCTGGTTCAGCTCAGAGGTGGCGCAGAGGTCCCATGAACAGAGGTTGTCGTCCTTGTTGCTTTGGGTGCTGTTTGGTGCATCCTTCACTCTCTCTGACCAAATTTCCATTTTTTTTTTTTTATAGTCACCCAATAACCTTGCTTTTAATAACTATAAGATGCAGCCAAACTCTTGCACACTGTCTAAAACATTGCCAAAGTATTTGTGCAATTGAGACAGTGTGCTCTCTCTTGTGTTGCAGCAGCTTTTGGTTAAAAATATGACTGAAGATCTCTGTGTTCTTTAAAGCTTCTGTGCTATTCACTTCTACTGATCATTAGAATAACAGACATTGTATTGTTTTTAAAACACCTGGTAATGAAGTATTGAACATTTTGACAACTCCTTACAACTTTTAATAAATTGTTAAAGCCTTTGATGTGTGATAAACTTAACAAAGATGTGATACAAACACATCGTCACCACTACTCCCACCCAGTTCTCCACCAGTTCTCATCACACCAAAAGCTCAACCTGTGGCCGTTATTTCTCCTAAACCTGCTCTGATCCCGAGTCTCTTTGACACCTCACAGGTTCAGAAATATAAGCCTGTGACTGTCTTCTGCCTATGCATAAATAACTTATGCGTCTTCATTGGTAACACCAGCTTTTAGATCTATGTTTATTCATGTCAAACCAAACCTTCATCAGCTGGACTCCCTTAGGCAACCTCACATCCCGTTGTGTATTTTAAATGTGTAAGTAAAAAGCAAACATACAAAAATGACTTCAGGATTCAATTACAAAGAATAGTTCCAAACTTTGTCAATAAACTTTACTAAGACTATTTGGTGGTTTTCTCAAAGGCTTTAACAACTCCTATGAGAGATGAAGAGATGAAACTCAGTGACTCATTCAGTGACTTTTATAAATGTATAAAGACGTTATAATAAAATATTTTGATATTAAATAAGTCAATGCAGGCCACAGGTTTAGTTATTTGTGCCACATCGATTCTTCGCTTTTTAGGGATGGTTATGATTTAAACTACTGCAATCAAGAAATAGCAAAGAGTGCACTGATGTGAATGTACAGCACTCTCATATGCACCTAATTACCAATCCATGAAATCATTTAACCTCATAAGATTTCAGATGGTTATTATGGCACTTTTTTTAAGTTACATTTTAGGTCATTTTACCTTTTTAAGATAGGACAGCTGAAGAGAGACAGGAAATGTTGGGAGGAGAGAGAGGGGGATGACAAGCAGCAAAGGGCTGAGGTCGGATTCGAACCCACAGCTGATGCGACGAGAACATTTGGCCTTTGAAAATGGGTGCATGACATAACTGCTAGGCTATCGACACCCCATTTATAGTACAAACAAAAAAAGTAAAACGCTTGTTGGATGGAGGGTTAAGTTTGAGAGACTGGCTGCGTAAACAAACACAGAATCAACACTGAAGAAGTTCTAGATATCAGCAAAACAAAAGGTTAAAGCTATAAGGATTTCAGAAAAATAATAATTCATTTAATTTCTTGACGGTTGCTCACTTTCAAACAGAAGTGTGTGTTTATGTTCTTGTTGTAGTTTCTCACAGATTGGGTGATACATGTGCTCACATATGCACTCCAGATAATATCTAGATAATTACAGGAGGACTTCTCTGGAGATTCTCCCGACCTAGCCGTTCACATATGCTCCTCACAGCGGGGGACTTTCCCTGTCAGAGGGGAGGGGGGTCGGGGGATTTCCTGAGATAAGACGTGAAGTAAATAAACAACACTGAAGTAGCAGTCGAAGCAACAGAGTCCGCTACACGACGTTATAATGAGAATATTTTCCTTTATTTCAATGCTTTGTGTAGTCTAATGGAATGACAACAGCCACAAAAGAGCGGAGAACAACATACTGACCAACAGAAAACATAATGCAGCCGTCTAATTACGTGCACAGAGGGCGTAGTGATCGCGTGCAGACACTTTAGGCAGTCACTGTATAAACGTCATTCTCTTTCTATTGGCTCGAGTTGAAATCTCTGGAGTATATGCTGCCGCGTTCAGACATCAGCTCACTCTGACTTTCTGCAGAAAAAATACAAGGGGTCTGGCTGGAGAAACTTCGGGTAAAAACTGTGCAAAAAATGCAGCTGTTTGCATTCACATATAGCCTAAAGTGCCTCCGGGTAGCCTAATCTCCAGAGTTTTTCAGGAATTTTCTGTATGTGTGAAAAGGGTTATAGAGTGAAGAGGTCTGCTGTAACAAACTTGGCTTCTGTTCGCGGCGTCTTGCAGACCACATGCCATTTTTAGCAGGATGACATCACTGAGAAACCACCTCTCTGTGACCCCAGGGGCCCCCAACCCCCCCTCCCAATCTAAAAGGCTTTTCTAGAAGCTGGACGCAGACGTGATACAGTTTTATTTCTAACTCTGTCTGCCACTTTAGCTTTGTAAAGAAACCAGCCCCTCCTCACGCCCCCTTGACTAAATCCAATCCGCTATCCGTCATTTCTGGAAACTTCCTTTCCACAGCTTCTAAGATTGCACACCCTATCGCCATGGAAACCTTGCTAATCTGACAACAGGTTTTAATCTGGCTACTTTATCCTTTGTGATCCTGAGGAGCAACCTTTGATCAGCTGAGTGTGTCCCGGATGGCAGACTAACACCACTGTAAACGTGTCTAATGCCTCTCCGTGGGCCTACAAGTCTCACACTAACATTACATCAAAGCTCCTAATGCAGCAGCACATGCCATGACATACAGACATGGCATGAACAAATTAGAGAAGGTTAACATGTCCATAAGTGCAGGCCATAAGTACAAATCACTGTGCATATACCTGGTAAAACATTAGGTTTAAATGTCCTTCAAAATAAATGCAGCTCATTCATCAGTGAAACCTTTCAGTCCCAATGTAAACACAACTTCAGTCCATCTGTCAGTATTACAGTGCGTTCCATTTGATCTCAGGTCAGAAACTCAGAGGTTCCAGTCAGATATGTAATCGGGAATGCCTCCTGAATTCGGAAGTCCGACATGGAAACTCTGAGGAACTTCGGTAATCCGAGCTCAAAATCCAACATGGCTGCTCCTGTGCATCAACAGTAAAGTTAGGCGGTACACTATAGTTGCTATTTAGCAACTTAGTCTTGTTTTGTGTAATTAAATCAATCAACAATAGTTTAGTGCAAGTTCTATTTGTGGACATGTTATGTTATTTTCGTGTGCAAACTAACATGTGGTGTGTTGCTGTCGCCTGGAATCAACGAACACAACACAGGTACTCCTGGAGTCGTCCATGTTGCTGTCCAACTCGTTACTGGAGCGCGGTCAACTCGGGTGTGACGTCATTCCCAGCTCTGACATCCGAGGCAAATGGAACGCACCAAAACACAAGCTGACAAGGGTTTGACAAGGGTTGTCAAAATGTTCAATACTTAGTAAGACCAAGTGTTTTGAAACGATAACATCTCCCTGTTATTTTCATGTTGGACCGTATCAGAAAGCACCAAAATGTAAAAAAAAAAAAAATCACAAATCACATTTTCAGTTTCAAGTATAAGCTGTCAGGAGTGAAAGAGTTGAGGTTTTCTCTTACAGAAACACTGCCAACATTTCTGTTTAGTTTAGACAGTGTGCTTGTGTTTTTTTTGTGGTATTGAAACAGGTTTTGACTTCGTTTGATCTTTCAAGAATCTGGTGACGAACCTTATTCTGAGAGGAATAAATCTGAACAGTCTTTGTTTACCTTTCTAATACAACTTCCTGTCTTCATTAAACTCCTCTCTAACTCTGCTGCTTCCAGCTGTCGCCACAAACATTTTCAACGTCCAATCTGATAATGCCTCGAGGAACAGATTGTTGTTAGAATCCACTTTTACAGTTGAACATTTTAAGGCTGTAGCACCTGCGTTTTCAGCAAGAATGAGAGGAGGGGTTATAAACCCTGGACTTTTCTGCAAAACATAGAAATTAAGACAGTGCACATTCAAGACAGTCTTCTCTCTCTTCTTCTTTATGATCTGGATTTGTTTTTTTACTTTGGTACTTTTCAATACGATCATTCCTAAAATAACAGATTGTATCATTTTAAAACATGCAGTGCTATTGAAATGTAAATCTTTTTTTCTTTACAATCTTAGTCCACTTAAACATAACCACAGACTTTCCATCAATGTCACATGCACAGTTAACTCTGTCTTGGCAGATGGCATTTATTTGAAACCTGTCGAATTGTCTGATATTTTGTCCATTTCCTGCATGCGAGTGTGCCATCAATATGCAGGTAGGGGAACCTTAGATTGTATCATTTTAAAACATGCAGTGCTATTGAAATGTAAATCTTTTTTTCTTTACAATCTTAGTCCACTTAAACATAACCACAGACTTTCCATCAATGTCACATGCACAGTTAACTCTGTCTTGGCAGATGGCATTTATTTGAAACCTGTCGAATTGTCTGATATTTTGTCCATTTCCTGCATGCGAGTGTGCCATCAATATGCAGGTAGGGGAACCTTACAGTGTTTACATTGCCACTAACACATCCACTGACTGACAGCAAAGTCTGCAGCTACAGCAGCTCCACCAGAAAACATCTGACTCACATACACAAACACACTTTTTTGTGATACAGGAGCAGACACACTGCACCTGTTGTGTTTAGTAACAGACAGACACACAGCAAAAGCAGTCAAATGTGAACATACAATATATTGAAAAGTCTTTTTAAAGAGCTGGGATTAGAAAAACAGAGTTATGGAATAGAATTGAAATTTAAAATAATATTATGAAGAAGAGAAATCAGTTCTCACCTTGTCCAGGAAGCAGAGCTTGTCCTTGGTCTTAGCGTCCAGGATCTCCACCTCAAAAAAACAACAGCTTTTTAGCTTTTTAGCAGGTTTGCGTTTAACCGGGGCTGGAGCTGTACTGGTACTGGGACAGCAGCACTTGCCACCGCCACAGTCCCGTTAGCTGGCTTTTTACCGCCTGTGGCTTCTATGCTAGTGCATCCATGTCCACAGTCCTCCTCCTGTGTATTCCCTTCTTCCCCTAACTCTCTTCACCTCTGTTGAGTTTATTCAAAATCCACGTCAAACCACAGAAGAGACGGGCAGAACTCAGCTGTGGAAATAAATCTGTCTCCCCACCCCTCCTCTGCCCCTCCCTCTTCCTCCTCTCTGTCATTCTCTCTCCCTCCCTTTTTCATTCCTTCACTTCTGCTCACTGCTTTATTTAACTGCCAGGCGAGCTGTGGAGCGTGGACACACGAAACATGTGTGTGCACAGTTGCATACAAAGGAATGCCCAGTACCACCCTGGCATGCTGCCCCCAGTATATCATCTGTGTGTATCCCATGAAGCAAACTTGTAGAGCAGAGAGCAAGGCGATATTTCAGAGCTGCACAGACTTGAATGCGAAACACAACCCCTCCCTCAAAAAGGACACCTGACGACCCCCAATACCTCTCAACCCCTGGCTAAGTGGGAAGATGGAGGTGAGGTAAGGTGACAAACATTAACCCAGCAGCTTCCTCTTCTGACCCCCTCGCTTCCTCTGCCCGGCTAAATATAAACGTCTACAGCTAACTCTGCATAACCAGCGCTCTCTCTCCTTTTACAGCGTGTTGTACCTTGAAACCAAACTGAACAGCAGGATAAGTCTCCCACTAACGGGGCAGTGACCTTCCCTGCCACCAAGGGGTGATAATACTCCAGACTATGAGGGATTAGTTGGGGAACTCCCCTCGGGGAAGACCACCCCCACCCCACTTAACCAAGTGGGGCTAGTTTTCATATTGAACGGAAGGCAGAAATTCGCAAGTGGAGACATGAAGATTCAGAATAAACATGTACTCTGATCATGAAGTTTAATCCACACATTTAAAGTATTATGACTAAATAGTATAGTCAGAATTCAGACATGTAATAGTGTTGCTAATGAATTAAAATTTGAGACGGTCTGAGAGGATAACTAGGGACTTATTGGCACTAGAATTACTTTTAGGTTGAACTTATTATTATTGCTTTTGTTAATTCAGGCCCAGTCAAATGTTGTGTGTAAGCTGTAGCGCAGCCAACCACCACTAGCAGGGGCTGCCAGGCATCCCCACTGCCACCGTACCTCCCCCATCTCATCTATATAAAGCTGGCAGTGACAGTCTGTGAAGGTAATGCAGGCCGGCCGACAGTGAAGCAGGGAGAAGTGATTTTTAATTGCAACAAGAGGCTGTCTGAATCTCCTAAACCAATGTAAGAGGCCATTTTTTAAAAACTGACAATCAGAGAGTGCTCAGTGAGTATTTTTGTACATACTGCCAGGTAATGATCGCAAGACTGCGATGGCGCTCTCTGGTGCTATCGGGTGTAAATGCAATGAATCTATTAATATAAAAGTCGAGTAAACAAATGGACTACAACTTATGTTATGTTTCAACATATTGTGAATGTGAACAATGTCAAAGAAAAAAAAGGAAAGTTTAGTACTTTTGCTTTTGTAGAATATTTATATCGATCAATGTCCCCTATTGAGGAAAAACCTTATAATAAAGTATAAGACATAAAACCACCACAACAGATGAAACCATAGAGCTCAACAGTGGCCGCCCACTTTTTCCATCGGCTCTCGTTCTGGTAGTAGATTTTCCCATTCAAATCCTCCATTGACTTTTCACAAAATCCTTTTATCAAGAGATTGGCGCCTGGAACCAAGAAAACCAGCTACCCCCATTACGTGAGTATAGTACATTTGATTCAGCGCAAAAACTGCATTAAAAAAACGGAGAAAAAGGGAAAGGTACAAGACTGTGTACATAATTTACGTCTGGAGTCAAGGAACTAACTTTCCCACAATCCATTGCCAATGGTATCGCTTCACTTTAGTTAAATGTAACTTGGGTCGTTGTAATAGTGTTTAAACTGTTAGTACAGTGTGTTTTAGATTGTGTGAAAATATATATAGAATGTATACATATAATGTAAATTTCCCTGTTGTGGGATAAATAAAGGATTATCTTATTTTACATGAATAATTAATTTCAGAATCAGAAATACTTTATTAATCCCAGAGGGAAATTTGTTCAAATAATGTATTAATTAACCAGGCTGGTTAAACCAGGTGGCATAACCAGGCTTTTAGTACTTTTCATGTAAGCTAACTAACTAGCTAGCCTATTAGTGAAAACCATCCATTCGCATTCGGGAAACAAACATTGCCACGGTAACAGCGAGCTCCACCAATCAGAGACGTCGCTGTGGCACTCTATGGTCGTGGGTAGTGTAGTTGTTTTCACTGATGTCGAGAATAAACCGTGTTTTTCTTAAAACGAGGTTAATATCATACAAACCCGTGTCTTCTACAGGAACATATTCCATCGTTTCACACACAGGTAGCTCGTGGGAAGTCTACCTTTGACAGTTTTTACATCATGGCTAATTATCAAATCGGCTATGGAGAAAATGAATGGGATTTTTACTTCCTGAACCACACTGTTGAGCCCTATCAATTTGAGTATTTATGTGGTTGTGAATTTCATGGAAAAATCACTGTTTTTGTTGATCCCATACAAAAACCCTCTATATGTCTAACACTTCAGTTTGTCTATGTATTTTAAGTACTTATCACCTTGTACTTATTCTTATATTGTTTTATTTGATCTGTTAACCTGCTGCTGTAACACCACAATTTCCCAGAATTGGGATCAATAAAATAAATCTATGTCTATGTCTTTGATAGAAACACCTCGTATTTTCCACGATTTATGTGTCTTCTCCAAGTCTATGGTCTTCTCCCCCTCATAGGTTGCAAAAGCCACATGTGTCATCAGAAAGAAGGGGAGCCAGAGCAGCCACTGGTTGGGTCAGTTTCTGTCAGGCTGCTTCAAATCCTGTCTGGTGGGTTTTGGTGCATGAAACTATTTGTTAACATCGAGAGACACTTTCAGCGCTTGCAGGAGTAGGCCAACAATGGTGAAATGAAATAGAAAGCCCAGAGTCTTACACATCCAAAACGTGAGGGTGACTTCAACAGTGCCGAGATTGCGCACTTGACTGTTCACCTGCACTATTGAGTAATAACAAGATAAGAAGCGCCATGAGCCTTTCCAGCCAGAGATGGCAATGATGCAGAGTGTTATCCTACACAGAGGGCTTTGTGTTTCACTTGTTCAACTTATACACAAACCCTCGAATATACACAACGCAATAGTAATTGGTCACGACTGTGGGTGCAGCTTGACTTTCAGGCACGATGTTTGCCAAAACATACGTGACTCTCCGTGCATGAGAGGCCACAAATCCCCGGTCATAGCAACCAGCCCCAGACAGGCTGCAGCATGCTATTCTCACGGCTCATGTTTAAAGCTTAAAATGTGACTATTCGGGGAAAAATAGGTCCTAAGGAGGCTTCAGGAAAATTCTAAATTGGACACATTAATTACATTTTGTCCCCGTAAAGCGTCCCATTGATGGTTTAGAGTTTCAAAGATTACTCACCTCGTAGTGCTTCATCTTGGCAACCGTCAGCCCTTTCCTTAATATCCCTAATGATTGACAAGAGCCGCCTCCAATCGGAGGTGTAATATGCGACTGCTGAGGCCACCGGGGGCGGGCCCTACTCCTGAAAAAAGAACCAATCACAACAAGCGGCATTCACGCGATCGCGCCCACAGTATCAGCGACGTAGCCAATGAGATTTGAGCATTCAGAGAGGTCACTGCTCTGCCTTTTGCGCTTTTGAATAAACGCTCTGTTCGTTCCTGCGCATGCTCACTGGTCAAACTGGCAACTATGAAATGGGCCAATAGGATTTTTTCTGTAAAGAGCATAGACTTTAAATATTAAGAGGTTGCTCTCCAGATCAAGACTTTATTATTCTACTTTGTCTAAGTTATAATATCATCAAGTCTGTCGATAAAAAAAGTGTATTTTTTATTTCTGTCTCTTGGCTTTTTCAAACTTAGTTTCAAGACTTTATATGCAACAACATGGATTATAATCTTTCTATATTTGCTACATTTAAATGTATTTAATAATTGCTATTTGAATGATGTACTGTGATATTGCGGAAAAATTGTGATGCTCTCATATTTGCTCGATTAAATGATAGTTGTGAACTTGGAACTAAAGTGGACCGGTCTGAGCCATGAAACTCCCAGGCTGAAAATGAGTCCCACTCCTGCCCACTCATGCAAAAAGTGAAATACTAACATTTTCACTCAATTCAAGGCCAAACATAAAGTGCAAATAAAGTGTAATTCCATAGCTCTGAATAACATATTCTGTTTGAAACCACTCGGTTCCAACATTGTCACTATCAATGTCCAATACTCTTAAAAATGTAAATCTAAACAGATGCTTAAAAGTATTAAGCAAATGACTTGAATATACAGTACAAATTGAGGACTCTTTAAAGAAATGATTTAAGCCCCACCTTAAAAAAGGACAAATAACAGTGATTTGGGTGGTTCTGAAGAACAACTTACACCTGTCATGTTTATAGCGAGCCCACTCTCATCCCAGGAAAAAAACAGGTTTTGCTAAACAGGTTTTGTATCCTTTACAAATGATTATTTTGAAAGCCTATTTCAACTTTCTCCTGGAATTTACAGATCAATTTGACCATTTTCTTCTCCATTAACTCTTGGATTGTTTTACTTCAAGTTACCATGTGTTGGAATATGTTACATCCAAATGTCTGTAAACAAGAATCTGAATGTATTTTATTTTTTAATGACACTAACTAAGAAGTAAGCAAAGATGTGTGATTGGTTCAATACTGAATTTTTTCTGAGTAACTTGTTGGGTAATATTTTCAGTGACACTGGCGATGCAGTTACCTGTCCTAACAAATCTCTGACATTGATGTTGAAGATCCCAGGCCGGACAAGTCGAATCATGTGTAGACTAATCTGAAATGCTGCCTTCAAGTGCAATATTTGCACCTGTTTTGTCTGTTTTGTACTTCCAAGAGTTGTGCAAAGCTGTAATACCAACACAACATTTTAAACAACAGTTAGTTGTGCAGATTTGCCTTGCAGCTTTTTGTCAGTAAATGCTGCATTTACTGACAAGAGCTCACTGCTGACACCTACAGTATCTGAAACATCTTAAAACATGTTGCATTAAACACGGAAGTAAACAGTAATCAGCCCTTGAATGTTAAGCATGTCAGCCACAGCTGAGCTTGAGCAGCTTGGAATAAAACTGTTTATCCTGCTGAGATATAATTTCAATGAAATTTCTGATTCAGCTATAGAAAATGCAGGTCTCCCAAATCTGGCATTTAGTAAAACAAAACCCATCCTGAGCAAGAAAGTATTTTCTCTTTAGACCCATATTGGTAATAGCAGGTTTAAAACTTCTTGCACAAGTCAGATCTGTTCATTCAGTAGAATTGTTAAACTAATTTATAGCTATGTTTGGACAAATGCATTAGATATTCCGCAGATGCACAAATAGGCTTAAAGACTGTATAACTAACACTATAAGCCTAACCAGTCTTTGCTAACTTGTTCAATCTTCCAAGGCAGCCTCTCTGTCTTCACACTTATCCTTGAACAGTGATTTACACAAGCTAAATTGACATTTTTACCAAAGGACATGTGCTCCACTCAAGTAGAAGGTCATATAATCAGATTAAAATTGTTGGTTCAGGAAGACTTTACCCTGCTGATGGTGAAGTGCCATAGTAAAATGCACTAGCCTACTAAGGCTCCCTGTTGTGCAGCACACTACCAGACCGTAAGCAGGGGATTAAAGGAGTGTTGAATCTGGGCCACACCCAAGCAAAACAAAAGCTCCTGTCAGCAGTCGATCTGCAGTTTCATTTGGTATGATAGCTTTAATGTGGAAGACGTTCCTTTTTATTTTGTAAAAAGCCTATAAAGCTGGCACAACAATTATTTTTCGGGCAGTGTCTTTTTGTGGATTATCATTCATCGCATATTGCTTCTAATCAAGTCTGCTATGTCACACACCTCAAAAGGCGCATTTGAATTTATAGATGCGGAAGTGTTTTTTAATGTATAACATATATATTTATCGGATTACATGTTTGTTTGAAAAAAAAAGTGCATGATCCGTGTTGTTTTTGTTGTGCATTTATAGCTATGATGAGTTTTGGACGACAGAAAAGGCATGGTATGTTACCTTGTAGAGAAATTCCCGATAGGGAATGAAGGCAGCGTGACGTGAGGTGACGTGACGTGATTTAATGGGCGTGTCTTCGCTTAACTGGCAACACAGTTGAGTTTGTTCGGGCTGGTTGTGGAAAACTCTGGAAGTTTCTTCACTCCTTAAAAAGGGAATCTTCAGGGGGCAGCAGGTCAGACTCTGACTAGACACGGAGAGCCACAGGCTGTAACCAAAACATCTTTCAACATTCACTAAACAGGCCGCTTGATGGTGAAGATGGGTAAAGACTACTACGACATTTTGGGAATTAAGAGAGGAGCGTCGGAGGATGACATAAAGAAAGCCTACCGTAAGCAGGCTCTGCGGTATCACCCCGACAAAAACAAATCACCGGGAGCCGAGGAGAAGTTCAAAGAAATCGCTGAAGCCTACGACGTTTTGAGTGACCCAAAGAAAAAGGATATCTACGATCGTTTTGGCGAAGAAGGTAAGGTTTAACTCGTGAATATGTTCAGCGTGTCGTCATTTACACGAGTGGGACAGTCTGGCTAAGCGTCGTCAGGTGTTCACTGTGATTTGAGTGAGAAAAAGGTGCCACGAATGGCAGTAAACAGTCTTTAATGTTTCCCCTGCGTGTCATGGCGCTCCCTGCTCCCCTCCTCTCCTCTCTGCCCTTCAGCTGCGGCTTGTCTCTCAGCCAGGGGAGGATTTACTGACAGACAGTAGACAACACGTTTCTACTTGAAAACAGTGGGTGACTCTTATATAAAGGAGAACGAATCTGAGTGGAGGGGTGGAGGGCGGAGGGAGGGGGGAAGGGGGACCAGGGTACAGCGAGTTTGGATGTCTGAATGGTGTTGTCACTGAAGTCCGTGTTCTCTTGATGCGTGGAAACATGACAGGTGGGGAGGTGTTACTGCACTGTAAGTCCAGTGAAATACTTTACCCTTATTCGTCTTACCTGTTTAGTAACCATGGTAACTGAAGGAAAGATAATAGGCGATAGATGAGTGACAGACGTGTTGACCTGAGGTGCGTGTTACCATGGCAATAACATCATTTAGATAAACATTCCAGGGTTTAGCAGCGTCAATATAATTTTGTGTTCCCACTTTAAGTATATTAAATTAAAACTTTACTTAAACAATTGCAATACTTAATAATTATTTAAAAAATAATTAATTATTATTTTAATGACAACGCAATAAAACGTGAAGTGGTGTTTACACAGTGGACACACATGTTTTTTTTTTTTTTAATTCCCTTGTTTTTTATTTTCACTCATTGATTCTGCAGCTGCTCTTACCAAGGACATACTGTGCATTAGTTATGCATAAAGATGGGACATATTAAGTTATTCTGTCATTACATTCAACATTTACCCTCTTGCTTATGCATTCAGTGGTAAAAAAAAAATGAAAATTGATGGAAATATTGGTGTTATGGGGAAATGTTTTTTTTTTTTTAGTTTGCCAGAGACATTTGGAAATATTTATTTGTTGTGTGTCTGTGGCATGTGCAAAGGATTGTGGGTCTAAATTCTGGATGTGGTATGCACATCGAGGTATTTTGGGTCTAATGCATTTAAAAAATATGTTTTGAAACTTTTTTTTTCAGTTGATGTTTTGAAACTTAATATATAATACATATACATAATGTATATGTGTATTAAATGATATCTTACATATGCATTCATACTGGTTGTTACTTTGATGAATCAGTTTGACATAAAAGTAAATGATTTGTAATATCTCAGCAGACCGCTCAACCACCACAACAGGTGCTGCAGTAACATTTTGTAGGTTTGTGCCACATTTTTCATGGTGGTGTGTGAACATAGTGAAGGTAAAGAGGAGTGAAAAAACATCTCTTAGGATACTCTTATAATGTTGTACCTGTTGTTTTGTTTTGGGTTGACTTATTTGCGTGTGCACATCTTGTTTTTCGTTATTCGGTCAGCAATCTCTATGCACACTAACAGATCCTAATCTGTGCTGTCATCAAATGGGACATGAATAATGTTTTAAAGTCATCTTTACTTCTCAGCCGCCCGGCACCTTCGAATCTATACTGTGATTCTGGCTCACGGCTTTACTTCACAGTATGTTTGCAGAGTTAGAACGTATAAAAACATGAACGCGCAACTCTATTAAAAATAGGAAAAACAATTTAGACCACAAGTCTGTGAGATACTGTAGTTTACAACAAAGACGAATAAAGGAACAATTCGAGTTGATTTACTGTCAACAATCAACTCCTAAATAGCAAAAAGAAAGTAAATATTTAGTTTAATGAACAACGTATTAAAACACACATTGGTGTGACAATGTCAAGGGTCAGACTCAGTGTTTGCAGTAACCAGTCAAAACCGGTTTTCACACATTCACTATCAGTCCTCATCTTATCTCTTGGACCTGAAAGCTTGAACCTCCACACACAAAGGCAGGGTTTTTCCTGCATAGAGAATTCTTTGGCAATATCAATATATCAAACGACTGTTGAGCAAGCAGAACATAAACTTAAATACGACGTCTCTGACTTCTAGCAGTTTGGTGAGTTAATTTCACAGAGCAAACCACTCATCATGGTGGTAAATATTTATCCCAACAGTCATGTTAAAACTATACTAAACCGCGTATGATGTAGCTGCGGCTACTTGTCCCTGCTCCTCTGCTGTCTGCAGACGGGTCATCGTGGGGGCACGCTGAGACGAGACATCAACATACATGGCTGCAAACGCACACGCACACACACCGGAATGCCAACCACCGCGCGCACCTGTTGACTCACAGTGAACACGGTCGATCCGCTATCCGTATGGACCGAGTCGGGAACCCACGTTCAACTTTTCTCCGTTCACTTCCACCGTGTCTTCTTTTATCAACAATCAATAACTTAATGACACAGACTGTCAAACAGCAAATAGCCAGCAAATGTGTTTTTATTATTTCTCAAGTTCCTGATCTGATCAAATGATCCAAATGATCTGTGACTTAAACAAATGTGTATGTAAAACGAAAACGCAATTTAAAGGAAACGAGCAGCCATCATAGGAAAAGGGTGAAATGCACTGGCAGGATGTGACCTCCCCTCTCCCAATCTCATTACACCCCTCTACCTCAAAATCCCTCTCCTCCCCTTTTTCACTGTTGCAATAAAAAAAACATTCTTGACCAGATTGGGGTTTTAGTAACTTAAGCATGATGATAATATTATTTATAAAATGGTCAGAAGTAACAGGAAACGCACAGATTTCTGTCAAATAAGGTAATACAGACTCGTAGACTGTACTGTCATACGCGGGTAGAACATTTACTACAGTGCGTATAGTCACCCCCCAAAGGCCCATTCTGAGCCAGGAAAAACCCTGAAAGTATAGGGCTTATGTGTGGAGGTTAAGAAACCATGACAAGAAAACGACCGTACATTTGTGAATATATAATAAATGTTTCCTACTTTATACCATACATACTTTGAAACCTTTACTTTTAAGAACATGTTTTTAAGTACATTTAAATTGTAGTATTATGTAATTTCAGTTATTGTGGCGGCGTGTCACTCACTTAGACCGTAACACCGGAAAGGTTGCGGCCATGAGCAAGGACTACAAATCAAATTACAAATGAATTTAAGTTATTTGTTATTTTAGAAAGAGACGTTTTCCTTCTAATCAGAGCAATGACGTGAAAAAAATAGCCGCGCAGTGGTGGTCTTGATCTAAAATCCAGAGTCCGGTCAGTCTGAGACCAAGACAAGAATGAGCAATGCTTTCGATTCTGAGACGAGGCCAAGACCTTCAAAAAAGTGGTCCACAGACCGATTTCCAGTACTGCAACACTAGCACCAGGTTCAACCTTATTAAATGACACTTTTCTCTCTTTCACAGTTTAGCAGAACTTTGAAGAAATAAACCACCAAAAAGTCAGTCTTTTTAAGAGATGAATGTATTAATGGATTGTTTCCCTCACTCAGGTCTAAAAGGCGGAGGCCCCCCAGGTGGTTCTGGTGGCCCCGGCACCTTCAGCTACAGCTTCCAGGGCGACCCTCATGTCATCTTTGAAGAGTTCTTTGGGGGACGTAACCCCTTTGGACAGTTCTTTGGGGCCCGCAATGGAGGCATGGAAGAGGACATGGACACTGATGACCCTTTTGCCCACTTTGGGATGGGGGGCGCTGGAATGGGCGGGTTCCCTCGCTCCTTCAGCTCTGGTATGGGAGGAATGGGCATGAACAGTAGCGTTGTAAAGAAGCAACAGGACCCCCCTGTGGTTCACGATCTACAGGTGACCTTGGAAGAAGTTCTGTCGGGTTGCACCAAGAAAATGAAGATCTCACGTAAAAGGCTGAACCCCGACAGGCGCACCGTGAGGACAGAGGATAAAATCCTGGAGGTCCAGATTAAGAAAGGGTGGAAAGAGGGCACGAAAATCACGTTCCCCAAAGAGGGAGACGAGAGGCCCACAAACATTCCAGCAGATGTAGTCTTCGTGTTGAAAGACAAGCCACATCCAATATTCAAACGTGACGGCTCTGACATCGTTTACACAGCAAAGATCTCCCTTAGAGACGTAAGTTAAGAAAGCATTTCCTTTGACATTTGAGGCCCTTATTGATCAGTAAACACTGTAAAACAGGTTGAAGATGAATCAAAGAATGATCAGATGAAAATCTTAAATGCAATGAAATTAACACTTGAATTCCAGATACTAATCCATATTTCCTCTCTTCTCCCATCAGGCCTTGTGTGGCTGCTCAATCAACGCACCCACGCTGGAGGGCAGAACTGTAACTGTGACCGCAACAGATATCGTGCATCCGGGGATGAAGCGACACATCAGTGGGGAGGGGCTGCCTCATCCCAAACGCCCCGATCGACGAGGGGACCTGATAGTGGAATACGAGGTGAAGTTTCCTGAAAGGCTCAGTCAGAGCGCCCGCGACACCATCGCTCAAGTCCTCCCAAGATCTTAAATGAGACCAACAGGACTCCAAGACTTTCAAATGATCACCAGTGCTGCCCACTGTCCTTGTTTCAAAGCATCACATGGACATTCATGTGCGTTTTCTAATCACACATCGGACAATACTGAGACTCATGGGACAGATTTTCCTGCGTGTATGCCCTCAACCATTGTCAAAAAACTTCCTTTGGGAAATGCTTCCTGTAAATGACCGCAGGATTGTACAGGCTTTATTGTAAATATCCAAAAGCTTTTATTTTGATGAAATAGATGTTTTATTATATATAAAGGAATGCTGTAAGTGCACTACCATGTGGGAGCCGTTTGTTTGTTTAAAGGTTTACAGAGTTCAGAAGAAGCACTTCTAAATTGTGCACTGATGGATGCAAAGATTTCGGTGTTGAGACACTTCTACTATTCTTCTGATTTGCAGAAAGGTTTTATGTTTGTGTGAGTGACCATAATTGCAATTATACAATTAAACTGGTGCTTAACATAATCAAGTGTTGTGCCTTACTGTTCCTCATTGTGTTTCTCCTAATGCCACCCCCAACACTGGAGTCAGTAAGGCTTGGAGAACTCGGACTGAAGCGATTTAGAGAATGACTTTGTTTCAATCATAGGAAAATGTTTCAAAATGTATACAAAAATGAGCTTTTGGCGAAAGGTCAACTCTCCTTTACGGGTGAGTTTCTGCTATTTCTTTACATTTACTTTCTCCATCTTTATATAGTAATGTACTGTGTTATCAAATCCCTCTAAACCTTAATAAACTCTTGAATGTTTCCATTTGTTCTCTCTGTGGTGAACTATAGATTGGCTGGAGTGCTGCAGAAATGCTCAACATTTTGGTAATTAACGTCTTTTTCTCTTTTTTTTTTTTCAAAAGTTAGATGAGGAGATAAATATCTAGAGCCACAGTTGTTCAGCTCAGAGGTTCACAAACTCTGCCAAGCCAAGGATCCACATACAGCATTAAAGCCTCTGGACAGGCACCTTCCTCGTAGCAACAGTCTTCATAATTCATAAGTCCTCATAATTTTATTCTAAACAATAATCAACCATAATAGTAAAAGGAAACACATCATTCCCCCCTCTTCCCTCTGAGTTTCTGCTGTGTTTGGACAATAACCCCAATTTTTGCATGTCCACTCAGACACAATATCCAATCAATGAACAGTCTCCTTCTAAAATCTTCATATACTGTGCGCTAAAGTAGTGTTAGAACAAAGCAGCTTATACAGCAAAGTAATGGGCGTAAAATGTCTGAGGCACACTGACACAAATGGCCAGTCTGCATAGCCATATAGCCTAAAGCTCCCATGGCGGCTTCTCGACCGGTGGTTACTCAACAATCGGGTCGAGCTGAGCGATAAAGCAGTATGATCTAATAGTAAACTTTAGCTTGGAGAGTGAATAAGGAGTGTTTCATTTGTTAATCTTGATTAAGGACACAGCCCTGAGGATGTCCTCTGATACCCGTGACACAGTCAGCAGACCGCTCACTTGAGTTTTGTGCCTTCCAGCTTCATGAGCTATAGATGCACCCAAAGACCGTTCACGAGAGCTCCAACAATGTGCATAAACACTGAAGAGTTTGTAGCCTTCACTGTCACAGGAGTCGATACAGAATACAGTATTGTACGTTCTCTGTTCAAAGAAATGTAGCTAGAGTCAAAACAGATTCATTCCCATTTACTGGTCAGATGAGCTGAAGAAAGCTTCTGCAACCTTTTACTTACATCACACTCCAGATATTAAAGGCACGATCTTTAGAGGACTAAATGATACGTGTAATGTGGTGAAGACCAACATTTGTCTGGTGTTATAGGACACAATTCTTCTATTCGGTTTGTTTTAGATGAAAAATGAAGATTCTTTATGTCATCATGTTTTACTGCTTCTCAGGTAAGTGTTGATTATTTACGTTTTAAAACAGACACAGTATGTTTTTATTGTAAAAGGTACAATTCATGTAATTAAAATGCAAAATATGACTGAAGGAATCTCAACCTTACATTGGTTTATGAATTAATGTCTAAAAAGGATTGCTGAAAGTTTAGATTTATCAGTGAGTTATATTTCTAAAGGTGTTTTCTGAGGGTAAAACTGCTCTTACCAATACAGCAGATATCTTGAGTTGTGTTGGTGGTTTCCAACAGATCCTGAAACTTTTGGAATCTGGGGTTAACTGATTTGCTATGTACGGACAGAATAACAACATATGAGCAATGTTTAAAAGTTAATGGTCTGCTTTTTGCATTTAGATGTAGTTTATTTTTAATTTTTATTTCTAATAGTTAATGGAGGCTAGAAGGTCTGTTAATTGAGGGAATAAGACACAACTTGAGTGTTATTGGCTGTACACAGAAGCCATTGTTTCACATTGTGTTTATTTTTTGTTTCTAGTTTTTTAAATGAAGGAAAAATGCTGAATTAATGAAATAAACACATGGTTTATGTAAGATAAACCAAAATGTGAAATGCTACAACTAAATATAGTGAAATCACGAGCATAAAAAAAGATATATCAACTGTCAATGATAAATATTTCACATTAAAATTAATAGAATAACAGTATGAGAACAATTATTTGAACAACTATTTGAATTAGTTTTTATTTATTTAATTGAATTTGACAATGTGAAAGGTGACTTTGAAGGGGTCTTTGGGGGTCCTTGGCATGGCAAAGTGATGAATCAATATCACCTGTATCAGCAGCTTCTCTCAGCTTTGTGGAGCTTTACGTGAAGAATCGGTCACTCCTATAGTCTTGTTAATGTAATTTTCCGTTGCAGCAGACAGATGTTTAGTAAATCTCTGAAAACCCACTGAACACTACTTCCTCAGGACAAATGGATACAGTGAGCCATTTTCTGCTGAACCTGATAGAGTTTTACCCATTTGTAATAGACAGCTGCTGCCCTCAGGAGTTGATAGAGAAAACCAGAATGAAAAGAGAGTTTATACTGGACTTGTTTTCTTCAGTTGGCCAGAACTAGATTCAAACTAATGCTGCTTCATTAACTGCTGGATGTGTTAAAAGTTATCTTTAAGCTTACAACCTCCATCCATCCATCCATTCCATTTTTGGCCCCCAGATGTCCATCTCCCGCAGCAAGTTTGTTCCAGCTCCTTATTATTTCAGGTATTTCTTGGCCAAATTGGATACATAATCCCTCAATGGGATCTCACCCTTGTTGGAGGTGCCAGGAATAGTTCCAAAGAGACCATGACGCATCCTTCTCAGATGCCTGAACCACCTCAACTAGCTCCTCCGGATGCAGCAAAGCAGGGGCTCCACTCCAAGCTCCCCTCAGCTGGCTGAGCCCAGCCAACAAAAGATCATGCTATAGTTGGGGGTTGGAACATAGGTTGACTGGTAAAACAACACGTCAATCTTGCCTTTTGGGTCACCTCTTTACCAAGATTATCTGGAACACTGTCCGCATTACAACTGATGCTGCAAATCAGATGGTTTCTTGATTAATTTTACCCTCACCTTGAACAAGACCCCAAGGTATTCTATTTCCTTCCCCTGGGGCAGTTACTCAATTCTCAACTGAAGGGAACATTCGCTTCAGTCCTCAGACCTTGAGGTGTTGACTGTCATTCCAATCACCTCAAGTTTGGCTTCAAACCACCCCAGTGCCAACTACTGTAGGCTTTACGTCACAGTTTGATAGCTAACAGAACCACATTATATACCAAAAGCAGAAGTGCAATTCTGAGATCCCCAAAACCAAACACTCTCCTCCCACTGGCTGCAATTCTCTCCATGGAAATCACAAAAAGAAGGAGGGACAATGCTAATAGTGATCCAATACTTGTGGGAGGCCAACAACCTTTTGGGATGTTTTACTTTGCACTGAGGCTGATGACAAAGCTTTCGCTTCTGGTCATATAAGGACAGATGAGTTGTAGCAATGGGCAATGGACGTATACCCCATAGGACCCCTTGTGAGATGATCATAGAGCTTCTATTAGTTCTCAAACACATGTTGACTGGTTGAGCAAACTCAACCCCTTCAGAAACCCTGTAAGGCTAAAGAGCTGGTGCACTGAGGAGGGCCAGGACAAAAACTGCATTTTTATTTTGGTACGATAATCTTGGCTGATAATGTTTGATAACCTGATAATAGGAGTACAACCTCCTTTCGGCCCTGGACCAAGACCAATGGTCAATTATCTGATGAAACGACAATTCATTAATTATTAAAATAATCAAAGTTTTAAAAAGGAAAGGAACAACTACATATTATAAACACGACACAATCACTACTGTGAGCATCATTTCACACAAGTATGTAATTACTGTAACTTACAAACACAAATATTAAATCATAATAGAAATCTGGTGTTGGACTGTGAAATGAAACCCAGACTTCCAGAACGGTTTAGGAGCTAGCCGACGGGCTTTGTTTTGTGTGAATTCTGAAATTATTACATGCGCTGTATACACTATACATTAAGACCATAAATTGTTACATGAACACACATAGAAATACACAACAAACACTATTTTCTGTCAGTCATCCTCATTCATTTCCTCTCAAAGCTTCCACTGTTTCTCCTGGATCTTCTCCCTCAATCACCACGCTGTTGACGGAATCAGAAAGTCTTCCCCAAGGCAGATTTCCATCCAGCACTGAACCTTCACCAGCAGCATCCATCGTCTCCTTTACAGAGGCAAAGACTGACCAACCAGAAGCAACCAAACTCAAAGGTACACCACAGTTAAGATGCTGCTCACCTGAAGCATTCCCCAACACATAAAAAACTGTTTTCAATATTGCAACTATAAGCTTGATAATAAAACATGCGAGGGGCATAAAGTTACTTTGGCTATTGATCTGGAAGCTAATTATGTGTATCCAGTGTGCAGGTTAAACTAATTTAAGAACATGTTGGTATATTTAATTTCAACAGTAACTGGCAGTTCTGACTGACTGATGAGCAGTCTTATTGGAGAAGAGGCATTGAATGAGTGGCGATATATTGCACATCCTCACTGGAACTTTTGCCAATGTGTATCACTCTGCCTTGACCAGGTGTACTGAATACATTCATCATCATCATCATTATTTAGTTTTTCAAATCCTCAGAGGACACATTGTCAATGGTGCTGAGGGGTTAACTGAGTTGCTATTTCAGAACAGAATAACAACCTCCTCAAACAGAACAAATAATGTGATGCTTTCTTTCTCTCCACCATAACTCAGCAGAATGCATCACAATCCAATATCTGAGTGCACTGATAAAGAAGGATTTATTAAAGTACTGTAAATGGCATGTTGAGAGGAAGTGGGTACACAAGAAATGTATAAACATGTCATTGCACGCTTACCTCTACAATGCAGGGACCACTATTCACTAATTATTATTTGGAAATCAGAGAAATGTGAAAGTTGGATGATTAAAGTCAAACTGTGAAGGATGTTGTTGTAACTGACATGTTGTAGCTGAAGCATATATGTCTGGCTCTGTTGTCTGTAGATACCACAGTGGTCATCATTGTTTCTGTGAGCCTGGCTCTTCTAGTATGTGCCGTTATCCCTGTTATATTCTATGGAAACTGCCGGACAAACAGAGGTAGGGAGACACACACACAGAGACACACAGTGCTTTACTTTTGCTCCACAGTTTGATCCTTACTTCAGATTCAGACATTAATTTTAATCCTGTTGCTTGTTTCAGGAGATAAGAAAAGAACCGAAGCAAGTAAGAGTGAGGTGAGCGACCATGATTGTCAGCTTGAATTTTGATTAGTGTCCATCTCTTATTATTACTTTATCAATTGAAGAATACTTCTTATTAAACAGGTCTTTATTGTTCTCTCTGTTTATTTACAGGCTGACCATTTTGAGGAAAATGTAGGTGTTACCTCGACTCATGCTGTAGTGAGGCTGGAGTCTTTAGATCCAGACTCCGGCGCTCAGGATGCTCCTCCTTACGCTTCCATCGACGAGGCACTTGATCCTAAAAGTCTGGATTAAGAAGGGTTTCATCTTTGTAATATAGCAATAAGTAAGGTCTTTTACCTGCTTTTTGTAACATAACAATGAGTAAGGTCTTTTTACCTGCTCTTTTGTAATGTTAAAAGACAAAGAGTAAGGTATTTTACCTGCTTTTAGTAAAGTGTCTTGAGATAACACTTGTTATGAGTTGACGCTATACAAAATAAATTGAATTGAATTGAAATTGAATCTTTATCCAATCTGAGGGTTAACCTCACCTTTTTCTCTGTGGTTTGAATGAAAAAATAAAGGAAATAGGCTGAATGTATTTCGACTCAAGCACACAGTCTCCAATGGATATCTAATTTTGTGCATTGACAGGGTTAATACTTTATTGTATTACATCTTCCACATCAAATTTATCGCTGTATTATTTAAAATTTATGCAGTGTGAAGCCGTCACAGTGATGGAAAAGAACGACAATGCTGCATCTTTGAATGTCTCATTTCACTTTAACAAACTCTCCGACAGCTCAGCTGACGAGTCCAAAATCACATCGACCTTCTGTCATCAAACATTTACCTTTGTTACCGTTCCTTAGAGATGTTTAGTTTGGGTTTTGATGCGTAACGAGTTTCTTTTTCCGTGGTTAAGTTAATGTCATCACATCAATCTACCTGAAGGTCCATACATTATTTCACAATAATAGCAGGGTTGAATTCAAACAGGAAGTAAAGTACAAAGACAGTATTTAAGACAGTACAAAAATTCTAAATAAAAGCCTCACACATTTTTTTTTTTTACGAAAATAATTACATTTCATTTAAAATGTGATTCATTATAATTAACTATTGAAATGTTGCAATTAATCATGATTAAAAATGTTTATTGTTTGGCAGCCCTAATATTTAATGATAATTTTATAGTTAGAGTAAAATGACAATATGGAATAAAGAGTGGGAATTGGTATATGTATTTCCATTAGTTCAGGTGCAGATTTTCTGTTTATGAAATAGGAATTATATATTTACATTGTTTTGATGAACATTTTGATGTGCCAACATAAATTAGAAATACACATGTTTATTAACAATACATTTCACATAATTCTTAGGTTTTGATATCACATATTCTCATGAATTTAACATGATATGAATCATAATACCTCACAAACAGAAACCATTTATGGACTTTCCAACATCAGATCGTGCTTCTACTGCTGTTAGAGATGGAGACACTTATAGTTACAGTATTCAACCTGCAGAGGGCGTTACACACACGTGTTACCATCACCATGATTAGAAACTTTGCACTATATTGTATCGAAGTCACCTTAACAACAAGTTTTTGGTCCTGAAAGCTTTCATAATGTTGCTAAGAAGATTGATTTCTTATCTTTCAAAGACTGCATGTCGTGTATGTTCAAACTGGACCCATGCTGATGCAGGTGAAATCAAATATTGAAATGAGCGAATTCATTAGTAATATGAAAATATCTAATCTTCATCAGATCTAACATCGTCTGAATACAAAGGGACCACAGATGTAAATGAGCTTTCTAGCTAACTCTGGCCCAACAGTTGTGCTGTGGATGAAGATCAGTTTGACATGAAATGAAACCATGACCGTAACACACACTGTCCCCACGGCTATTTTAAGACTCACTCTTTTTTTCTTCTCTGCATCATTTACTTTCCACTGAGCGTGTGCCGAGGTCTACAAGAATTAAGAAACATGACAGAAAAACACAGTCAGTGTCACTTCTACACACTGAGGTTTATACACATCTGCCCACATCTGCCCACCTGTGAAAACACAACGGGTGACAGCTTTACTCACGTCACGTCTGCCACCTGTTCCTTCAATAATGACTCATTTTATGTCTTTAACACTAAATGTGAAACAAAAGGCTCCATCTCTCTGTGTGTGTTTTATCCTCAAACATTTTAAACATCCGTAGATGTCTTCCAGCCCTGAAATATATAACATTATATATATATATATAATTTTTTTTTTTAATTATGAAGAATAGTGCTTGTTCTTATAAGTCTACAGCTAGCATGAGCTGTTTCACACATGCATAAATGTCCTAAAAATGTCCCAGATTTTGGGGAGTTGCATGTGAGAACGCAAATGGCAGAAGTTTACACTGACTTTTTCCTGCCATCCCCCCAAAACATTTGCAGAAGAAGTCAGGTGCAAAGAAGTTTCAACACAGCTGGAAATATGTACTTTGAAAAGGTTTAACTTTATGTTGCATTGATATGAAGGCAAAAAGAATCCAGTCTTTATAGGGTCAATTCGTCTGACAGGGAAAACTTTACACTGTGAAAATGTGTAGAACTCGTCAGGAGTACATGTGTGAAAACTGCTCTACTGGGACTTTCATAGACAGACTGCAAATAGGGAACAGGGACTAGCTGTGTCCAACAGTAGAAAAAATATCTCTCCTCCCCTCTCAAGTTCCCTTATCATAAGGGAACTTGAGAGGGGAGAAGCGCCCATTTTCAATACGAAACCAATGCAGTTCCTCAGTGTCCATCATTTTTGTTTCACTTTCTGTTGAAAGAAGTTAAACTTTTACCGCACTTACCACCAACAAACCAAAATGAAGACGGGGCAGGACTAATAATTCTGATTTAAGATTTTTCAACAACAATGGCAGAGGATAAACTAGACTAGTCATTTCCAGTACAATTTCCAGTCCTACACCTGTTTTTTAAATCTTTTCTTAGAGTAAGAGAAAATATGAAGCACACAGGCTTATTAAGAACAGACCTATGACGGTCACCACCAAGGGAAGCAGGAGTTAACTTTCTTAACCCTCTAACACAGTGGTGTCCAAACTTTTTTTCTTGCGGGCCAAAATTGTCGTGTTAGAATTGCTCGCGGGCCTCAGGTTTTGTTTTTTAAAATATAGTTGAAAAAATAGTAAGGCTTTGTTTTAATAAAAGGAAATCAAATATTTTGATTTCTTCTTTCTTCTTTATTTGTTTTTTTCTCAGAATCAAGCCTGTAACGTGGTTCATCTTTTTGAAAAAGCTTTCTGCATTTAGCTCAGGTCATTAAATGGTTAAACAACAGTCCGCTTGTTTGCAAAAACTTTGCATACGTTTTTTTTCATAGTTTACAAAAAAATGTGGAAAATAATAAAAGCTGTAGATTTAAAAAGAAAATCAACAACATACATGTTACTGAACATTTTCTATTTTAGGAATATTGTTCAGCCCTTGTTAACATTAAAAAGGAAAATAAGTTAATGTGGCAATCTTAATCAAGGCCTCGGGCCAAAATCTTCTGATTCTTCATTTGAAGTCACGGGCCGCAAAAAATCCCCTCAAGGGCCGCAAATGGCCCTCGGGCCACACTTTGGACACCCCTGCTCTAACAATAGGCACCGGCGAGAAGTGGCTTTAGTTTGGGCGTCATCAACATTTATGAGTCTGTATTATTGTATGTAGGCCTAATGGAACTCATATTCTTGTTTTGGTTGACATTCACTTGTACTCATGATAATACAAGAACTTGAAAGGACTGAAAGTTAGTGGGAGTGCAAGACACGGTTCTTTTCACTTCGCCTTTCAGTAGAGGAACAAACCCCCCCCCCCCCACCTTACAATCTCTTATAATTAAGCAAAGTTTTCATCAACACCACGTCCGTCTTTGAAATGTAACCGCATGAAGTGCAAGCGGAAAATTGAAAAAGTAAACAAAAATTCTAAATGTCTGACATTTTCAAAGTAAGGACACAGGTCTTCACTCCAATCTTTGTTGCCAGCAGCCTCTAACAGCAGAGTAGTACAGCCCTCGTATAATGGGTCCCTATTGGTGTACATGTGTGAAGAGGAGGGCACAAACTGAAGATCTGACAGAATTATTTGTCCACAAGTTTCTCGCCTCATGGGTTAATGTCTGCTTTCTATAGACGCCATCATCCGCTCTCACACTGTCATAACCACAGGAAGAAGGTTGATAATGAAGAGAGCTCAAGATGCTTTTTCATTTGTGGGAGGGTGTGCAGCAGTAGTGCATGATGAACCATTTCAACCCTGTCACAGATATAGTAGACTCTGAGTACACAGAGCATTAAGGGTTTACAACTCCAGAGCTGGGACTTTTTCAATCAGCATGAAGACTATTTTTGTGTTCTACTGTCTTTTACATGGTAAGTGCAGGAAAGAGTAACATCCATCTATGTATTTAAAGATCTCAAATATGCTCCAACTCTTGTTGTGTGTGTATTTTCACAGCGACGTGGAAAGTGGGAGCAGACATTACTGCAGAGGGATTTGAAAGGGGAGAGGTCTCGTTCAACTGTTCACACAGAAATGCATGGTCAAATAATAAATACCTCTGCAAGAACTCCTGCAAAGGCAGAGGTGATATCCTGGTTACTGTGAAGTCTGGTAGGAGTGAGGGGTCAGAGAGGATAGCACTGAAGGACTCTGGAATGGGGTCTTGACTGTGACCTTTAGGTGGCTCCAGCTGACAGACTCGGGGAAATACTGGTGTGCAGTGAAAAGGCTTGGTTTTGATACATATATTGCAGTATACCTAACTGTAAAAAGAGGTAAGTGGGAGCCAGTGTACAGTAGTACCTTCATCCAACAGCAAGGGGTTCTCAACATAAATATTGTGTATGTTAATAAAGTGCAATGCTTTAACAATTATTTTATAGGCCTACACAAAAACAAAAGCGCATACAAACGCTTTACATTAGCTTTTTTCAAACAACCACTCCTAAAAATGTCTACATTTTCAACTAGGAGCACGATGAGTGCAGCAACAAAAACAGCTGAGATTATTTTGCCCTTATGCTGAATGCTGATTAGTATAGAAAATAAGTGCTGCCCTTCAGCTGACATCAGTGCTGCAATTTCCATAATTTTTGCTCAAACCTTAACTCTTGATAGATTTACTTTACTTTTTGTGTGCTTTTACACCTCTACTACTTTAAATACTTTATTTCTGCTTCTCTTCTTCATTCAGCTGTTGTCAATGAGACAACAACCGTCAAACCTGGACTTTTCAACACGTATCAGACTACTTACAATTCAACACAACAAACATCTGGAATAGACACGAACATTTCAACAGGTATGGAAGAAGAAGTCACGATATACTAATCCTTTCAAGTATGAATACAATTAAATATTCATTCGATGTTACAGCCTCTAACTGCACTACTGGAGGAGAACAAAACAGCAGCACAGGTGATTTTAAGAATGTAGAGTTGGTACATTGATATAAGCTGGAAACACCTGTGAATATACATTATATAACAGTTCTTGTTTCCGGTCAGGCACAGTGCTGTTCTGTACAGTCGGGGGTGTCGTTATGATTACCATCTTGGTCCTGGCTGTGTGGTTGAGGAAACGGAGAAAAGGATCAAAACACCAACCACAAGTTTGCTCAAACAGCACAGGACTCATCGGTGTACGCAGAAGAGAGGTATGAGACAGAAAAGCTGAATATGTCAGGAAGTCAGAAACAGCTCTCTGCGCAAAGAAACACAAAGCCTTGATAGTGAATCTTGTGATGTTGGCGGCTATCAAGTTTCTTTTCCTGGTTTCAGAGGTCAATGTATTAACAGGGGGTTTCCTACAGTCAGCTACTGTAGTGCCTATTCCTTTTTATTATTTTGAAAACAAATTTTTTTTTGCATTTTTTGGGTTGAAATACTTTAAAACAACAATGAGTTGTATTGATGGTACAGGAGATTGCATTAAAGCTCCTGAGGAGTTTTGAGCTGGTTATGGACATTAATACTGAAGCCTCTTCATGTGACTAAAAGTGAAAGAGACTATCAGTATTAAGACTGAGTATTTCTACTTTGTCACATTGATGCCTGAAATAGCTGCTGGGGGATGGGTGTCATATGAAAAGCGAAAACAACATGCTGCAGATCAGCTTTTTTGAAAAAATATTTTTTGCAGCATTTATGCACTTAAGACTGATACATTTGACCTAAAGCTGGATGGTCAAGGACGATGTTATGTTCCCTGAGATGGTTAAGGGATGAGTGGAGTAACAATAAATTAAAACCCAGGGAAAATAAATAAGAACTAAATATAAGCAAAGTTAAAATGAATTCATTAACAAACTAAAGCAAAATGTGAAACACAAAACAAGCTTCTTTCAAAACAAATGAGAAGCCAATCTATCTTAAACAATAAGTTGACAACTAACAGGACAAATTCTAACAATAAGGCCTCAGTCAAAATCCCTCTTTCCACAGAAGGCTCACACTAAGTTGGCTTGACATCAGGCATCAACCACACACGCAGCCAAAATGACCCACTGGCCATGCTGCCTCCTCTCTCTCCTGCTCTTTATAGTCTGGCTCCTGATTGGTAATTAGCCACAGGTGTGGCTGGGCACACTCAGGCTGAGGAACAACACCTGGGGAGCACACACAAAAGAGAAAACACAAAACCACACACACACACACACACACACACACACACACACACACACACACACTACGGCACGTAACAACGATCATAGACTGTAAATATTAATGAACGAATCCTGAGTGACGTCAGCCATCTGTTACTGCAGGGGGCTCCAGAGGATCGTTAGCAGCCGCCGCCATCCTGGAAATCCTGCCTCAGCCGAACTTTCAGTCAACCAAATGACAGGCTGAGAGCTTTAGCTGAGGCGGGTTTTCAGCCTCTTGACAACCCGTTACATTACATACATTACAGAGCCGTTTTAAAAATAATTACCCCCCGTACAGTGTGTTCCTGTGATGACAATAACTAATCGTTTATTTGTACCAGGCTGTAAACATGTTTATTTCTGCTGTACAAATGGCTTTTTTGCCAGTCATGTGTATGTGACTTCCGTTGTTCCTGGAGCCAGGCTCAAGCGGACACTCGATGAACTGCAGGATTTTGCACTTCCTTCATTTTTCAAGACCGGAGGTTGCCGCTTGAGGACAAATCAGCAAATAGCTAAGACGTACCGATTTGACTGCAAGGGGCACCAAAATCAACAAACTGTAAATTCCTCACAAGACCTTTGAATAAAATGTGCTTAACACATGTAAACAACATTTTCACCAAGACTTTAGCAGGAATTTTTGTTGTGGTGAGCTGATGTGTGAACACAGCGGGGACTATTCAGGAAACTTCACTGTGAGAGAGTTGAGGGTGTTCATATTTATATCCTTCAATCGATGCACAATTATAGACTGTATGCACCCGTTTGGTCTCCGTGCACGTAATGAAACTGCATCATCTCTCTAAGAGGAAGCTCGTATCATTTCAACAAATGCTGTGTTTTTTTTAAATTTTCTAATAAATGCATCTTAAAGAATGTTCTTATATTCATCATAACAGGTTATTATAGGTCAAACTTAGAAAGTGTATTAATTCATGCTTCAGTAATCACTTGATGGTGTGTATATTTATTTGATGAAAAGATTCAGTTTTGAGAAACTGTTGAATTCATCCCAATCTGATGTGCTGATTTCTTTCTCTTTCCCACTTCTCAACAGGAGGACAGCAAACATGCAAAGATTGGAGAGGGGATGCAGTCGACGAAAATACTCTCCAAGAGTCCCTCGTTTACTCACAAACCAAAACAGGATCCACCAGAAGTGGAGCTCATACCAGCCAAGTTTAGTGACCCCTTTCAAATCTATGAAAACATCTGCTGCTCAAAAGGTGCTGCACATTCCAGACACGCAACTGCAAACCTGCCAGAGGAGCAAGACAGCGGCTCCAGGATCTACATCAACCCTTTGCCACATCCAATATCTGACAAAGCAGTTGATGGCGCTCTGGGAAAACACAGAAATAAACCCACAACTAGGACAACCAAACCTCCACAGGGATGTACAAGCGAAGCCGCCGCGTGTCATTCCACATCTTTGTGTGATTCCACAGAAACGAGGCCCAGATCTCTTTGGTTTGGTTTGGATTTATCAGGAACAGTCTGAGTTGATTTTTATTTACAATAAGTAACCACTGAATTTTACCAACCACTCTTCTTCTTTTCAGTTTCTGAAACATTAATGTTTTTTGTTATTTTTTATTTCAATACATGTGGCTTGTCTGCAGAGGCACTGAATCTCATATTGTGTACGAAAAGGTTTTAAGGACATAACTGTTAATGTTGTTTCTTTTATTAATTCATTATGTGAACATGTAGAAACCTCGTGACATAGACAACAATGTATCAGTGTGGTATCCAATGACTAAGAGCAGTAACTCAAGAGACTGAGAGGTTGAGGAAAAGACTTGAAGTTAGCTCATCTTTATAACAATCATCGAACCTTAACTGGCTTTTTAGGCTTTGAAGGTTTTTCTTCACTGAATTAACACCAACAATACTTAATAAGAAAGTATGATCTTCTTTTCTGGATTTCTCTTGTACATTTGACTAAATTAGCAACTTGAGTAGATTAACCTCTTAATCAAATGCTTAGAATTAACAGATGTCGCCCTTGAACACCAGCATGAAACCAAAACAACTCGCGCTGCATTGTTGTGTTAGCATGCTTTATTATGCTCGTATCTTCACACTGCATGTAAATTTACCTGAAAAGACCGTGATCTAGAAACGCTTACGTGACATTCAATAAAGCAGTGAGTACAGAATGTTATTCTTCTTTTCTCTAGTCCCTCAATTAAACAACTTTTATATGCGAGGGGATGAGCCGGCCGGCCGTCCTGACTCGGAAAACTCTGAAAGCATCACAGACAGCGGGAGATTCAAAACAAGTCTGGCCCTGGATTTAAAAATGGGGATGAGACCGCCGAGCAGGGGTTTTGTTGCTTCAGCAGTATTTATGTATCTATGTGTGTTTTTGACTTAACTCATTTGCAACAGATTGTTGAGGCAGTCGATTCGGCTTTTTGCAGCATGTTTGTTTTATTTGCAGCACGTGTCAGCCAATGCTCTGTTTTTGAAGTTTGCATTTGCTTTTGATTTGCAGTGTTTCTGAATATGCTGCATGCTACATCGTTCAGCTGTTGCAGAGCATTTGCCACCGCAGTTGTCCCAAACACACATGATTATCTTTGGTGTCTGAAAGTGTCAAGAAGCACAGGAACATTTCAATCTGAATGTATCATCTTCTCTCTTACTGTGACATAAACTGGGCAAATACTTACAAAACAAATATTTTCACCTACAGAAACACTTCGTAGCCAAACTGAACTACATCAGCTCAGGGTCCTTTTTCAAAAATCTTAAAATGCTTAATATGAATAAAATAAAGGTGTACCAAATCTGCTTATCTGTGTTTCAACAAATACTTCATCTTTGACATACAGTTACAGCTTCTGTCATTTCTATCTGATCTTCAGCCTGATGCCTTTAAGACCTCACTCGATCAGTTCGACTTTGGAATAATTTACCTGACTAGCTGAAATTATTTATTTCAATCAATCTTTATTTGTATAGAATTAGAAGCTTTACTGAAGAGCAGGTTAAAGACCTTACCTTTTGTTCAGGAAAATGTAAAAGGGGAAGATTGGATATATTTAACGTTATTTAAAAGAAGGTCTCAAAAAGCCCATCATCAGTCTACACTTATAATTAATGAAACATTGTTTGCTCACAAAGTTTTAAAAATAAATAAAAAATAACATTTCATGTGTGTAGTTGTTCAGTAATGTTGTGAAAAGAATGCAGTGACATTATTATGACGTCTGTCCTTCAGAAACATTCATGTCTGCAGTTTCTGACTGATACCCTTATATGTCCCTTATAAGAATCTGACTTTGGCGGCTCCTAGTGGTCACACCAGAGAAGACACTGTGGCAGATGAGAGCAGACATTTAATATAACCCATTAGATCAGAACTCCAAACATACAACTTTGAAACTTTGAAACTTTGAAACAAGTGTTTGTGTCACGTTTCAACATAACATTGATGAATGATTAAAGATTAAATAGAAAAATAAAAGATGGGTTAGAGAGGGAAGACACTGACTTCAGAGTTCAACATTTGTTGATCTTGTTCTGTTTGTAATCTCCCACCCACTTAAACATTTTTTCATTTGACATTGTGGCTGCACTTCATTTTTATTTGTGTCATCACTTTCAGGCATGGGCGGTTCTAGGCACAGGCCAACCGGGGCCAGTGCCCCTGTAACACTGAGCTTGGTCCCCTCTGTGGCCACCCCTCCAAAAAGAAGAACCCCCCTAATAACACATACACAGTATTTGACTCAACAACCAGACTCACAATCTAGTATTAAATAGGCTACTGTTACTGAAACAAATATAAATCATGGTATTTTATGTTGTGGTATTTAATTATGTGCACTATTATTTGGCATAATATATAGATATTTTTTAAAGCGATCATTTTTGTCTATTTCTCACCTGGGTTTAATGTTCCCCTCTGACAAAACAACTGGCCCCAGTTTGGCCCCCTCAGTAAAAGTGGTCTAGAACTGCCACTTCTTTCCGGAGAAAATATGAAGTGATTTTCAGAATTGTATTTGTAAAATGTACATTTAAATATTTACACCTATCCCTGATAATCAGGTCAGCTGTTACCCTGCTGCTGCCCAGATCTTGTAAAAAAAAACAAATGTGTAAACAACATGTAGCAGACTGTTATTTAGATTTTAAGATTTGGTTTATTTGTCATTTTTCTTCTGTACCTGCAATCATAATAAAGGTGAAATGCTGCTTTCCAAACCTTGAGCAGACTTCACTCTCATAAGGTAGAGGATATGAGTGCTTTGGGTTTTTTATGAAAGAGGAGGAGAACTAAAGGCATTCACATGAAAGCGCCAGAGTGAACACACCTACATATTGTTTAGCATAGGTGTCTGCCTTAATGTGCGACTGGAAAGAAGAACGTGTGTTTTGACTGAATGCGAGCGCTGGGAGTAATGGGAGCAAACAGGAGAGCAACAACAACAATACTCCTTATTTCACTGCAAATCCAAGGTGGGCTGAATGCTTAGACTGTCACTGTGGCTGTTTTTTGACTTTATTTGAGTTACTCTGTGTCGAATATTATTTGAAAATGTGGTTATTTTTCCAACACAGCTCTTTTTTTTATGTCTGACAGCTCTGATGAGTGTAAAAACCACAGTGGGTGGTGTGGAGGGTCAGACATTTACCTTCAGATGCCAGTATCCAGGCGACTACCGGATCAAAGCTAAGTACTTTTGCCTTGATGTTGACGACACCTGCTCCATGTCCATAATACAAACAGACAAACATGAGCAGTGGGTGGAAAAGGGACGATACTCTATGTATGACAACACCACCGCAGCATTTTTCATTGTCAGGGTGGACAAGCTTACTTTGGAGGACAGCGGGACATACCGCTGTTTGGTAGACATCAGCGGCTCCCCTGATCACAGCAGCGTCATCAAACTGAATGTTTCTCGAGGTACAGTATGTCATCTCACAGCCCAGGGTCACTGTTTCACATTTTACTTAATGATCCTCATAGGTTGCTTACAGGACATAACATTTATAGTTTATATCAAAGCAGAATACGTTATTCTTGGGCCTGCTTTTACTGTAAATGAGAACTGAGTAAGATGAATTCCCAAGCATGTTCTTCTTTTTTGAACTTCCGAATTCTCTTAAAGCTTCTCTCTCCCCCTTAACAACAAATAATGCAAAAAAGAAAAACCCAAGTGAAATAAATCTCTGTTTTGTACTTTTACCTTACAGTAACTGCAGCCGTCTTCCCAAATGATTTCACAGTGGACAGTAAGTGATTTGTGCTTGCTTGTGTTCATGCAAAGTGAAATCATTATGTTATCTTAGGATACTTAAAGAGCAGGCCTAGACTGTGCTCTGTGTTATATTTAGACAGGGGCATCGTAGAAGGGGGGTAAGTGGGGCTGACTATTCATGGCCCATATGGAGGTAGATGCAATTATTGTCTCTGAAATAATAGTTTGGATTTGTTTCTCCTGGAGAAATAACTTTTATTGTTATGGTTAAACTGGCCAAATAAAGAATTCATAAGCCTTTCTTCACACTGAAAAATGAAAACTGTAGAAACATTTTAGATGTTTAACAAAGATTAATGTATCACAAATAGGGCTGTCAAATGATAATAAGTTATATTAATCGCTGAATTTCAATAATCAATCGAAATTAATCACATTTCTAATCTCACGTTTCCATTATTTGGCATTTAAAAAATTAGTTTGGCTTTTATTTTGATTTTTTTTACTCTCTTAACATGAGGGCACTTTACTTCCTGTTTGAATTCAAACCTGCTTTAGTTTAGAAATAAAGTAAGGAACTTCTGGTAGATCGAAAGTTATGACATTAACGAAAAAGGAACTTAAAAACCAAATGAATACAGCTAAAGAGAACAGTAAAAAAATGTGAAATGTTTCATGTCCTTAGATGGATGTTACTTTTGACTCGACAATGTAGCTGACCAGGAGTTTTTTACAGTGTTGTTTAATTTAAACCTCAATTGAGATTTGAAGGGTGTAAACCTAAGTTGAACCTGTGTTCATTCTGTGTTCAAAGTGTTTAAAATTCAAGGGTGTGTGATTAAATGTCCTGTGAGGTAAACTTCTGTTGTTTCCTGATCTGCAGAGCTCCACCTGCCACTGTACCTGACCGCTGTGATGTGTGTGGCAGCAATTTTCTGTGTGTGTATGTTTACACTATGTCTTCTGATGGCTGTTAAACAGCGAAGAGGAGAATCACAACGGAGCAGAGAGGTTTGTTAATGACGCAAACATGAACTTGGGGGGGGGTCTTGTTTCCCTACTTAAAACATCATGTTACCCATTCAACATAGTTGAGAATACACTGATTTTTGTTCACCCCCACAGACATCAGTTTATGAGACCATGATGCCACGTGTAAGCACTGAACCTCAACTCTGCTGCAGCTATTCCCATCCAGACTGCAATGAGCTCTCAACTTTACCTCCACTACCCCTGATCTCTGCTCCCACTTCACATCAAAGAATCGAGAGTCAGCAGTCACTCTCAGCCCTGGTGAATACGAGGATGTGGGTGTATCAGAGCACATCTCACAGTACCAACAGCTGGATCTGGAACATTTAGAGGAGCACGTTTATCACTGTCTACATGGAAACAACAGCGATAAAAAAGACGAGAGTCCAGGATTAAAAAAGCAGATAACATTTGATGCTGTTCAAGGATAATTCCAGCTTCTTGATGATATATTTGTCCATATTTTTATATAATGTAACTTTGTAAATTGAGAGTACTTGAAATATTACCTTAGTTTTCTTGTAGCTGTCTCACTTACTTACTTGTACATTATGTAAGGGCTAATGTATAGTGAGTGGGTTGTTAGAGCCTGGTGGAACCCCAATAGGGGGAGCAGAACCCAATGCAAAGCGGGGTCATGAAGCTGTTCCTCCATTTCAACAACCTGCTCCCTTTACATTATCCCACTTGGCAACAGATATGATTATTATATTTTAACAAATAAACCAAGTGGTTACATCTTGTGTTCATCTTTTACCGGCCTAGTTTATTTTGAACTTGAACGGACAGGCAGGAGATAGGCAGGACACACTGTGGTTTAGACACGGGGCTAAAAAGGAAGTGCAACAAAAAAGAAGAACTAACGACTGATGCAGAGTGCAGAGAACAGACAAAGACGTACAGATCCATACAGAAACATGGAGAAGATTTCTTTTATCGCAATTTTACTTCTTGGGGGTGAGTTTACTTCTATAACTTTCTGGATACGTGTTTTTCTTTCAAATCTTTGCCGACCTTGTGGTTATGAGTTTCCTTTAGTGGACGAGACTCCACTTTTTAACATTTATTCCTCTTTTTAACATTTATTTTTGGGCTTTTTGTGCCTTTAATGGAGATATAGCACAGTGGATAGAGTCAGAAATCAGGGAGTGAGAGAGTGAGGAATGACAAGCGGGAAAAGAGCCACAGGCTGGATTTGAACCTGGGCCGCCTGCTTGAAAGACAATAGCCTCCATACATGGGGTGCGCGCACTAAACACTGCGCCACCAGCGCCCCATTTATTCCTCTTTTTGTCGGACGCCTCAGAAGCTCCTACTGTCATTATTTTCCAAATATAATCCCTAATCTTTATATTAAGCATTTTATGTGAGCTCAGTGAATGTTGTGTCATTTTGAGGTGTTGTAGAGAGTTGTTAAGAAACCACAATATACCACATGAGCAGCCTTTAATAACTGGCAACTTGTTTTTGAAATGTCTTTTGAATACTTTCCCTTTTCTGGTGAAATATTAGCTTCTTTTTAAAAGAAAGAACGCTTAAAATATACATTGCAAAAAAAGTAAGGAAATTTGTGTTTGGTAGATTATTTCTTTGTTGTAACAATGCTTCTTGGCAATAACTCTTATACTGTTGGGAAGCCTGTTTATTTCCCTTTTAAATTGTGCCACATTTGTAAGGAACATGCATTTGTGGGATGAGCAGCAGAGCTGAGTATGTGGGTTGCAGCCATGAAAAACTAACCAAACATTCACTTCCATGCCAAACAGCCTATTCTGCTGTTGACTCTTTTTTGGTGGTGTTTAGTCTGAAGTCTGAAGAAACAAGAGATATTGGCAGTTAACAGCTCTGCTGCTTATCCCACAAATGTATGTTCCTTACAAATGTGGCACCATTTAAAAGGGAAATAAACAGGCTTTCCAACTGTATAAGTAACATATAGCATTGTTACAACATAGAAATATTCTACCAAACAAAAATGTCCTTACTTTTTGTGCAATGTTTATGTATTGTTCCTTATTGGATGCATATATCTATTGCCAATATGAATGAAGACGTAACCAATTGTGCGGTCTGTATGTTCTGGCAGCCTTATGGGAGACTGCAGCGATGTCCGTAACGGAAGTGTCGGGAAAGAAGATAACGATAATATGCTCTCATACCTACGCAACTTCGAACGTCAAATATTTCTGCAAAGGAGCGTGTAACGATGCAGACATCCTAATAACTAGCAGGACAACAGATCACTCTAACAAATACAGCCTCAAAGATGAAGGAAACACGTTCTCTGTGACCATATCTGATCTGACAGTGGCCGACTCAGGAACTTACTGGTGTGGAATAGAGAGGGTTGGTGTGGACACGTACAATCAAGTGGTCCTCACAGTTACAGCAGGTGAGTAATCCAGCTCTGCATGAATAGCTCTTTATGACGCTTCGAGACCTTTGTTCTGTTTCCTTTTCAATGAAATGTGACAAATATTTCACAACACCATCTGTCTCAAAATGGTCTTCTCTTTTTCACAACACAGTCATTACAGGAAAGAAATGTGACACAGGAAATCTGCATATGACACAGCAAAAATAAAACATCATTCTTTCTTTTTTCTTCAGATCCAAACATGTTAAATGAGACAATCAATACACAGTCCTCAAGTAAGAAACTTTCTGTTTATGGTTTATGTGTAAAGAAGAAAGTACTGCGTGTTACATCATTACTAAGACCTGATATTTCTGTTTCAGAGAAGATGGTGTATATTGGAGCAGGTCTTGCGGTGATCGTGCTCGCTCTGGCAATTTTTCTTATAATATTCTTCAAATATCGAAACAGAGATGTCACTTCATCCAAAGGTAAAAGACTCTTGATGGCATGATGGCTAATTGTAAAAAAAACACCAAGATATACTCAAGCATATTTTATAAAAGAACCTCAACAGCAACTGTTATGTTCCCTGACATAGCTTGGGCAGGAGGGGAGTAACTGTAATCTAAAACCCAGGGAAAGGAAACACAAAATAAAAGCGGAGCCAGTCTTTAATTGATAAAGTCCAAAGAAACTACTGACCCTGACTGCCAGCTCCCTCCTGCTCATTATACTCTGTACACTGATTGCAGGGTGGGCACAGGTGTGCTCCATCAGTGTCTGCAATGAGGCAAGGAGCACCACCTGGAGGGACCACAAAAGAGAGAGAAAGAAAACAAAAAGAACACGAACGCACAACACTACAGCAACCTGAAGAAACCTCCAAACACACATTTAACCTTCAGTGATAAAGGCTGGAAACACACTGGAGGATTGTCAAATCTTAACCCATTTTAAAAAAAAGGGGGGACCACAGACATGAGGACAGTTTCAACCTTCTTTTAAGATTATTATCTCTGAACGCACACATTCTGCCAGACCAGAGGTCACACACCTGCTAGTAACGATGCCACAGTGGCGATTCCACAGACACGAGAGCTCACAGAAACTTGCGTAATCATATGTAACTTCAGAGAGAAAAAACGTATATGGAGGACAAGTGACGCTCGAGCTGGCTGCCCTGGCGTGCGTTCCCTTTTGCAGCGAAAAACCAAAAATGAGAAAGAATGGGTGAAATCCTGGCTTCATGTTTGCTGCCATGCTTTGAGCTGTAGTACACAACATCCAGTTGGAAACCCTTTCCAGGGTTCCTGCTGGCTCTCATTAGGTAACATCAAACATATTTGATAATTACAATTCCAGAACAGGCAAATCGAGTCTGTCCTAATCGGGCCTAAAATCAAGTGTTTCAGCAGCCGTACACAACGATTTATCTCCGATATGGTTCGATGATTTAATGATGCAGGCTGTCATGAGCTGTAAAGACGGTAAAGCCCCTCCAGACAGATGAGGGATTTGGGCTAAATGAATAAGATAATATGATGTGCTCTAAGCATTAAGCACATTAATATTTACTCTAGTATTTGTTAAGTGTGATGTTTCTTTTGTCTTCTCCTAGTGTTTCCTGTTAGACAAACAAAAGTGTTTTTTTAATTTCATTTAATGCAACATTATGGCATTAAAAGAAAGACTCATCGTTTTCAGGAAGTAAAAGTCAAAATGTAGCTTTTACTTCTTGGGGGAATGAATTATGTAATCACTGTCTGTACAGGAAAGATCCAGGACACAGTCTACGCAACACAGTCCAATAAGAAACAAGATGGACACGTCACTACTTCGTCTACAGTTGCCAAAGAGGCTCAAAAAACAGGTCATACCAGCAGAGGTCTCACGGATAATATTTACTCCAGCGTTAACGTTTCCTCCGAGCCTCAGGTCCAATCAGACGGCCTCTTTTACTCCACCATTAGCTTCAAGAGGAATGCTGACTGCAGACCTGTGACACCCCGCACTGAAGGAGTGACATACTCCACCATTGAATGCAAATCTACAGACACATCCAAACACGTCAATAGCAGTGTGTGAAACTGCAGCCAGCGGTCTGAACTCAGTGATGATCTACTTTCAATGTTGATGCAGGAAATCCTAGTTTGATCCTTTGATCCCAGTCATTATTCTCAGACTGAGTTCATAGGTTGAGTATTTTATAATTTGTAATTTATTCATCCTTTTCACTCAATCTTTTAATATCTTTATTACCGGTACCTTTAATATCTAAAAACGATATATATCATTTGAATATATATTAGAAGTTAGCTGTAATAAAAATATCATCAAAACTAGGGAGGGATCTGTTCCAGTTTTTTCATTTTCTGTTTCTTGATGACTGTTTAAGAGAAGTAAAATTTGTTCGCTGGATAATAACACACACACACACACACACACACACACACACACACACACACACACACACACACACACACACACACACACACACACACACACTAGCCACACACACACTAGCAGGAACTAAACTAATACAATTTGACTTACAAATATTTTTCTTTTACAGACAACTACATTACACGAGGAGCTAAAATGTGTTTTAAAATTAACTTTGACTAAGCAGCTTGTCAGTGTCAGTTTTGAATCTTTGATGTTTGTGTAAATTGTAAAATTAAAGCTTACCTATTTAATAAAGATAAAGAATAAAGAACTTTGGCCTAATATGTTGAACAGCCATCTGCTGAAACTGTTAGAAAGTGGGATAGAGGGAGAACGGAGAAGGATGGAGACAAACACAGCAACAACTACAACAATGAATGAGATAGTTTAAAGCTACAATGTCTGTAATAATGGTAAAAGTATGTGTATTATTAGTAGCAGTAACAGTTTAGTTAATCCATTCATAAAGGATATTTTTTTTAGCTGAACATTTTGCTCCAGTCTGCATATTTTAATGTTTGATTGTTTTAAATTAGATTTGTGATTGGCTCTTATTTGTACATTTTCTTTGTCTCTTATTTTGTGTCAGAAGAAGTGATATAACACAGATAATGAACATGTATTGCATATTTTTAAAAGTTACACTTAGTGAAGAGACTTGTGGAACTATTTAGATTTGGTGTCTGAGTTATGTTGTTTTTACTATTATGTTTGTTTATTTGTAATCCACATTGGGTTCTGTTCTGTGTCTTTGTCAACTGACAAGACACATTTTTGTTTGCTCACTAGCTGCGATGGCTTTTAGCAAAATAGGGAAAAGCTTCATACTGGACTTTGCCTGGGGCCTGGGGCCTGGGGCCTGGGGCCTGGGGCCTGGGGCCTGGGGCCTGGGGCCTGGGGACATCCAGACTTATTTGACTGGGTTGGCCCAACTGGGGCACCAACTTATGGAGGTGTGGCCCAAAGTGTGATGTGTCCACAAACACACAGAAATAAATGATTTACCTTTTCTTGCTTCATATCTAATTCAAAATAACTTTTAAGAAAGTAATGAAAACTCCGGCACACTGTCTAACTTGCAAATATAAATTAGTTAGCTATGTTTTGGTCCTGACACATTTCCAGTTAACTGCAAGTAAGACATAGTGCTTTACTTTCCTATACCTGTCTCATGAAATCGTTCAATCAGACAACTCACATTTGCATGTTGTGGGACGACACAACAAAGTATTTATTCACAATTTGAAGTACAAACAATAAAAAATACTCTACATTAAAGAAAATGGCAAATAGCCAATCATAGTTTGCCACCCAAACAGCTAGTAAATATATTGACTCCTTTTATACTTGTAAAGGTGTATTTCTTATAGTGTATAGTGTTTCATATATCTTATTATCTGTATTGAAAATATGCTATTTATCTATATTTTATATTTTGTAAAGCTGATAGTAGAGACATCACACAATGATGGACTTTCAACATCAACTTCAACGTGATTAACCCTGAAGGGAAATTTGGTTTGCAGTCAGATAAAAACAACAAACATATCAAACAAAGGGACATATGGTAGACTCAGACAATAGAAACAATGTACACAGCGAACAACATTAAATACATAAATACTAGAGATCATCAGATAACAACCGGAAAGTGAGAATGTATAAAAACCGGAGTTATGAAATCATGTTTCAACCTGTTAAACTTTGCTTTCGGTGATCTGTATCTTCTGCCTGAGGGCAGAAGATCAAACCCACCTAGCAGAGGATGTCGAAGATATCTCAAGCCTTCTTACTGAAGGTGAGAGACAGATCAGGTCATTTAACCCAAATGATCATACTGGCAACTTTAAATATGTGTTGCAACCTGGTGTTCTGTACCTGGTGTGTCCATTTATAGATTATTTACCGATGTATAGATTTGTTTTACTTTTAATGTGCATTATATTGAATTTAGAGATGCTGAGGTTCTATGTAAATGTATCATTGGTGCAAAACAGGTATAGGTATCTTTCACACGGACATAATTCACGTTCATTTGTAAGTTTGAGTCTACTAAGTTAGAGAAGAGTCAAACTATAGAACAGTGCTTTTTAAAGATTGATAAGAAGGGTGAAACTGGATCTGAACTTGGATTAATTTGATCAGTTGTGAAGTAAAACTATATTTAGTCTCGCTCTCTGTTTCTCTCTATCATTTCTCTCAGATTCACCCTCTCATCTGAAAAGAGAAAACACAACTTCCTCTCTTTTTAATGCAAATGTTTCAAGTTTCGTGTTAGAAAGGAGAAGTAAACGCCCTCATTTGCATGGATGGACAGAAGGTGTGACAGGGACATACAGTGGTACACTGATGCAGAGATAGTAGAGAAGTTGAACACTTGACACAATCTGATCACTTTAAACTGTATTAAGCTATAGAAGCTGCACTGACGATGGGAGTATCAATAGTCATCATCTGCATTGTTACAGGTAATTATTAGTCCTTAATTTAGTTTTCTTTTTAAAGATGTGTGGGAAAATTGTGCCATGACATTTTTCATGTCTCTGACAGGTAGTGCGAGTTTAATGTGTGTGTCGGGACGTGAAAGACCTGAGGTAAAATGTGAGTATATCAGACTTTATTTGTCTTTATTTATTTTACCTTTATTTGGAAAGGAAGTGCCATTGAGATTAAAAAAAAGATCTCTTTTACGAGACCTGGCCAGCCATACAACATCACAAACACATTAAAGAACATAGAAAACACAAATCAGACACGTAAAGCATCAGGCAAGAATATTTTTATATTATATTTTTTAGACATAGAGTCTACTACCTTGTTTTAAATAAAAATGAAAAAATATATATAGCCATTAACAAAGAACAGTAAACAGGGTTTCCTCTTTTGTTATTTTAAATGCTGTAAAACTTTAATTAACAGCAAAAAATAAGAAACTGGATGGAACAATGTACGAAGTGCTTGACTTCATCTTTATTCTGTTTCGTTCTCCTCCTCTAGCGCCCTCAGTTGATGTCTTACTGCACTGGCATAACACAACACCTGGGCTTTTATATAATTTATTTACAAAATCCCCTGAGAGATAAGATGTACTTGCTTGGTCCAGAGGGGTCGCCCCAACGGACCAAAAGTTCCTCACAGGCGCTTTATCTTGATGGAGTCAAACATGCCGACTCTGAGCACGAGAAACAAAAACACACCTGTGTTTGGTGTGGCCAAGTTTGTGCTGGACATAAAACATCAGATTTACAGACGTCTGTTGCCTGAAGTGAAAAACAAACCCTTTATGCTATATAGTCATGTTTCAGCTCTTTCACAGGTAACAACTCACCAGTGAAGCTCACAGCGCATCCTGGACGCTCTGTTACCATCCAGTGCAAGTTTTCAAGAGCAGACACAATCAATGCTAGACACTTCTGCAGAGAAGTTGAAAAATCTGATTCTGATTGCACAGATCTGATATCAGCTAAAACTGCAGAAGTCACAAGAAAAGACAGATATTCTCTGACCCACTACAAACTGACAGGAGTGTACACTGTGGTTATTTCTGATCTGACCCTGGAAGATGATGGAAGATACCGCTGTGAGGTGCAGAGAGCAGAGGACAATGTATGTTTAACAATGATCCAGCTGCAGATTGTAGGTGAGTATTTATCTGTTTTAATCATCCTGTTTCACAATTAAGCAACATATCAAGCCTTGATCTAAAATAATTTGCACTTAAATGTGTTTTTGTTTCAGACATGTGTTTTTATTCATTTTTTTTTCAGACTGGGATGATATCACTTCAACGAAAAAAACAGAAGCCTCAGGGCAAAGTGTCCACATCGTCTGCCACTATCCAAAGTCGCATGAGAAGAATGAAAAATTCCTGTGCAAGGGGAAGACTCCGTTCAGCTGTGAGAAGCTGATTCAGACAACAAATCAGGAAAGAAATGTGGAAAAAGACAGGTTTAAAATAAGAGACAACCAAAGATTGAATTACTTCTCCGTGAACATCAGATTTCTGAGCACAGACGACTCTGGAACATACTGGTGCGGCTCTGACACGACATGGCAGCAGGCTGAATTCAACAAAACCCTCCTTACTGTGGGTGAGTGAAGATGCACTTCACACGAGAATGTTCACTCTGTACCGGTGCAGCAAATGAAGCATGGTTATGATCTGTACAAAAATGTCTCTGCTGCCATTGATCAAGTACAGTCAGTAGAACAATTGGATTGTTTCAAATAACGCTGCATGACTGAGCTGACGTTTTATAAAAAAAAGGGAATAAAAAGGAGAAAACTGACCAGCATCAAGGATAAAATGAAACAACTCAATAAAAACTTCAACAACTTCAATTGTTGAAACCAAGTTTGATTTAATGGATTAAATTTACTTCACAGACATGTTCAGGTTGACTATTATCACATATTTGTAACACAAACAATCAGCTTTCCTAATTTCAAGCTACTTATAGTTGTTAAAATAAGTTCCAATTTGAAGAGCTGCAGAAGTTTTAATGTTTAAAGGCTTTATATGTGATTTTTCACACTTAAATATAATATAAATCAAGTATATCCTCTGAAAATAACTCTGTGAGTAATGACTGTCTACAGTGGGTGTAACACCCGAGTCCCACTGTCTGTGATGCTTTCCGAGTTTTCCGAATCCTATCTTCAGTTTGTTGACATTGCCAGGCTGGCCGGCCGGCTCATCCCCTCACGTATAAAATTTGTTTAATTGAGGGACTAGAGAAAAGAAAAATAACATACTGTAATCTATGCTTAATTTAATGTCACATAAGCATTTCTAGATCACGGTCATTTCAGGTAAATTTACATGCAGTGTGAAGATACGAGCATAATAAAGATTGCTAGCATTAGTATGCTAACACAACAATGCAGTGCGAGTTGTTTTGGTTTCATGCTGGTGCTCAAGGGCGACATCTGCTGGATCAAAAAATCGCATATAAAGCCTTTAAATATGGAGGCCCTGAGTGGACATGCAACTATACATTTTATTTACTCAGTTTTCCAATCTAAACAAGTTATTTCCAGTTGTTTTCTTGAGATCTCAACTTATTTATCTCAGATTCCCGGAGCTGCAAAAATAGCAGCTAAAAAATATAAAAGAAACATGGAAATAGGCTTAAAGGTACAGTTCCTGTTATGTGGGGTTGTATGAGTTACTTGTGAATGTTACGTTTATTAGCCACAGGAGATATCGGTCTGCACGGCCCCTTTACGGAAGCTATAGCTGTACATCGCTGTATTCATACCACATTGTGAGTCAAATTTTGAGAACAACTAAATCAGTGGGGGTGCAAGTGTACGCTGTATTTAGAATCTGTTCTGTGCTACTTTACTGTCAGCAAGCCATTTAATGGAATTGATGATTAAGGGATTATCAGACATGTGCCCAGCTACGTGTGCACGTTTTTCTCACATACAAATAATTTCACGAAAGCCTCTCTCTTCTTTTGGGTTTTTATTCCTGATCAGTTGATAAAAAACACATCAAACCCGAAAGATCAGTGCATTCTACTTTTGACGATGATGATTCATATTCAGAAGAGACTGATAACTACGAAAATGCCTCTTCAGGCAAAGGTAAGGGAACTCTTTTTGATTGAAACAAATCTTTTTTACAAATCTTTCTTCATATACTGTACACACACTAACATAACCTCTCGTTGAAGTGTGAATCCCGAGGACTATGTGAAGGTATTATGGGAGCAAAACAAAGCACCTGTGACAGTGGAATTTGTACCTGTAGAAAATAATCACATGTATATGCTTTAGGAGTTGCTTTAGGAGTTGCAAACTTGTAGAATGTTTTGTCTCTCCCACAAACACAACACAACAGTTATACCTTCTCAAATCCTCATTACAGGTGCACAAATCCTATTTTACGAATCACAAATTAGAGAACTCATACGCTCACATTTTTGCTTCAGTTGTGAGAGAAAGTATATGTGAGAAAGTGTGTGAACACATTCACACACTTTCTCACATATACTTTTTTCAAATTTTTGCAGATTCAAGCAGTTGTAGTTGTCGACTTCTGTTTGGTCTAGAAAAATATCCAAGAAAAAAAAGTATATGTGAGAAAGTACAGGTGTGTGAATGTGTTATGCACCATATTCAGTGCAACAACTGAAGCAAAAATGTGAGCCTATGAGTTCTCTAATTTGTGATTCGTAAAATAGGATTTGTGCACCTGTAATGAGGATTTCAGAAGGTGTAACTGTTGTGTTGTGTTTGTGGGAGAGACAAAACATTCTACAAGTTTGCAACTCCTAAAGCATTTCCCTCTGTGACTTCAAACTCACTCATGTGTGACTATTTTCTACAGGTACAAATTCCGCTGTCACAGGTGCTCAGGAGTTTTCCTGAGCTCCAATAATATCTTCATATTACTCAGCTTACAGCATTTATTCTTCATCTTTTTTTCCTGTTGTCTGTAGATGCAGTTTGGATTGGCATTGGGGTGGGGGGTCTGGTGTTGTTACTGGTACTCTTGGTTGCACTTGTACTGGCCAGACATAAACTCCCCAGGTCACAAGGTGAGGGCTGGACACATGGCAGAGAAACATGCAAAGCTGCATACACACTGTTGTTTCAAAGTCAATCTGTTTGTCTTTAATTCTCTTTTGATTGGAACAACTATCATTATTATTCTGTCAAAGTAAACTGATGAATTTCAAGATTGCAAGAGTCATATTTATATATTTACTTTACATTCCTGTGATTTACATACTGATGAAGAAAGGAGGCAACTGTGACTGTATATAAGATATGGACATAGCATCTTAGCTTCAAAGTGATGCTTGTGCTGAAGTGTCTTCAAGGCTTACTATAAGACTTTCAGAACACATTTTCAGACCAAAACAATGACTTCTTCAGACATGCCTCCTTCATCCCTCAGCCTCCCCGCCCCCTCCTGTCTCCACACTTCCCTCTGCCCACCCGTCCTGTTTCACGGGTTCAGCAAGGCTGAGGCAGCAGCATCTGAAAACAAGACTCTTCAATCAATTTCAAGAAATGATATGCATCTCAAAATTTAATCGGTTGTTGTATTTTTGTCTTTTTAAGCCATAGGAAATCATCTTTGTCTCTGTCTGCGTTCGTTGTACAAAAATTAACCCAAAACACTCCCGTTACGGCCATCGAGCCCCTTCCGCTAACCGAAACACACGTAAATTACAGATAAAACATCAAAGATCCCTCAGGTCGATTGAGTCCATAGCAGAACAGACTCTGTAGGTTAAGTACAGACACTCATGGTTATTGAAAGTGGGACTTCCCTATAGGAAGAACACTGTAAATGGAAAAGGTGAACCAGCTGAATGCAAGTCTTAAAAACAGCCATCTCTTTTCACCTGAACGATAAAGAACGACAACGCAGTTACGGAGGCCCACATCCTTCCAAAGTGCAAAATGGTCACATCTGGTACACAAGAAATTAAAACAAGATGGGGAGAGCTAACTAACTCTAACTAAAGGCTACAAAACTGGAATATATAAAAAACGAGTGATGACACAGCGGCTATGTTCAGTTCTTATGTACAGTCTATTGGAAGCAACTTTTCCAAAAAGTAAAAACCCGTCTTGTACCAGATTTTGTCTGACAATGGAGTTACTTTGAATGCAGACAGATACAAATACCTTGTTGGGTTCAGCTTGAGATGTTTTTTTGTCTCAGTTTGTTGTCCTGCAGGGCGATCTTCAGTGCAGGTGACAAATGGGGGACAGAACACAGAGGTATGTATGTGTTTGTCTGTTTGTGTCTACGTAACTCTGCAATGAGGGCATCTATCTCACCACTCCACTTCTCTTCCTGTAGGGAAATCAAGGGGAGCCCGACTATGCAGAGATACAGGACCAGCAGGCGAGCTCAGGACACGTACTGCGTACCGTTTATGCCACCGTCAACCCACCCGCAGACCAGCTCCACTACGCCACCGTCAACACCCACAAGGACTCTCTCAGTGTCTGCACAGGCAAAGACGCACTTCCTGACACAAATATAAATCACTGTGACTACTCATCTGTCATGACTCAGAGTCCTGTTCACCCTCCAGGAACAGAGCGGATCGTCTACTCCACAGTGTCAATGCCAGGGGAACCATAAGACAGACTGCCCACATGTTTTATATATTGTCCATACGCCAAGAACCCAGTAGATTAACCACTCCAACACTTGCCACAGAATGCCACAAAATCTAAAAATACTCCTCGGTGAAACAGAGCTTTGTTCTCACAACTTTGATTAAGTCTTGACACCAAGAGGTAAACAAACAAGTGAAATTGGGCCTACAGCTATGCAGTGCAAATAAAAAACCCATCTTCATACACATAACGCTCTGTCGAGATACTAAATAAGAGGAAATCTGTAAAGACTGTATAGAAAAAGAAGTGTAATGCCTTCAAGGCTGTGCTGTAGGTCATTGCCCACACTATCTGAAGCGTTGCTTCATATTCTTGTATGGGGCGCTGTTGCTCACCCTAAAAATCAGAGCAGCATTTCTCTGCATTAAGCTCTACAAGATTACTAAATATTGGTGTGGATTTTAAAGGGTTTTAAGAGAGGTCAAAAAACTCCAGCAACACTTGTAGTATGACGATCTCTATTCAAACCTTTCACTCTCTGTGCACCACTGGATAGTTGGTGAAGTTAAGCCAGACAACCCTACTCTGCTTCTCCAGTGCTTTGCTTTTCTGAGACTCACTTACCATGGAAGACCAACACATAAGAAGATACCTCAAAGGTCTAAAAAATATGATTGATCTCATACTGAAGGTGTTGCTGGAGCTTTTTGACCTCTTCAAGCCTTTCACTCTCTAGTTCTGCCAGAAAACTCTACATTCAATATTAATTGTTTCCAAAATGCTCCAAACAATCTACAAACAAAAGCACTCAACTAGGCACCAATTACCAAACAAAACTTTCTTAGCTAGAAGTCACGGCACAAATGGGCATAAGGCGGACGGCCCCCTAATTTGTTATAACCTGGCTCTATAGGCCATGAAAATATGGGAAGGACATAATGTGTGTCAGTCAGTAAAGTGTAAATGTTGATGTATAACATACTCAAGAGTACAGACAATGCTCCCCTCAACAGTACTGTCACTAATAAATACAACTTTTAAGTTTGGTCAAAAAGTAGAGGCACTGTTGAGCCTTTGCAAATCTTACATTTGTATTAACACTTAATGTCACTTTGCTGTCAATAGTTGTGACAGATATTTATACTCCTGTACAATTTCTATTGCTGTGTCGTTCATAATAACAGGGAAGAGAGATAAATGTCTTCTAAAATCAGTAATCATATCTTTAGCTTTCTTTAGCTGTAGTCGCACAGGATTAGAATTACCTGGAGACCTTTGGTAATTTGGGAAATACTCCTCAACATCAGTGTTTGTTGCTCTGTTATTTACTGACATGTCTGATTGAAAACGTTTAGGCACTGCAAAAGTACCGCCGCAAATTACTGAGATGTCGATTCGGACGGGATTACTATTTGTGAATATGTACTTTACAAATAACAGACATTACAGACAATTTTTTAATAACTTCTGATTTGATTTTATGAAGGTTAAGTAATATTCACAATAAGGAGCGTAGCTGACTTGACTGACAGGTGGGCGCAGGGTAACGGTTTGTCAAGAGGCTTTAAAACCTGCCTCAGCCTGTCGTTAGGCTGACTGAAAGTTAGGCTGAGACAGCATTTCCTGCATGGCGGCGACCGCCATCAATGACCCTCCAGAGCCTCCTGCAGTAACAGATGAGTGACATCACTCAGGCTTCATCTGTTAATACTTACAGTCTGCATATGACGAGTTCTTTAACGAGCCTGTGGATACACTTATATCAGGTATACATTTCTCTGTGTGTTTTGGGAAAATTATATTCATTTAATTTACTATATATTCATATATTAACATTCTGTAAAGTGTGTTCATGTATTAACATACTGTAATAATATACTACTAATAAAAACATCACAAAGATTTTGGTCAAAATTGATGAATTTATTAGAAAATGAAGTTTTATCAGCAGTAAAGTCAGACGTGAAGAGTGATCATTTTCACATTTCTCTCGGCTGTGACATGTTCTGTGGTAAACTTTTAACACTTAATTATAACACCATGAGAATTACCACATGTGGTCATTGCAAAAAAGTCCATTAGAAGAAACGGAAGCAGAAAGCTTTTGATTTTCAGCTTCGCATTACCTGCATATATCGTCTTGATCGTTTTCAGAGAAGCTTTCAGCTAACCCGCTAGCTTCTAACTAGCAGCACAAATAGCTTTCTGGTGAAAGAAAAAAGCAGACATGAGTTCTTAAAAGCATACACTATATATAACAAGAACCACATTAATACTGCAATTAATATTGTTAATATTATTCTTATTACTATTATTATTGAACACTAAAATGCAGCCAGGCGGAAAGCTTCAGGCTGACAAGTTCATCAGAAAGAAAGAAAATTAAAGTGACATGCAAACGTTCTCTCTGCGTCCTGTCTTTCTTCTCCTCATCTTCATCACACTTGTCTTCATCAGCAGTGCAGTATATTTATTCAAAAGTCTTTGCTCCCACTTGTTTGTTCACTTTACAACAGTGAGAGTTTCTATTGGCTCAGGTTCCACTACCAGCAGCTGCCATTGGCTGAGCATGAATAATACTGATTGGTAATGTTTGTTTGGCACATCAACACGTTGGCTTCAGAACTCTTTTGGCGATAATCTGTGCATGTGTGTGCAAATGTTCGGGTACAAGTGTGTTGATATGGCATCAATGTAAACAATGAATAAGTGTTCATGTAAATCATGTATAACTCTTTAACTCTACTCATTTATACCAAGGATTACTGTTGTACTGTTTACATGTTTGTCATGTTGTATTTACGGTCAATGCATGTAGCGTACCACTTTCATACTATACAACAGGAATTAGGGTTTGGGTCAGGGTGGGGGTCATATGGGCAGGGATGGGCAGAATCTAAAATATGTAGTTATAGGTTAAATATTTATATGCATATTTTTAGGGGCACAATGTAGTCCTCATTTAGGGACAGGACTTCAGATCAGAATGATCGATCAGACAGGATGAGGACTGATCATGATGATCCATCAGACAGGATGAGGACAGATCATTCCAGCGTCTCTTCCCCTGCTCAGGGTGTTAGTATAGCTGTAGCTGCAGATGTCGCTGCATCATGTGTGGAGAAAGATAACGCTACAGGCCAGAGAAAGAAAATCTACACCCTTTAAACTCATCCAGCTTCAGTTTCTATGTTTTAAGTGTCACTAGTGAACCAGGATTGACTCTGGTTCCTGAAACCACAAACAATACTTGTGCTGTAACTGTGAATGATAAAATGTAGTCAAACTGACTGAACATGATCTTTAGCAAGCGTTTGACTTTTGTATGAAAATGAGTGATGTGCAGCATGACAGAAAATGTTAACCAGTGAGTAAAAGTTACCAACACTACTTAAAGTTACTTAACTTACTAAAATGATACTGTACAGCCTGAAAGCACAGAAGTAATACTGATATAAAAAAGCCAACTCATCAAATATAAGAGTAATAATTTGTGTCTGAATACTTGTGCAGTTCTTGTGTTTGGGCCTCTATCACTGGTTTAGTCTATCTCATGAATACAGCTGAACGTTATAGTGTTACATGAACGTTATAGTGTTACATGAAGGTTTTATTGTTACATGAAGGTTTTATTGTGCATCTGTGTTACTTTGATTTCTTTGTCCTGGATTAATTTTAGTCGGTGTTGATGCTTCACTTGCCATCACAAATGTGAAACAAATCCAAACAGTTCATGAGAACAAACATTTTAAAAGAAAGTTTGTTTCTGCCCATCCCTGTGTATCGTGTGTGTGTGTGTGTGTGTGTGTGTGTGTGTGTGTGTGTGTGTGTGTGTGTGTGCGCGCGCGCGTACCAGTCCATGCAACTTTAGGAGTCTCTACTAATCAGGGATTTTCAGGTTGAAAACAAGTACAATAACATCATTATCATTTTCTGCTATGACAATATCTATAATTGTATCATTCCGTGGATGTGATTATCAGGACATCAGATTTTGTTTGTTACACCTCCACTCATTTTTACAAAAGTTCTGCTTTCACAGTTCCTGATCACATCTCTGATGAGTGTAGTTATTGCGTAAAGTCAGCTTCACTTTGTCCTTATTTTCTATACAAGAGGAGCCTCCATGGCAAAAAATCTAAGAAACAATGATTGTTTAGAAAACTGTCCACTGTGCTTGATTGTTTTTTATGAATAAAACGTAAATGACCAGCCATGTTCCTCACTGATAGTCAGTAATTCACTTTGCAGGTGGGCAGGTCTTAAACCTGACAGTTGAGTGGTGAAAACAACGTCCGTCCAGTCAGAAGTTTAACGGTGACAGTGAGATCAGGAGTCCTCAGAGAGATATGATTGGCTAAACTCCAGATTGGAAATCAGGGCAGATCACCCACCGTGAGTTGTGATTGGTCATTAAGATGGCAAAGGGAGAATGTGTGTCCATTGGCTGTAAGGCACTGGCTCGGGCGTGGTCAGGAGAGATCAGTCATGCTGAGGCTCATGGGTAATCCTGGACGTAGGTAAGCCACTGGGACACGGCCATTCTCACTGGTCGATCCTGTGATGGATAGACGAGCTTTGGAGCGCATTGCATCTGTGAATTTCATCTGTACGAGGAGAAAACAAGTTCAACAGTTATGAATCATAAAGAGTAAAAACGAGAAAGACAGCTGATGTGTTGGACCACCTGTCCAGATAAAATACACACCTAGAACGGTTGATCGTTACGTGATATAATATGAGAAATCATTTAAGATCTGGCAGACATATGAAACTGATCCTACTGTAATCTTTAAGTAAACAACAATGTGTTTTTCCACTCAGGGGCGTGTCCTCACTTTTTTAACTGGGTTGGCCCACCTGGGGAACTGAGATATGCAGGGCTGGCATGATGTTAGTGGGCACACACAAGCAAAGAGGCCTTTTTTTTGCCATTTCTACCCCCACTAATGACATGTGAGAAACACAATTTGGCAATAAAGATCTTCTTAGCTTTATCAGACCGAAAGACAATTTCAACTAACATCTTAAAAAGTGTACGTAGAGAAAAATACCAACCCTGCCTTCGAGTCCATTTCAAGACAGAAAGTGTTTTCCTTATAAATGTTAATGGAAAGAACAAAGTATTTATTTTCAACTGAAAGTACTACCATTAGCCTGTTAAAACAGCCAGAATAGTTGATCTGTTCTTAAGTCCTGCCTCTGATAAGGCAAATAGCCAATCAAAGATTTGACACACTCTCCCTCAGTCTCTGTCTCTCTGTCTGTCTATCTCTATGCATTCATGTCCAACTAGAAATTACATTTTCTACACAAATAACATCAATTAAGATGAACCCAAGGGCACATAAACAATGACAAAAACTTGTGATTTTTTGTTATTACTAATTTGAGATCTACAAGATTTCCTGAAGCCAGTGAATGCAGCAGCAAAATCTAGGACAATATGAAATGACAGGATGGAGACTGTTTTAAAGCAGCACACTGAGTTATGTTGGCAATTAAATTATGAAGAAAGGAACAGTAACCACATGAATATGGAGGGTTGTTTGGATTGTCTTCTTATTTGGAAAGAATCTAAATGAGAACAAACTTCTGTTGATCTGAATTAGTTTCATTTGAAGTAAAATGTTATGACAGGAGTAGTAACAGGGAAAAGGTACAATGAATGTTTTCAAGGATGATTTTGTCTTCACACAGCCTGAATGTAAGGTTACAAATGTTTGGACACAGCTTCACATTTCATTTCTGAGCTGTGCTCCTGCACATCAGCAATCCGGAGGAAAATCTTGAACATGAAAGATAGCAGACCAAAGCACGACCATAAACTGTTTGATCTGAAACCAAAAATAAACTAACTGATCTTAGTACAAGTTGCTGCTTCAAACACTTCACTGTTGAGCAGTTTAGGAACTACCATGATGTCCACATTTCCTCCACTCATGGCACTCCTTCTAACACGAAGAAGGGCTCTCCCCATTGAAGCCTTTCAAACCCAGCATTTAGACTGGCTTTATTCTGCACCATGAGTAACCATGCATGGGCATAGAAACATATACTCCAGGTGGAGTCTATGTATCTGTGTTACTCTTAGACAACAAGCTCTAAATACACAGGTGTCAGCTGACAGAAACTTTGTCTGTTAATAACACTAAGGATCAACAGTCTCTCTGAGGCAGACCTCAAAGTCTATCAGTTCCATGTACTGCTTCCCTGTTCTTGATATAACAAAGGGCTGGAGGGCCCAGGTGTTCAGATTTTGCTTTGCCTACTCACAAGACACACAGTGCAGTTTAAGAGTATACCAACTTCTTAAGGCAACACTACACCACTAGACACAGCTCATTTACATTTAAAACTACAGACACAGAAACAGCCTGTTCTGTGCAGGGCTGAAATAGAGGGGTTTATAGGCGCGATCAAATACAGGATCAGAGTGGATTTAGAACAAGAACCTTCACAGACATGTTTTGGTGAGCTCTGAGACTTCTTCTAATCCTTTTAAACAAGTTTGAATATGTGACCTTTAAGGCAACATGTTTTTCAGAAGGAAACACAGACAAAGAATGGAGCAATGCATTTTATGAAATAGACTGCACATAACCTTGTTCACAAATGTCCCTTAAATAAACACTGGCAGCAAGTTCTGGTCTGAGCCCCAATGAATATACTTTATAGTTTGAATAATTCATGGACACAAACACCTGCTGATATGATCCAAGACCAGAGCCACCACCATTTTCATAGAGTCACTTGAGAAACTTTGAACACACTTAACGGAGGACATGGAAAAATGGGCCCCAGAGTGCATTGGTGTTAAGAAAAAGGGATTTGTAGGACCGTGTTCGAGGATGTGGTCTTCAGTGATCAGGATTGTCACTGGACTCTCCAGCAACATTCAA